GTGGACAACTTTGACCCACCACGGCCAAAATGGAAAAATAAAATCATCTCAATTGGTGGACATCATTGACCCACCACGGCACTCTACGTGTTTCTCTTTATTTTTGGTAATAGGAAAAAGTCAGACAGAGGCATGTCTGGCGAATATGAAGGCTGGGGCATCATTACAGTATTGTTTTTGGCCAAAAATTTTGTTCAAAATTTAACAATTTTGGAACAAATTTTGCTGCCACGCGTTTCATACCCGAAACATTCGAAAAAATTTCATGGGATGAGCCAATCGATATACCAACATCATCAGCGACTTCTCTGATGGTTTATAACCATTTCTTCGTGCGTTCGGGGCGTTCGTCATCTTCAACGTCTTCACGGCCATCTTGGAAACTCTTATACCATTTGTAAACTCTTGTTTTACTTATAGCAGACTCACTATAGGACTTTGTTAACATTTCACAGAATTTATTTTATTTTTTTAAGCAAAATTGGATACAAATTCTTTGATCCATTTCTTTTAACGAACGAAAAATCGCCGAGCTCATAAAACACATCTAACCTTAGCGGCTGCCACAGACAAAGTAAACAATGAAAACAGCTAAAGTTTTTATCATACTTCGGGGGCATGTATACCAACATAATAAAGAAAATTTTATGACAACCGGACCCTCCGAACCCGCGAAATTTAACAATTCCCGTTATTTTCCGAACACACCTCGTAATAAATAAAATGTAAAAATCAACTTTTAATGACAGATTTATGAACTTTGCGTACATAGCAACGGATGTAGAAGAATTTTACGTTCTATAGACAAAAAAATGTTGTTCTGTTTTGAAGGTTACATTCTCGAATGCCAAAGTGGCATTTCGCAATCTAGCATCAAAAATAACTATACTAGTATACTATAGTCTATCTAAAAATGAATTAGTCAAAAATGACTAGCGAAAACACAGCCACCAATAATTCTCGTCAATAGCAATTTGTATCACAGTCAATTTCCATGTAAAATTGTCCCCTGAATCCGAAAATGAAAAAGTAAAACAGTTTTTGAGATATAGTCAATTTTCCATTAATTATGGAATTGACTATATCTCAAAAACTGCTCTACTTTAATAATTTTTGAAGATATTTTGGAATTCAGGGGACAATTTTACACAAGAATTGGCTGTTAAATTTTGGGATACCATGGTACCCCATGGTTAACCATGGTACAAGTGAAAAAGCAGCCACTAATAACTGTAGTAATTAGTCATTTTTGACTAATTAATTTTTAGAGAGTGGACCAAAGAATTTGCACCTATATATAGGCACTTATAAGTGGCTATACATGTGGAAAAAAATGACGATTCATGTTTTTTTGAAATTTAATTGATAAATTGGGACAAAGTGATGTTAGAACCGTCTGACTTATGGGAGATTTTATACCAGAGGCAACTTTGTTATTTTTAAAAATTCTTTAATACAATTTAAAAAAGTATTGTGTTCAACTCTTAAGAAATTGCCATTTCCATAAGGATGAAAAATTGCGACATGAGCCGAAGGCAAGTGAATTAATTCATCCGAACTTTCTTAATCATTGAACAATATACTATTATATGTGAGTATTTAAAATATGATCACATTTTTTTATAATCTCCATTTGACACACCTTTTTAACGAAATCATTATAATGATTTATACGTAAATTACATAAAGATAAAAAATTATCATCCTATTTAATGTTTTGATTAAATCACACAAGGAAGTGGAGTGACGTATGACAACTTCCTTTGAGAAAACGTTATTTATAAATATTTGTTCATTCATTATTATAATATTTTTTTGACATTTGTAGTTTACGTACAGGAAAAGATTCTGCGGTCTAAGTGAACTCATCGAATTAATTTTAAATTTCTTGAGTATTATTATGACAATCTGGTGATGGTTGATTGAGTCACTTTTGTTTTGATATAGATAAGAATATAAATAAGACAAAAATAAGTATACAGACTGCATGGTTTTGTTAACAAATAGTGGTCAATTCTTTACACTGCAAAAAATATCAGTGTGTAAATTCTCTTTTTTTTTGTGTTAAAATTTTTGTGTAAATTTTGTGTAAAAATCGTGTAAATACTTTTACACGAATGTTCCTAAATTGGAAATCAACACTAAAATGTGTAACCACTTGTTAATTTACACGTTAATGTGTTATAAACTCAAATTTAATAAATATCGTGTTATGTTACACAAAGTTGTGTAAATTTTAACAAATATCGTGTAAAATTTGCCCTTTTGATTCTTACCCCTTTATATTTAATATGAAATTTAAACTTTGACTTCAGGAAACATAGTGGGTAATAACAAATTTGCCAGTAACACATGACATTTTATCTTTTTTAGGTAAATAAGTTTTAAACCATTAAAATAATCTTGTTTCCTTTATTACTTTTTTTAAATGTTTTTAATAATTTGTTTTATATAAAAACATTATAATATAATATTTTGTCTAATTGAAATTATAAAATATTTTTTTTAATAAAAGTATTATTTAAACGTAATTTTTATTTATCTACCCAAGTTTAATTATTCTTCGTGTAAATTATTACACGATTTAAAAAACAAATCAACACACTGATGCTGTGTTAAAATTTTACACGATGTCGTGTGGACTTGGAATAACACAGTTTGGTGTTGGGGCGTGTAGACTTGTGTTAATTATTTTTTACAGTGTATAATTGCAATTATAAAGAATTCACCACCATTTCTTAACAAAACCATGGGGAATCACAAACAAAATTAAATTTAAATTCAATAGGTCAATAATTGTGACAGGTCGATAGCAAACTCCTGTGGAGTGCTACACGATAAAGCAACGAGTATTTATCATTAAACATTACTATAAAAAAAGTTTAGTTTAGTTGCTACCATTCGTGCGTTTAATTTTGTATATAAATAATAATATATCAAATTTGTGGCCAAAAGTGTGGGGACCTCGATTTTTCATCGTGCACAAGATTTTCAAGACATTTTAACAGCCACTCTTCGTATTTTTACTAAAGATTGGCATCTCCATGCTTGTAAGGTAAGTTGTAAGTTGTGTAAGTTTGCTATTAACGAAGCCATCAAGATAAAATTGGGCCTCGTCGCTGAAGATGATTTTGTTGAAAAAAAATTCTTGACTCTTTTTAATAGTGTTTGAAAAATACACAAAATAATTTTTATAATTATTTATTTCAAATATCAAATTAAACCATTTTGTTGTAAAAACATTGGTAAAAAAAAATAAAAAAAAACCAAAATAATTCTAACAAAAGTATAATAAACTAAAAAGCATAAATAAACAGAGCAACAATAATCAATAATAGAAACACTTTAATTTTTAGGTTTTTAAATTAAATGCAGAAAATAACTTTTAATATTTTGAAAGTTTTGTCGCGAAATCTATTGGTATTATTAAACAATTTAAATCCTCAATGGAATATTCCATATGTGTATGTTTTTGGTGGATTTTTTGTATCAGATTTATAAAAAGCTACAAAATATATTAGTATACTATATATATATATTAAAGAACTAATGTCATAAGACGTCATTTTGTCACACGCGGACAATTTATAAAACGAGCGACGAAGGAGCGAGTTTTGTAATGGACGAGTGCGACAAAAGGTCTTATGACATGAGTTCTTTATGCTATTTTATCTATTTTGCAAATATTCTATAAAAAAATTAATTTTATACCTTAAATTTATTTTGGTCGAATTTTACTTTAGATAGTTGGTATCACAGTCATTGGTTTGACAGTTAATGTCAAAATCGATTCGCCATGCCGTCCTTAATTATTATTTACAATAAGCGTCTGTTAATGTTAAAGGAGAAAAAAAGGATTTTCTTTGGTGTTAAACGGTGTTACAATGGACATTATTAACGCAAAATAGATAAAAGACTTATTCATGCGTGTAGAATTTTGTAAAATCATGACCAATAAAATAACATAATAACAAAAAATATTGTCGTTATTGGAGTAATGAAAATCCTCATCTCATCGGAGAAAATCGTACCCAGTATCCTAAAAAAACTTAATGTCTGGGCAGGAGATTGTATTGGTCCTTATTTATTCAACAAAATTTGAATGTTCAAATTTATTTAAAATTTTAGATGAAACAATCAAAGAGGATAAGGAAGTAGCTTTGGATGAAAATTTATTTTATTTTCAACAAGATGGGGCACCACCTCATTATGCAGTAGCTGTTAGAGCTTGGCTGCATGCATGCAATCCATGGATTGGAATTATACGGAACAGAATAAAATGGCCACCCAGATCTCCAGATCTAACACCATAAGACTTTTTCTTATGGGATCGCTGAAAATCTGTACCTCATTCTATTGAAGTTTATTATACTTTTGTTAGAATTATTTTTTTTTTACTAATATTTTTACGACAACAAAATGGTTTAATTTGATATTTATAACTAGACATTGGAATAAATGATTATAAAAATTATTTTGCGTATTTTTCAAAAATTTCGAAAAATTTTTTATATCTTTTTTAGGTCCAGACACTGTATGTATGTATATATTTATATTAAGAATTCATTGTATACTATAGATTTTATATTCAATGAAATGTTTACGATATTGTATTTCGTTTATATTCGATACAGCGCTTTTTCAGTTGGATATAAATTTTCGATTTATTAGGAACAATAATTTTTCGATTTATTAGAAACAATAATTGTTGATTGTCAATTATTGATTAAAGATTTTTTGTATTTGTATTTTATTCAATTTTTTTGCATTTTCCCAAACGTTTAATTCTTCTTTTCCGATACTTTCAATAAATGTGAAAGAAATTTAACTAAATGAAAATTCTTAAAACTCATCATTTATCTTAAATAAAATTCCGCAATCTTCCAAGCATCACTTTTTAAAATCGAGCAGATTGCGATCAGGGGAGGTGCGGGGTCTCTCACACACGCACACACAGACACAAAACACACACATCATCTCAGTAAAGTGTAGAAGATCGAGCCGGCTATGACTTAAGTCACGCCCCGAGTCGCGCCAACTAGATCGCTTCGTTCGACGCGCATCGAAACCGTCTCAGTAATTGTTGCGTGGTGTTTGCACCAAGACTGACCACCAATTCGACTTATAACAGTGGCACACGGTTTTGTATACAAGAATTAAAGTAAATTGTGTACAATCGTCGTGGTGTTTGTATATACAATATTTGTGTATACAAGTAGTTACGGGTATCAAATGTTTGTAATATAAAGAAATTGTTTATGTATTGGATAAATGTTTAAAATATGATGAAGGAACAAATGGCTGAAGTTAGCGCGTCGTCCACAGTGCTCCAACAAAACATCAACATACAACAGCACCTGCATAATCTGCATATACATCAAAACCATACCAGTGTAATTTTGAACAACGAAACCAGCAGCCCACCTAATGTGTCCCCGGAGAGTACTAGTAGTAGCCAGGAGGAGAAACCTTCGAGTTCGGATAAAAAGTCAGGTATAAGACGGCAAGAAAAACCTCCGTATTCATACATCGCCTTGATAGTGATGGCAATCCAGCACTCGCCACACAAAAGACTAACTCTTAGCGAAATCTACACCTTCCTGCAACAACGGTTTCCGTTCTTCCGCGGTGCCTATCAAGGCTGGAAAAACTCCGTACGTCACAATCTCTCGCTGAACGAGTGCTTCATCAAACTGCCCAAAGGTCTGGGTCGTCCAGGGAAGGGGCATTACTGGACCATAGATCCAGCAAGCGAGTTCATGTTCGAGGAAGGATCTTTTAGAAGACGACCTAGAGGTTTCCGCCGCAAATGTCAAGCGATGAAACCCCAGTACTCCCCCGCGTTCTACCCCAACATGGTGCAGCAATCGTACGAGCAGAACTTGGTCAACCAGCAGGATTACTCCTACAACTCGGCCGCCCCCCAGGTATCCGCCGCCACTTCGCATTACTCGAACTACGATTACGGCGCGGCGGTGTACCAGCAGCCTTGCGAGAGGGATTGGGGGGCGGCCGCCGCCGCCGGGGGGCTGCCGCTGTACGGCGGCGACGGGTTGGGGAACGGGTATCTGAAGACTTCGCTGAGCCCAATTCCGGATAATCAGAATACTCCGCCGCCGTCGCAAGAGGGGTACTATCAGTATGGAAACATGCCGTCTTCTACAACTGATTGTAAGTATGCTTTTTCTATGACCAAAATTTTTTCTCCCAATGTGAATGAATTTCAATCGCAAATAACTTTTTTATTTGATGTCGGATATAAACGAATATTAAAGAATATTGTAGATACATTAATGGAGAATCGCTCACATTTTAAAAATTACTAAAAAATACACGTACGGATATGTCCCCGACTGATGTTGCCAGAGCCATTAATTTAATCCAGGATGGACGGTCACAGTATTACGTGGCAAGTGTTTTAAACGTCACAAGAAGTAAAGTACAAAGGGCAACATCAGTCGGAGACATTTTTAAAAGTAAGAAGTCACCTTAAAATTAACACATTAATTTACAAAAAACAATTTGATAGCTTTTGAAAGCAGTATGACATGTCCAAGTATGGGATGATTCAACAAAACTGTCCCTGTTATCCTCCATAGGCTATGGATGGACCAAAGCAACCTTAGTTCTTTATACAGGAAAAATATTGAAAATTGCAATGTTTTTTGAAAAAAATCCATATTTTCCACAAAAATAAATATATCAAGGTGAACCAAAAACAAAACTGTTAAAAATAGATGTGACTTGATAAATTAAACTTAATTTAGAACAATATACGGTTTTGCCACTCTACAGAGTGTCTTAAACTTATGGTAAAAAACATATTTTTGTTTAAACCTGTATATTATAAACGTACGTCTATGTTTTAGTAATTTTTTAAATTGTGAGCGATTGTACATTAATTTATCTACAATATTCTTTAATATTTGTTTAAATCCGAAGTCAAATAAAAAAGTTATTTGCGATTGAAATTCATCGAAAATTTGTGTGGATCGATTATTTTGCCTGTGAGTGTATTTAGACTCTAAAAATTGTTTAATCTTCTTGTTCATTTTCGTATTTTTCATATTCTTGTTTTAAAATTCAATTTCATCTTAACGTCGTTTTAAATTCTTCCAACACATGTTATCAAATAATTGATACATCTTCTTTATTCAGCATCACTTAAAAAAGTATTGTAGAGTTGAATTTTCGCTTTTCCTTATGACGTCACTGGCTTAGAGTGACTGGTGCACTTCCTTTCCTGGTCTCGATCACTTTGATATCCTTATGAAAACGTTCAGCTTGTTCGATGGAAATGTCACGAAGATTTACTGGAAAAAAATTGGGGATATAGATGACGAAAATAAAATTTTCGTTAGATTTTCTTCTTAACCTTTCCACCTTTCCATCTTTTGAATGACCGAGTCAAACTGCCTTATACATACATATATGCTATAGCTTAAAATTTGCGCAATATTCTATTATTCAAGAAAAAGTAAGAATTGTTCATACCTCGATTATTGGTGTTAATAATTTAGTTTAAATGTAAACAATACCATTTAGTTTAAATGTATACAATACAATTTTTTACATTTTATCAAAACCTCTTTTTTCGCATTTTCGAAGTTATTGGGTGCCCTAAACACGAAAAAATATATCCCAGCTCTGTTTAATAGTCCTTGTAGGTAAATCAGTATAATTTAACACAAACCAAAAAAACACGTATTTCTTATCATATCTTAGGTATGATACCCACATGTATGATAAGAATTAGGTTACACACTTTATAAAAGAAATGTGTCACGCTTTTCTCCGAAAACTATCGAATATTGTGGAAACGATTAAAAACCACAGGATTTTCCTCATAGTCATTAAATATTTTTTATCATTAAAAATTATTTATTTATATTTTATGATAAACCAAACAAATTTCTATAATAATTACATATTTTTATACATAAATTTAACCTAATTTCATGGTATAACAGTATTTTTCAAAAAGTGTATTTTTTCGACAGTAAAAAGGATATTTTTTTTTAAATTAAAATAATGTTAAGTTGTCGATTCCTACTTTTTTCAAATGTGTAAAAATAGGTTTTTTCCCAATTTTTCCGTTTTTTTTTCGACACTTTAAAACCCTACCCTGAACACGAAAAAACAAATACCAGCAAACCACAAAAAAAACTACAAACAAGTTAAAACTATCCTGTTTCTTAAGATGCATCTTATTGCACATATTTCTTATCATACCTTAGGTATGATACCTAAATGTATGAAAAGACTTAAGTAACACACTTTATAAAAGAAATGTGTCACGCTTTTCTTTGAAAACTATCGAATATTTTGGGAACGATTAAAAACCACAAGATTTTCCTCATAGTCCATGGAAACAAATTTCTATAATAATTATACTTTTTTATACAAAAATGTTACCTAATAACACTAGCGCTTTAGTCACGGGCTGAAGTTAGTTTTAACTTAGTTGACAGTTGTCAAATGTCATACATCATTCTTGTAAAATAATACTAAATGTGAAAATTATTTTATTACCTCAATACAAAAATACAAAAGTATCAAATAGTTTCTTGACGCCAATATTTGAAAAGATTATATGAACGTTTATACAGTATGTGGCGGCAGGTGGATTTTAAGTATACCAATATCTCAGTTATTAGACATGGGACCCACACCAAATTTATAATAGTTTATATTGACATTAAATAAACAAGTTCGGCGCAAACAGAATTTAAATTGAAGTTTGCGAAAAAAAGTTAGTTTTTCCTGTCGCCTACCCTGCCTCCAGGCCCCCCTATTTGAGATAATTCAAATTAAAGTGGTGCAATTTATTATCTACTATAATTTATCGACAAATTTAAAATTTTATTCAAAAAATCCAAATATTACAGATTTTATTCGATTTTAAATTTTTATTATTTATTTTATTAAAATAAAAAAATATTTAAAATGGTATAAAAACTGTAATATTTGGATTTTTTAAATAAAATTTTAAATTTGTCGATAAATTATAGTGGATAATAAATTGCACCACTTTAATTTAAATTATCTCAAATAGGGGGGCCTGGAGGAGGGTGAGGCGTCAGGAAAAACTAACTTTTTTTCGCAAACTTCAATTTAAATTCTGTTTGCGCCGAACTTGTTTATTTAATGTCATTATAAACTATTATAAATTTGGTGTGGGTCCCATGCCTAATAACTGAGATATTGGTATACATAAGTGGTGCAATTTATTATCTACCATAATTTATCAACAAATTTAAAATTTTATTTAAAAAATCCAAATATTACAGATTTTATTCGATTTCAAATTTTTATTATTTATATTATTATTGATACATAATATACTATTTTAATATTTTTTTGTCAGCTCCATATAACTTTAATGAAAAACTAGAATTGTTCTAACATTGAATAATAGTTACTTTTCTATAAATCAATTATTAATAAATTAAAAAAATACGCAACATTTTCTTTTCCTTTTCGGTGGCGCTAACTTGATTAAAATATGTTGTGACAGCAACTTGATATGCTCGTTCAAAAAGGCGCTGACGCGTGACGTTTGACATTGTTGGCAGACAACAAATATTGTTGCCGCCTCAGTCATCATTTGTTTCGGTCGTTTGGGTGGTCTTTGGCGATCGATCCATCTTTATCTTCATCTTTTATATGCGAAAACATACGGCCCACCGTTTATTACCCACCATGTTGCTGCTTCATGCCATTTTATTACTCTGTATCTGCACCAACGTTTTGTCCTTCTGGTTTTTGTCTATTCTATTTACAGGGTGATGGTTTTAAAACGTTGTTTGACGCTTTTAGAAAATAGGGACATTAATACCACTGGCCGACAGCCATTTTGGTGCAGGGTAGACAACAACTTTTTTAGGGTAATTTGAGTACGCCGAATCCAAAAATGACCATCATTTTGCTCAATCAGCTCTTGTTTTTGCGATGTAACAAAAAACCATTTTTTTATATGCGCACATTCAAATGCTTAAATATCTTTTTTTTTAACTTCTAATTTAACCAAGGATAGTTGGTAATGTTGCTATTAAACTTAAAAAGAAATACCATATACATTGATAATGGTGTTCTCTTTAAAAATCTTGCTTTTATCGAAAGAAAATCGATTTTTTAGCCAAAATTCGGAAATTTTTAAAATTTAAAGTGTTACAGCATGATCAATTTTTTCCCGATTTAAATAAAATTTACCCTATTTGTAGCTCTATTTATCTACTTTATAGTGATAAAATTTCAAGGCAATCAAATAAAAATTGGCAACCAAAATTGGGTACTACGTGTACCACTTAAATAAACTCCGTGAATAGCTGTTAATATTCATAGAGCCTATTTAAGTGGACAATTTTTGTGCCTAGGATTATAGACCTGATTTTAAGTATGTTTAATAAAAAGATGTCAAAAATATTATTGTTTTTTTTTCTATTAGTTTTAGTGTATGAGAGTATGAGTAGAGTATCTGCTGCTGCTCTCAATACTCTACTATCATACACTCTGCCGTGCTAAGCTTAATCCATGTATCTGCAATATTAAATAATAAAGGACAAAAGATAGTTTTTAACAATGAAAATGATCTTTTATTTAATATTGCAGATACGGGGGTTTAGCTTAGCACGGCAACACTACTCTAATTCTATCTAATAATATCCCAATTTTGGCTAAAAAATCGATTTTTTTTTCGATGAAAGCAAGATTTTTAAAGAGAATATCATTATCAATGTATAATATTGGTATTGGTTATTAAACTAAAAAAAATACCATATTATGGTATTTTTTTTTAGTTTAATAACCAATACCAACTATCCTTGCTTAAATTAGAAGTTTAAAAAAATATATATAAGAATTTGAATGTGCGCATATCGAAAAAAATGGTTTTTATTCTACATCGCAAAAACAAGAGCTGATTGAGCAAAATGATGTTCATTTTTGGATTCAGCGTACCCAAATTACCCTTAAAAAGTTGTTGGTTGCCATGCACCAAACAGAAATTTTATTTTTGTCGGCCTGTGTAATTATTAACATTAAATTTATAAATTTTGCTAATATTAATTTTTTTTGTTGCAGTAATGAGAGTTAACAACTCAATGCAGCAAATACAGTGCGACAGGAAACCGTACTTGAGCCCCCCTCCCCCATCGATCCCCACATCACACCCCTCCCCGCCGGCAGCAAATACCCCCCATTCGTATTTTGAACAGTCGGTGAAATACCCAATGTAAAATAATTACAAAAAAAACATTGGTACTGTTGTATTTTTTTTTGTGAAAAACGTACGTTTTAGTATTAAGAGGCAGGATATACTTAATAAATGTATTTAGTTTATGTATGTATATAGGAAATATTTATTTGTTATTAGGGGTTATATTTAAGTAGTTGTAAACTTATTATTAGTACAATGTAATTAACTGTTATAAATACGGCTGATACCAAAAATCTGTACATAGAATAAAGTAGCTATAAGTAGTTAAACAATAAATAATATTTACAACATTTAACTATTTTTTTCCACTTTCAAAACCCTCATTATCGTACATGTTTCCATGACACTAAGTGGCCTTTCCAATACACATTGACAAGTTGTTGCTTTATGGGGCCGTCCATAAATGATGTCACACGTTTTTTTAATATTTTTGACCCCCCCTCCCCCACTTGTCACAAAGTGTCACAAATTATGGGACCACCCCCTCCCCATTGGCGTCACGTCACACTGATTTAATTTTTATGTAAGGGCTACCCCACGAAATTTTTGCTTAAAATAAAATCTTAATATCCAGTTTATATCCATTATTAATTATTAAATTCCAAAATATTTTTATAATTTTGTGACATCACAACCTCCCAAACCCCCTCCCCCGGCTGTCACAAACTGTCACATTTTCGACGACCCCCCTCCCCAATCCATTTTGGAACAAATAGTTTTAATGTAGTTTTATGCAGTACCCTTAAAATAAATTAAAATTCCACTTTAAATCCAAAAACATAATTTTTACGTTTTGAAAAGTATAGTCTTAAAGACCCTTTTAGGATGGGCTCTTTTGGGCTAGAAGCTGCTTTATGATGGTCCTAAGTCAGTCTTGAATATCATTTGGTTTTATTCAAAGTTTTATAGTATAGTTTTAAAACGACCTCGGAGATCGCAATAAGAGCGTTAGTGTTAGTTGGGATGGGTCTAAAAATCCCCAAAAATGTTTAAAAGCTTTAAATCCTTTAATAACCTGTAAAAATTGTTTTTTGGGCCATTTTTAGATTTTTTGGCACCTGAAGGTAAACTTTCAAACCTGACTTTCGTCAAAAAGTTTGGTAAAATATTTTTGCAAAATTTACGATTTTTTAAGCACGTTTTTTTTTAAATTAGTCTTAATCCCTTTTAACATACATATTTGAAATAATAATTAAAATCATATCTCATTATAACAAAAATACCACAATTAAACCATAACCCACATAATACATGAAAATATTACGGAAGAATATGAAATCATTTCATATGTACATATTTGCGGTCAAACTATTTCGTAGATTTGTTTTTATAAATTATAATAATTAAATTAATTAATTATTGTGTTTATGACGCTTTCTATTAAACACTTTTATTTTTATGCATTATACATTATTAGAGGAATTCAGTTTTTCTTACTTTTGAATTTTTTCTATTAATGCATATTATTCGTTTCAGTTTAACTAAAATATATTTTTATTTAACCCATCAGCACATTAAAGGGGGATTTATCATGTCAATACCTTCTCTTTTACATTGCTCGATATAGGGATGGACATTTTATTAGTTTATTGGTATTTTTTAAAATAATATTTAACATTATTATTACATAATAATTATTGCATCATTTGCAATATTCTATATACTATCTTCCGCGGATAGTTATAATTTTACAATTTTATTTAGTATTATATTGATTTTTAATATAAAAATGTCCAATTGACTAAATAGTATATTTTTCTATACCAAATCAAAATTTAAGAAAAAAATTACATTTTAGATCTCTCCTTTCCTAAATACCCCCACCGTTATTCTTCCCCCTTATATTTTTATTTATTGAATTAGTGGAATTTCACTAGAAAAATGGTAGAAAATACCGAAAAAATAAGAGGATTTTTACTAAAAATATATATAATTTGCTTACACAAATTAGTTAAAATATACCTAGAAATTAAAGCCTTATAACAGAAATATTTTTTTTATTCCCAGGCTTAATTAATTATTGCACTTTCTTTAAAATTATTATAGATCGGTTTTCTAGCAAAAGACCAGACTCGATGCATGCTGATTTTTGTTTCACAATCTCTAGAGGCAGAAAATTATGAAAATTAAACAATTTTTAATATCTTTACAACAAGTTATGTAAGTGAGTTTTTTTTTAATTTTAAATATAAATTATTTTCATATAACTTAATTTTAATAGCTTTTTACCTTAAAATAGGGGGTCACATCTCACCAAATCTCAACAAGGGGGAGGGGGTCCAAATTATCAGAAAAATGTCTAATTAATGGATTTCCCCTTAACTGCACTACTACGGCGAAATAAAAAGGTCAGTACAAACGTCATATAATCTTTTTAAATATTGGCGTCAAGAAACTATTTAATAATACTCTTGTATTTTTGTATTGAGATAATAAAATAATTTTCACATTTAGTATTATTTCAGCCCGTGACTAAAAACCTGTTGTTAACTTCAGCCCGTGACTAAAACGCCATGTCATGGAAACATGTACGATACTGGACGTTTTAAAGGTGGGAGTAGAAAAAACAAATAAAAGCATTTGTTCTTATATTTTTTAGAAATAAATAAATTTTAATAGATTTTTTAACTGAAATTGGTAAACAATTATTAAATAAAAATAAATAAACACATTTTAAGAGGGATTTTCTTTTTTAAATATAGCAAAATAACGAATAAAAAAAGGTACAAACACAAAATAAAAAACATGGCGGATCCTTAAATTATCGTACAAATGGGTATTATATCGTTTACATCCTATCGTACATCATAAACAGGACTTTTTTAAAATTCAACAAACTTTGTACGATGATTATCGTACAAGTCACTTTACTACTACAAAAGTAAAATAAAAGTGAGATAATTTTTTTCAGTTTATCTTAAGAAAACGAGCTAACTTTAAAAACGGATTTCACTACTGAATTCTACAACCAAAAATTAAGTTTACTTGTCCCGGCGTTTTTTTTGTCTTTTTTGGTATTTCTAAAAATATAAATAAACAATAAACCAAAAAAGTTACATCTTTAATATAAAATATCTTAAGAACACGAGCTAACTTTGAAAAACGGATTACACCACTGAATTCTACGCCCAAAAATTAAGTTTACGCGTACCGGCGTTTTTTTGGTATTTTTTTGAAATTTCTAAAAATATTAAAAAAATAATAAACCAAATAAGTTACATGTCAGCTAATCAGTTAATTATTAGATCTAATAAGGGCTGTGTTGTATGTTTGTTGATAAGATGAGTGTTTGGGCGTTTTGTCGTACAACATGGGAATTTTTTCAGTCGCTACTGTCACGATATCCCAAGATTACCTCCTCGTAATTTACCTTTTCGAGAACCTTTACAGATAAGATAAGAAAATGAGCCTAACAATTTTCGTATTCGTAATTTATGAAGAATAACTGTGCGTCTTTTATGAAAATCTCCATATGTTTTGCTCGTGTGTGGTGGATTTCTCAAGTACCACAGATAAAAAATATAGTGATTGTGAATTATTTACGACGGTGAGTTTTTTACACTTGGTGCTTTTTTTTAATTTCAAAATTTTTACTTTCGGCAAATTTATTTATTTTTGTCCAGAACAATTTAAAATCGATAATAGAAAGTGTTGTTTGTGATTTAGTGAATTTATTACATGTATTATATGATGCAATATATTCATTGCTTCGAGATTTCAACGCTCCACTAAGTGCCATCGTCGACAGCTCGTAACTTCCAAACGATTGAAAGAATTTTAATTTTTTACTCTCCCCATGCTCCCCATACGCAGTACCGTAACAGTCGAATTATTAAATGACATCCGGCTGTATAAGTTTTGTTTTTTTGACAATTGTTTTTAGTCACAAATGTCAAAATTTGCTGTTTTTGTTTTTTTGACGTTTGTTAGATAGAGCTGTTATTTTCAAGGACAATTTTCTTTGAAATGATGAATTTACATTTAAGAATCGTAACTTTACAAAGAAGAATATAAAAATGATTTAATCATACAGCCAAATCCTCGCATTTTATGTGCATATGGGCAATTCCATTATGGCAGGTGAAACATTTAGACGAATTTAAAGTTTCCCACTAACAAAATAAAAAACATCATTAACAAAATTATTATGACATTTAAATTTTAATAATTGTATATTAGTGTTAAGTTAAATTACGGCACATAAACGAGTTGCATACTATACTTTCTCTACGACAAATGGGTCATTCCACGTTACTCGGGGATTTTTGTCCCGCCCGTCACAATTAAAAATTGTGAGTAAAAACTACACGTTATAAAATTTATTTAAAAATATTGTTTTATTATGCTTTTAATAAGTTATAAGCACAATAAAAATAATATTATAAAATATTAATTTTATAACTTGTGGTTTTTACTCACAATTTTTAATTGTGACGGGCGGGACAAAAATTACCGAGTAACGTGGAATGCCCCAAATACTAATTAAATATTTGTATAGAGCGACATATATAAAACAATATAGTAAACATTCTTGAAAATGTCAAATAATTTTTATGCGTAATTCGAAATGTATCCCTTGAAAATGGAGCAACAACAGTTTTTTACAGTGAAAGTAAAGAACATTTATGGACACTTCACGGTGGAGTGTCCACCCAAAATTAAGTTATATCTAGTTTACTGCCAGCGAAAAAAAAGGGCACTTTATTTTAACGATTGTATGACATTTGACAACTGTAAACCAACTTAAAACTAACTTCTGTCCGTGACTAAAAACTTGTTGTTAACTTCAGCCCGTGACGCCATAAAGCCACAACTTCAATGTGTATTTAAAAGGTCACTTAGTGCCATACAAACATGTACTATAATGAGCATTTTAAAGGTGGGAGTGTAAAATATTATATTATGATGTATCAAGTTTGATACACGCCATTTTAGTCACGAATTTAATTTAGGCACGAGCGAGTTTGCGAGCGAGTGCTGGAATAAATGAGTGTCTAGAAAAGTTTATAAACCAGTTGCATACTATACTTTTTCTACGACAAATACTTAATATTATCTAAAATGTGATTTAAATTAAATATTTGTATAAAGCGACATCTAAACGAAAATAAAGTAACCATCCCAATAAACATTTTTGACGTAATTTTCACCATTAACATTTCCCGTTATTATTTTAGTTCTTCATACTTTAAAATATTAAAATAAATTTAAAATATGATTATGTTAAAAAATTATTTTATCCTTTGATTTTTTTTATTACTACACAGGGTGACCCATTTGTTTGCGACTCCCCCCTGTAAAATCTTTATTTATTGTGCGATTTTAACTGGATGTGGTTTAAACTGTAGATCTTGATAAATTGTATTTTTGAAGCAAAAAACGCCATATTTTTACCAAATACAAGGCCTACTATGTCAGTTTTTAAGAGTAAATTTTTAAGAATTCACATTAGCGATTTTTTTAAACAATATCTAAGCACGGCACTGGATTCACCACCCCTCAAAATGACCCTATACAAAATTTTATTGAAAACTTTAAGAAAAAAAATGCACAATAATAACAACAAAAATTTATTTTGTCAAGTTATCCATGAAAAAAACATTGAAATAAAATTAAACTAATAGTAAAATGGTACTATTACTATAAGTTCAATTTTATTTCATGGATAACTTGACAAAATAATTTTTTGTAGTTATTATTGTGCATTTTTTTTCTTAAAATTTTTCAATAAAATTTAGTATAGGGTCGTTTTGAGGGGTGGTGAATCCAGTGCCGTGCTTAGATTTTGTTTAAAAAAATCGCTAGTATGAATTCTTAAAAATATACTCATAAAAACTGACATAGTAGGCGGTGTATTTTGTACTAATATGGCGTCTTTTGCTACAAAAATACAGTTTTTTAAGATCCACACTTTAAAACAAATCCGTTTAAAATCGCACAATAAATAAAGATTTTACAGGGGTGGGTCGCAAACAAATGGGTCACACTGTATATAGTTGCAAAATATTATCACAAAGTATTAAAAATTCTTACACGGGAAATGTTAAGGTACAAAAAGTGACAGTTGTATTTATTGGAATTCCCGTTAGAATTTCTAACTTGGGAATCTACCGGCGTTAAAATCTCAAATTTTTCTGTGTAAATCAAAATTGATCCTATTTATATGTATTAGAAGTTCACTTAGTGTCATGGAAACATGAAACAATAAACAATAGTAGAGGAAAGAGTTTACTTATTTATTTTGGGAAGGATTATCCGGCAAATTTTTAAAGTATACTAATTATAATTATAAAAAATAAATAGACAATGTACCTACATCGACCTTTGTTACGTCCCTGTTGACATTTAAGCTCGTAACCCTAATTTTTTGGTTACGGACCTGTATTAAGGCCACAATTGCCCTATTTATAGAAAATCTTTTCATGCACATTTCAATTTTAGATTGCCGCATTTATCTTTTAATAAGTAAACGCATTATCGTAGTAATTTTTTAAAATGCCGAACATATTTTCACTTTTACATAAATAGATTTGTCTAAGTTGATTGCCTTTTACATAAAAGTATAAACTTTGAATCTCTAAATAGGTAAATATTTAACTTGTTTATTAATTTTATTTCCCTTCGATAAACGTTTGTTTTTTTATTTTGTAAATGAAGCACTTATTTTTGTGTCGTGTGTCCCATTAAAAAACATAAGTGCCTCAAGGGTCCAGACTATAGGCACAATTTACGTATTAGTGGGTCGCTTAAAAGCACTTTGGAATACTATAACTCTAAAGTTTCTATAAATGACGATCTGTAGAAAGATTTGCTCGATTTTTAAATGACTGCCCATTAAAAATCTTAACATAATTAGGAACTCTTTTTGTTATATTAGGGCGCTATATCTAAATATAGAAACAATTTATTGATAAAAATTTTAAAAAAATCCTATCGCAATATTTTTTTTACTTACAATTACAATTGAATTTTATTTTAATTATTTCAATGTTTTGGTAGCTTTAGGTATATTTACAGGGTGTGTATTTAAAAATGAGCAATACTTTATATATGTCTGGACCTAAAAAGATATTAAAAAATTCTCAAAGCCGTTTCTAGGGTATGTAGGGAAATTGGTATGACCACAAAAACGACCAAAAAAGCCACTCCAACTCAATTTTTTAAATGACAACACCCTTTTGTGATACTTTATTGGAAAGCTCCTGAAAATTGCTTTTTAACAGTACTAAAAAATACTTTTTATTAGTTTAATTTTTGAAAAACAGGCAAAATAATTTTTAGAATTATTTATTCCAATTTATCCTTATAAATGGGTCATTTTCAAAATTCTTGTACATTTTAAGTTCTCCACTACAATAATAAAATAATAAACATTTTTTTTTAAATGAATCCTGTTCTCTCAATAATTAAAACGACTTTTTTAAGAAGAAACGAAAAAAAAACACAGATATTGGGCAGTTGTCCAACGCCAAAAATTGCATCAATATAAATATTTAAATTTAACGATAAGGGGCAGGGTAAGCAATATTCCGAACTTTTTAAATATCTTGGTACGAAATCTATATATAAGTGGCTATGCGGAAGTATTTATAAACAAAGCTTATTCTGTTGGAATTGTATTTTATTAGGCTGCGTCAAAAACAATTGAAGGGGTCAATGCAAGAAGTGCCTTAGTCACAAATAGGTGATTCTGAGATATTGCGGTTTGAGGGTTTATTTTTAATTATGAAACATTACTCAAAATATTATGATCAAAATGTGCGTTGAAAGTGGACTTCCATGATTAAAAAAGAAAAAACGTTTTGTTATATCCAAAAAAAATTATAATAATTTGTCAAAAATTACATTTTTTTATACCTAAAAAAAGGATTATTATATAACGCCGTATAAAAATACATAAAGTGTGAACAAAATTTAAGACTACATAAACATAATATGAACAACAAGAAACGCTTACAGAAAAAGATTACACGTATCTTATCATATATGATAATTAAAACTTAACTTAAAACAAAACTAAGAACATAATAAGAAGGCTGGCTATTCATAAACAGCGTCGGCCTCTTGTAACTGATCAATCTCTTCATCAATGGAATAATTTTCTGGATTATACTTTCATTTTCAGACAAAGTTCTATAAAAAAAACGATTACTAGTATTTTTTCAGGTAACAATCTATTTTATTCTACTTTACTTTCCTGTCATTAAATTACAGACACAAATTATTAGGATTAACACAGCCTAATAGGTAATTTGCTCAGATATAACCTAATTTAAATAACGTGGACTAAGGCACATGTTGCATTGCATCTTTCAAAATGATTACCTAGGTACTTCTTGCATTGAAAACCAGGTAAAGTCCAATTGAAGTAAATGCAATCTAAGGCACTTAGACACATATTTCTGCCACTCTGCAAATACCAGGTGCACCTAAAGGCTTACGTGTAGGGTTGGGAAAATTTCACTTTTTGCTTGTACTTGAAATTTCACTTGAAATTTTCACGACATTTATGAAATTTATTAAAATTTCCTAAATGTCTAAAATTTCATGAAATTTATTGAAACTTTCAATAAATTTCAATCACTTTAAGTTTAATATATTAATATTGAAATAAGCCCACTCGGTGACCATGGCAAATTGCCTCTCTTACCTCCTACCCCTCTGTGGGCCCTGGCACCAATAATATAAATAGTAAATACCTATGTTTACCACAAATTTCTTGAGATTTCCTTTTAAAATATTTTTAAAATTACTAAAACTAAGAGAGATATAGCACTTTTTGGTAACCTAATGAGATTGTGCCACTTTCATTGTTTTATATTTATATATATTTATTATTTTTATATACTTTACTGAAATTTTACAAAAATTGAAAAAACTTCATCAAAATTTTATGGGGCAAAGGCATTTTTTATCCGTTTTCCGATACAATTATAGCAAAAGTAAAAGTTTAAATTAATCATGACTTGAAAAAATTGTAAAGTCTGATTTAATTTACAAATTAAATTATTTAAATTAATTTATGCATATAAGTAACAATAATTACTTATAGTGTATTCAAATCCAAGCCGAACTGAACAAAGACGCTTGATAACTCGTTCTTATTGATCGATTCGGAATCTGTTGTAAATTATTATTAAAGGTCCCAGGGGAAGCCACATGTGAAATTTATGCTAAATTTTCAGTAAATTGCGAAACTTTCAATGAAATTTCTGAAAGTTTCAAAGTTGAAATTTTCATTTGTCAATTTCATTGAAAATGTGACTTGGGCACTTCTTCAATTGGAGTTCAGGGGGACCGATTGCTCTGATATTTTATTTGTTTTAGTGGTATTTATATTTTTATCTATCCATATAAAGTTCCAGATATACATTTTTTTTGAGTTTCAGAAGACTGCTTTGATATTTTGATATTTTCTTTGTTTTGTTTTTGTTTCGTTTTTTAGTTTACTTTTTTTATTTATCATTGTTTGGTAGTTCTAGGTATTTAGACAAAATTAACCTCATGTAACCTCAACCTACTAAACACCCTATTTTCCAAAAGTTGTAAAACGTAATAAAAAAAAAAATTCTCAAGAGATATAAACTTCGGCTTGTTATCTTATCAAATAACATATTGCCATTAATGATAAAATAATGTTAAAAATCATCAACAATTAACAAAACAAATTCAGTACCGAATTAAAATGAGACTTACGGTCGCAATGAAAGGCTTCTATTGGTATTTTCGACCGTTGGCCATCCTGGCGAAAATCTTCGGAGTCTTTCCGCTGCAAAATATATTTGCAGTGAACCCCGAAAAATTGAAGCACCAATACTTCAGCCTGAGCTTTTTGTACACCTTAGTGATTGGTGGTATTTACGTGGCGGTAATGGTGTACTTTTCCGGGCTCGTTTACCAGAGCATAATCGTGGTGAAAACGTCGATTTTCGTCATTTTGGTCGTGTATATTATTTTGGGTCGGTCGTTTTTAAGTTTCGGGTTTTCACAGGCTCATGGCAGAAAATTGTTGCGACTTATTCGCTTACTAGATACCTTTGACCAAAGAAAACATGACTATTTATGCATTAAAAACATAAATTTATTTACCAACGTCGTCTTTTGGACGGTGTTGCCGGGTTTAGTTTGCCTCTCCGTTTTAGCATTTTGTTTTCTGTGTTACGGTGAATTAATACACTCGGTATTACCGACCGATGTGGAGCAAATCAACGGTTTGATGGTGTCGGTGTGTTTCGGATTTCTCAGCGTGTGGCAAACCGTACCAATTTTTACGTTTTTGTATTTTGGATTGAAGATACGAAGCAACTTTGATGAAATTAATGACACTGTCAGGATGAAGAAATACACCGGGAGCTTTTTGGAAGATATAAAAAGGTGAGTATTTGCGAAAAGTTCACACTTTTTAGTGCACAAAATCACTTTCTTGTACCTAGTTTTGAGAAATGTGTTTCCCATATTGACAGAGTTAAAGTGAATTAATGTGAATTTAAGTAGTTTTCTTGGTACGAAGTTGCTTTGTCATTTAAGTTTAGTTCGTTATAATATAAAGGGTAACGCAAAAGTCATCACCCGACAATGCCCACCCAAATGATAAGGGGGAGAGGGGGTTACTTGATATAAAATGTACCCTCCAAATTCTTTGAAAAAATCTACCAATAAGAAAGTCCTGTACCGTCTATGTTATTCTTAATTACGATGAAATGCTAACATCGTTTGTATCGTGTGCTAAAATTATCAGCTTTAGCTTTATTAAAGTAATAACGAATTTTATTGCTAATAACACAAGAAATCGCATATTACCCTTGTTATTCTTACGGTAATGCTAAACAATAAGGATGGTAGTCGGTATTGGCCCCAGATAAAATATAGGACCAATATTTTGTGCTACTGGGGAACTTCTTTCAATACTTCAGGCTATGTATTTGTCATTTGTTAGGCAACTTTCAAATTCATGTTTTTCAGAAAAAATGTTGCCTTGGTCCCTCCTTATAAAAAAAATATCGCGGTTTTCGAGTCAAACTCCCAAACGCAAAGAGCAACTTTTTTTTTTTGAAATTATTTTTTCATCAAATTATTTTTTTATCAAATTATTTTTTACCAACTTATTTTGAAGCAAGAATTTGGCAACCTTGTATTTTGACCACGATAGTCAAAAGGTTTTTATTATATTTATTGCGACATATTAATATGTAGATGGTTTTAATAATTAACCATTTTGTTTGTTTTCTGTAGTACCTATACCAATTGTTTTGGCATTGTTTTTTTCATTTTCTTTACTAGATTTTCAGTGGCTTTTACATAATATGAATATTATAAAATTTGATATAACCTAAATTTAATTTAGTTTACAATTCGTATCATACATGGACATATTAATATGTCTATGGTATCATATATTTTAAATCCCCCACTGACTATGCGGCGCATAGTATGCGCATAAGGTAGATAATACGCCAAATTATATGGTGTTAAAATGATATCTTTATTAGTTTTTTTTAATGGATTTTGGTCACTTTTTTGCCATTTGCCGTGACGATTTCGCTATGAAGACATTATAGTGCCCATATTTTCAAAGAAAAATCGTACCCGAGATTCCTAATTTAATTGGGCAATAGCAAAAAATTTTGTTCATAAGTAATAATTATTATAACCTACTAAGGGGACTTCCATTAATTACGTAAGACAAAAATGGGGGGAGCTCCCTAGGGGTCCAGCAAAATCTCACCAAATCTCATTTTAAGGGAGGGGGATCATTTAAAATCTCAACTTTTGAGTTTATAAAATATGTATTATTCAAATTTGTTAAAAAAAAATAATCATTTTTTTACATGTTGTCCTCAAAAAAGTTTAATGGCTAAAATCTCGCCTCACGTAATTAATGGATGTCCCCTAAATAGTAATTTATAAGTAATACAATTTTTAATAATTGAATTGAACTGAACTGATACTTTAACTAATATTGAATATTGAAACTTTGTCTAATATAAAGAGCAGTTTTTTTTTAAATTTATTTTAAACCGATATAGGACTATCGTAAAAAAAAATGTAATATAGCAAAATAAAAACACTATCAAAATTATTGCTAATTGCAAATTATCAAACAATAAAAATCCTAATAAACACCATATTGTCTAAATGTAATAAACATGTAATAACCATCGAATCTCAAGTGTCCAAAAAACAAAGCAAACAAAATTTGTCGAAAATTCAGTCAGTTTCGAAAATGAAATCGTTCTATTGGTACTTCCGGCCTCTGGCGATTTTCGCCAAAACATTGGGAGTTTTTCCCTTGCAAAAAATCTCTTCAACAGACCCGAAAAAGTTAAAGTACGCTTATTTTAGTTTGAGCAACTTATACAGCCAGGTGATTTTCGCTTTTTACGTGACCGCGATGTCCTATTGCTCCGGATTCATGTTGAATGTGAAAACATCGATCTTCGTGTTGGTGGTCGTTTACGTCATTTTGGGAAGATCGTTTTTGAGTTTTGGGTTTTCACAAACGCACGGTAAAAAGTTGATACAGTTGATAAGAATTCTGGATGCTTTTGACAAAAAGAAAGAGTATATTCTTATAACGAAGCACAACAGTGTTTTCCTGAATATTTTGAAATGGACGGTTTTACCAACAATTGTTTGCCTATTTACTTTATTTTCTGGTTTTACTAATTATGCACAGTTGATGCATTCAGTTTTACCAAATATTTTGTCAGAATTTAACGTAATGGTTGTTTCGGCATGTTTTGGATTTTTAAGTTGTTGGCAAACCATACCCATGCTTTCTTATATGTACTTTGGCGTCAAAATTAGAAGCAACTTTGAAGAAATTAATAATACCTTAAGGAAGAAACGGTATATGGGAAGCTTTCTAGAGGACATTAAAAGGTAAATTTTGCGAAAAGTCAAGCTCATAAAGCCTGAAGTGGCCAATATTTATACAGCTACACTCACACACAAATTTTTGATGAATTTCAATCGCAAATTACTTTTTTATTTGATTTCGGATTTAAACAAATATTAAAGAATATTGTAGATACATTAATGACGAATCGCTCACATTTTAAAAATTACTAAAAAATACACGTATGTTTATAATATACAGGTTTAAACAAAAAGATGTTTTTTACCATAAGTTTAAGACACTCTGTAGAGTGGCAAAACCGTATATTGTTCTAAATTAAGTTTTAATTATCAAGTCACATCTATTTTTAACAGTTTTGTTTTTGGTTCACCTTGATATATTTATTTTTGTGGAAAATATGATTTTTTTTGCAAAAAACAATTTGATAGCTTTTGAAAGCCGTGTATGACATGTCCAAGTATGGGATGATTCAACAAAACTTTCACTATCATTCTCCATAGCCTATGAATGGACCATAGCAACCTTAGTTCTTCATACAGAAAAATATTGGAAATTGCAGTTTTTTTAAATCCATATTTTCCACAAAAATTAATATATCGAGGTGAACCAAAAACAAAACTGTTAAGAATAGATGTGACTTGATAAATAAAACTTAATTTAGAACAATATACGGTTTTGCCACTCTACAGAGTGTCTTAAACTTATGGTAAAAAACATCTTTTTGTTTAAACCTGTACCTATATTATAAACGTACGTCTATTTTTTAGTAATTTTTTAAAATGTGAGCGATTGTCCATTAATTTATCTACAATATTCTTTAATATTCGTTTAAATCCGACATCAAATAAAAAAGTTATTTGCGATTGAAATTCATCGAAAATTTGTGTGGATCGATTATTTTGCCTGTGAGTGTACTTTTAGAAAGTTATGAACTTTTTTCAGCTACGATGAAGACATGAGCGCCACCTTGCAGAACATCCGCTACTTACACAACATGCTGTCCGAATGCGTGAGGGAGCTCGGGAAATGTTATGGAAGTTTTTTGGCTTTGGAGCACGTTTTTATAATAGTAGTTTTCGTAATTAATATTGGAGCTTTCATCTACAGCGCGGAGCACAGCATTTTTTTGCTCGTCATTACGGCTCTCAACACGATTTTGTTCATTTCTGTTACCATGGTATCGCATGAAATTAAAACAAAGGCAAGAAAACTATTTAACCAAATTGTTCCATTAACTGTGTTTTATATTTTTAGGGGTACGAAATTGTTCATTTATTTAATGGAATCAGATTGTCGTCAATAACACCGGAAAGTTTGCTAGAGGTATATAACATATAAATAAAAAAACTAATTTTTTATAAGTTTTTTCGTAGATACGAATGATGATGATTCAGTTAAACTTGTGCCCGGTGGAGGTCACTGCTGCTGGGTTTTTTGTCTTGGACAAAAGCAAGTTGGCGTCGGTAAGTAAACCAAAACAAAAATGTTGCCCAACAAATATTAACCATGCTTTGTGCATACAACCATAGACTTTTTACTATGTAAAAATAGAAGGATTAAATGAAAACGCAATTTTTTATAAATAATTTATTTATTATTGACTACAAAACATACATAAAATATTTCGCATAATCCTATTTACAAAATTAATCACAATACACTTAGGTCTTTAAGTAACAAATACTTAAGTAATATATGGCGTAAATTACAAAAACGTTCAAAAACTAAGCTTCACATCAAAAAGGCCTTTATCTTTCGAATTGGGCATTTGACATCCCTTTTTCAAATGCCAAATGGGCCTTTTTGGTGTGAGGCATAGTACATGCATTTTTTGGAATTTACGACGAAAACTATACTTTTTCAAATCTAAAATGAATTCAGTTTCTTCCTCATAATTAAAAAGTTTTGAAGACACAATTCCAAGTCCAAATAAAAAACTGTGTCTTCACCTATGTACAAGGTGTTAGAACACCAATGTCACCTTAAAAAGTGAAGCTGGTCCAAAACAAAGAATTTATTAGAAAATGTTTTCTTATTTTTATGCAAGGAATCTCATCCTGGAATTTTTAGCAATGAATCACCCTGTATACATATATACATATTTATATATTTAATAATTAAAGGATGTTCAAACTAGTCATCCTATTAAAAAGTGATGTGTTTTTGGCAAAAAAATTTACAGTCCATGGCCAATTTATTAATCATATTTTTTTTTAATTTTGCGAAATAAAATGGTCCATATCTTCTCACATTTTTGAAATAAAAAATTACAAAAACTCCTTTTTTAATTGAAAGTAAAAAAATATAATAAAAAATATCCCTAAATCCTTATAATAAATATATTATGATCACAAAACAATTTTTTGAGCTTTAAAACTCATTTTCATTAAAATATGTTTAGATAAATGTAATCAAACTTTATTGCAAAAATAAGTTTTAAAGACCAAAGAGTCGTATTAAGAATTTTAGGTAATTTTTTACCATCACTTTTATGATTTTAATTTATTCGTAAAAATGCGCTTGAGTCTAATAAATTGGCCAGGGACTGTATGTCCCATAAACGAAAATACAAATAGCAATATTTTCACTCTTATGCCTCATTCAGAACCTAGTAATTAGTGGTTTCAATTATACTTTTAATTAACACAATGCACAAAATTAACATATAAAATTAAGGAAATTTGCTAAAAGATCGTCCTGACATCGTAACCTGATGAAAAATATAAATTATATTAGAATAATAATTTTTTACAATAATTATAACAATATTTGAGGAGCATCCGTGCAAAACCGGCTATATCCACTTTAATAAAATGTTGGGAAAATGGCAAAAACTATCGGTTTTCTGGCCTTTACAGATAAAAGAAAAAGCAAACTTGAGTTTTGTGGGCTTTGTGGTACTTGATTTATAAGACATACTTTCGTTTTCAAAAACTTTATATTAAGGCCAAAATTTCAAAAAATGTTTTGCTCGAAAACCGAATAAAAAACGAATAAAATGTGAAAAAAAAAACCTTTATTATTCAAAAATATTAACAAAATAAATTTAGTGCAAACATGAAAAAACAGAACAAATTTTAGTAGTAGTATCGACATATCCAAGCCACCTATTATTATTTATTGGATATAGCCGGGTTTGCTATAAAAACGTGGATTTGGCCGGTTTTGCTCCAAAAGCTACCTTTTAAATGTGATTTTAACATGGATTTAGTCGGATTTAAACTGAATTATCTTGGTTGTCGATAGAAATGAACCCAAAGATGCGAAATCAAAAAAAAAACAAAAACTGAATAAAATGGATTTAGCCGGTTTTGCACGGATGCTCCTCATTTATATAAATTTGACACTGACAAATCTTCCATCTTTTACATTTGACATAAAATGTCCGCGCACATGCGCAAAGGCGCTTTCCAATTATGCTGCTGATATTTATGTTGTCGTTGTAAATTTGATTTGTTTTTGTTGCGGTACCTTTACGCCCAAGATAAACCAACGCAATATTTCATTACAAAATTTTAAATTTTGCAGGAATATTAAATGTACCTGATATACGACGTTTAATGAAAGATCAAGCATTCAAAAATGCTCTCAAAGTTGACGAGCTTGTCGCATATGCCATTCATATCGGGCCTAAAATTGGCGCCAATTCATTGAAAAAATGCTCTCCGATTTGCAAAGAATTAGCGTTAATATGTCATTTAAAATACATTTTCTTTTTTTTTCATCCTGATAAATTTGCCGAACTGATGAATATGGAGAACGATTTCACCAAGTAACTGCAAATCTAGAGCATTGGTAAATATCAATGGGTATAGCGGAAAGAAGTTGGATTCATTGCTAGGAGACATTTGCTGGAATTTCCAGCAAAAGATGTACGACGATGATGAGGATTAAGCACAATAATACTATAATCTAATTTAATAAATTTAAGGTAGAAAAAAGCAAAATTATGCAATGCATTAAATTTTGTAGGCTTAATTTGGATAAAAATACCAAAACTTGTTTACTTTGTCGCCCTTTCAATTCAATAATTAAAAAATGTCATATTGTTAAGATAAATATGATCTATTTGCCGTATACCAATTACTTTAATTTAATTTTAAGGTAACTGAGCAGAGAATTTTATTACGAAATTATTTTAAATTCTAGACGTCCTAGAGAAAAACCAATGACATTTTTGAAATCAGCGGCCCAAAATTAGTTAAACTAAGCTGGAGTAGTTAATGTTAGGAAAAAAAGTTTGTGAAACTATTATAGTGTAATTAGTGGCAATAGTATGGAGTTTGCACACTTTTTCCACTAATTGTATACTACCACTAATTTTTTGGTTGTGAACAACACTGTGTAAAAGACAAACTTTTACGTTAATTGAAACCACCAACTTATTCCACCAATTACGAGGTTCTGAATGAGGCTTTAACCCTCGACAAACGATAAAATAAAACTTTTATCGCAAGTTTCAAAATTAAAACTAAAAAAAAAAAAATACCTTCACACCGTCGACAGGCGCCGGCACTGCATCACGTTCAGCAGCCGCTTGCACAGCTTCCTCTTTTTCGGCTTCGGTCGGCAGCTGTAGCGCACGAAGTAGTAGAGGCAACAGAGCGCCAGGCAGAGGCACAGGAACACCGTGTAGCCGGACATTTCCGAGGCGCGACCAGCGCCATCTGCCGGCTTGTTGCGCCAGCTCCACTCGATCAGCTCGGCGCTGTTCTCGTGGCCCGACGCGTCTGCAATTCAATCGGCTGACATTAAACGTGGCGAAGTGGCAAAAAAGTTGTGAAAAAAACTCCGAAAATAATAGAGTAATTGCATCAAAAATGAAAATTCCTAAAAACCTTTTTATTGTAATCTAGAGGTAAAAACACATTGCGAAAATATTTTGTTATATTCCAAAAGTTCAACCCGGCCCCAAAATATCAAATTGAAAAAAAGGTACGTTTCAAACGTTCCGAACTCCCGCCACATTGCATGACGTCATAAAGCTAGCTGTCAGAAATCAAGATGTCAACAAATAATAAACACCGATAAAGTTTATGTTTAACATGGAAAACGCGAAACCAAAAATTGGTTGTAAATATTGTTTTGTGCCTTGTTGTACAAATACAACCTGGAAAACTCCTGGGAAAAGGTTTATCACCGTGCCAAAAGGGAAAATAAGGATACAGTGGATTAAAATAGCTCGGCGCGATATCAAAACATCGTCACCGCAGTCAACATTTTATTGCTCATTTTAAGGATCATTTTAATGTAAGTAAAATAAAATGTCGTTTACTAGGTATATGGTTTGAATAGGTATGTTAAATATTAATAAACTCAAGAAAATACGGCTGAGCCGTAACTACTCTCAGTGTAGGGTCATAAACTTTGCTTTTGATAATTGAAGGGACAACTTTCCCAGGAGTTTTCCAGGTTGTATTTGTACAACAAGGCACAAAACAATATTTACAACCAATTTTTGGTTTCGCGTTTTCCATATAAACTTTATCGGTGTTTATTATTTGTTGACATCTTGATTTCTGACAGCTAGCTTTATGACGTCATGCAATATGACGGGAGTTCGGAACGTTTGAAAAGTACCTTTTTTTCAATTTGATATTTTGGGGCCGGGTTGAACTTTTGAATATAAAAAAATATTTTCGCAATGTGTTTTTACCTCTAGATTACATTAAAAAGGTTTTTAGGGATTTTCATTTTTGATGCAATTACTCTATTATTATTATGCATTTACAAACCTTTGATTAGGTTGTCGTTGACGTTGTGGAGCGGCGCCGAGGCGTCCTCTATGAGTGAAAGCAGTTTTTGCGATTGGTACAGGTTTGTAGGCGCAGATACGTTGAGTGGGACAGGGTGGGAATACACTAAATGAGGACATTGGGGGAGAGGTTTCGTTTGCGACTCTCCCAGGTTTGCTTCCAAAACTTTGGAGTATCTAAGAAAGAAAAGTAAATTCAAGTTACAAGTTACAATTACAATTAAAAATACATGTGCGCTTAGACCATACAGATAAACTGAAACTTATTTTAGACAATTTTATTAAATTCCTTTTTAGTTTAATCGGTAATTATTAATAATGATTTCATTATGTGATTTATTCAGATATACGCTAAAGAAGAATCGGGTTTTCGCAACCCGCGCGCCATCTAACAATACATTTAAAGCTTACTAAATGCACATCATTTTTAAATAAATAAGTAGTTTTTCACAAAAGAGAGGAACTCGACAAATTGTGTTCAATTGCACAGCTAAACCGCGCACGTTATTTGTGTTTTGCGTTGCAAGTAAAAACTAAAAAACTTTGGTTTAGTACTCGATTTGGATTTATTATTCCTTATATCATTACTTATCATTATCATTTCTTAATGGGTTATTTTTTTTGGTATATAATAATTATTTTATTGAAACGAACTATAAAGCATCGAATAGGGTATGTTTCGAAGTATTTGTAAAAAAAATTGTAGGTATGCGAAAATATAGAAAATTGTGGAAAATACAGCCATTGAACCGAAACGTCTTTTTTCAAGCGTTTGCGGTGAGCATAAAATATCGAAAACCGCCAAACAGATCTTAATGATTAAAAAATCCATATTAGAACATAGTATCACCCCCTTCTTGAACGAAAGGTTTTGTAAAAAAAAATGTTCAAGCAAATGGCGATGATTTTCCCAAAATAATCGATTTTCAAAGGTACAAAAATTGAGTTTGCCGGACGAAAAAAATAGAAATTTTTGTCCGAATGAAAATCCCTTCGTTCACGAATGGACTATTGTAATTAGGAACAACACTTCCAAATTTCAGATCGATCGGTAAATTGGTTTTCGAGAAATCATGTGACGCGTTCCTTTTAACAGTGTGTAGAAATCAGCTAGACAAATAATTATTTTAAGTAACTTTTTTATCAAAACTCAAAAATAAAAAAGTTTAATTAAATTTTAAGCCGGTCCTGGCTATTGTTAACGAAAAACATAACCATAAAAATATCAAAATAAACAATGCAAAATGTCATATTTGACAACAAACATAACCATTTAAATCAAATTGACATTTTGCAATAAAAAATGTCATTATTTACTTGCATATTAAGTTGCAGCATTTGCATTTTGACGACACTCTCCATAAATTAGTAACATTTCCACTCATTCATTATTGCTATAATTATGAACCATTTTTAACAATAATTGAGGCATACAAAAACTGACATTTTTCATTGCTAAATGTCATTTTGATTTAAATGGTTATGTTTGTTGTCATATATGACATTTTGCATTGTTTATTTTGTTATTTTTATTTTTATGGTTATGTTTTTTGTTAACAATAGCCAGGACCGGCTCAAAATTTAATTAAACTTGGAAGGCCTATAACTGTCTTGGTTTTGAGTTTTGATAAAAAAGTTACTTAAAATATTTATTTGTTTATCTGATTTCTAACACATAATATAATACCGGTGCTTGGTATTTTACTGTTGAGGGAGACTTTTTTAATCAATGCTGTTTAAATTTAGACGACTTATTTGTTTTCTGATTTTTACTGAATTTATATTTACAGGGACTTAATGCAATTTATTTCTTTATTTGGATTTCCGCTGTTAATTGGGAAACCGGGAAAAACTTTTGGTCCGAAAATTTTAAAGTAGGTTTGAAAATAATAATTAATTTGGTCTATTTTGAAAATTTGTAAATTTTTCATATTTATACTACCGTCAAGTTTTGGTTCATCCCGTCCGCAAATTTTGGAAATCTTGAAAATTTGGTAATTTTTTAAAATTTTCTCATTTTTATTTTTATTTTTTTTATTTCATATTTAAACCACCGCGGTGCACCGTCAAGTTTTGGTTTACCACCTTCGCAAATTTAAGAAATTTTGATGATCCTCAAAATTTTGTAAATTTTGAAAATCCTAAAAACTTCGTAAATATTGGATTTTTTATTTTTATACCACCGCCAAGTTTTGATTTAGCCTGTCCGCAATTTTTTTCAATTTTTTTTATTTTGATGTATGCTACTGTGCGAATTTTGTTTGAATATTTCAATTCGACGCAGGCATATGCGCGCGCCGTTTTCGTTTCATCCTTCGTAACGCCGAGGTTTGGTTTACTCGTCCTCAAAGAAGTTTCACTTCAAAAAAACAACAAACCTGTAAAGTCTGTTTCCCTCCATCCGGGCGGGATGTTCAGTGTGAACCACATCGTCCAAGCTCTCCAAAGCGTTGTCCTTGAACACAGAGGGCAGATGGGAGGTGGAAGTGTACTCCAACATCGCATCCAACATCCAGTAGCACGGGCTTTCAATATGGCTACCATCGATGCAATTCGAGTCACCGTACACGACGATACGACCGCTTTTGTCGGTAGATTTTGATTGAAGGAGGCCCAGAACGGGAACTTTGTACTTTTCGGTGTCCACCTCTCCGATAATCTAAAATCAAGCGAAGAAACTTTAATTAACAGTTACTGCAGTACCTGTTAGGGTTGGGAAAATTTCACTTTTTGCTTGTACTATGCTCCACACCTCAAAGTCCCACCACGTGACCACGTACGGAACGCAGTCTTTTGAAAATTTGGCATTTAAGGCAGGTTATGTATCTGTCAAAGTATGGTCAACGAAAGAAATAATATTATGTATAAATCTTTATAACATTACTATAACAATGGATGGTTTAAGAATTTAAGAATAAAAATACTGCATTTAATAAAATTCTAAAGTGTATGGTGCCAAATAAGTAATATTTTTGTGCATTTTGTCCAAATATCTGGTTTTCTCCATAAAATAATTTAAACTAAACAGCATTTATTAAAAAAAATCTAGCTTCTCTATTATGGAATAAGAATATCTGTTTTAAAGGTAGGTTAATATATTATAACAAAAATATCATCTAATTTTGTAATTTTAAGGTTGGAAAAATTTATTTTGACCAAAATAAATAAGTATTTTGGATTATTTAAAAGACTGTCTAATATGGTATTTAAAAATTTGGTAGTTTTTCTTATCCAGCTTTAAAGTGTACATACATAAAGTTTTGTCAATACAAATAGTTAAAAAGCTTAGACTAAATTTGATCTACATTGAAAAATCATTATAACTTTAAAAATTTTAATAAATCACATGTCATGGGAGTATTAAATATTTTCACATTGAAAGTTTCTCTAAAAATTGTTTGTTTTCTTATAATCTAACTTAAAGTAGGTATGCCGAGAGGTATGCACAAGTTTTGTCATTAGAAGTATAAAAGCTTCAATTTAATTTGAACCATATTCAACAATTATTTAGTATACCTATATTTATTTATGACCAAATTAACACACTCTTCCAAATAATCCACTTATTTATTTTGGTCCAAATAGATTTTTCTAACCTTAAAATACAAAATTAGATGAATTTTTTGTTCTAATACATTAACCTACCTTTGATACAGATATTCTTATTTCATAATAGAGAAGTTAGATTTTTTTAAATAAATGCTGTTTAGTTAAAACTATTTTATGGAGAAATGTAGACCCAAAGCACAAAAATATCACTTATATTGCACCTTACAGTTTGGAATTTCATTAAATGCAGTATTTATATTCCTAAATTCTTAAACCAACCATTGATATTGTGACACTAAAAAGATTTATTAACTTTTAACGCTTAAAGATAAGCGGTAACACTATAAAAATTATTTCTTTCATTGACTATACTTTGACAGATGCATAACCTGAAAAGCCTTAAATGGCAAATTTTCAAAAGACGTGGTCACGTGGTGGGACTTTGAGGTGTGGAGCATAGTACTTGAAATTTCACTTGAAATTTTAATGACATTTATGACATTTATTAAAATTTCCTAAATTTCTGAAATTTCATGAAATTTATGAAATTTATTGAAACTTTCAATAAATTTCAATCACTTTAAGTGTAATATATTAATATTGAAATAAGCCCACTCGGGGACCATGGCAAATTGCCTCTCTTAACTCCTACCCCTCTGTGGGCCCCTGCACCAATAATATAAATAGTAAATACCTATGTTTACCACAAATTTCTTGAGATTTCCTTTTAAAATATTTTTAAAATTACTAAAACTAAAAGAGATATAGCACTTTTTGGTAAGCTAATGAGATTGTGCCACTTCATTGTTTTATATTTATATATATTTATTATTTTTAAATATTTTACTGAAATTTTACGAAAATTGAAGAAACTTCATCAAAATTTTATGAGCCAAAGGCATTTTTTATCCGTTTTCCGATGCAATTATAGCAAAAGTAAAAGTTTCAATTAATCATGACTTTTAAAAAAAAATTAAAGTCTGATTTAATTTACAAATTAAATTGGTAACTGAATAAAATTATTTAAATTAATTTATGCATATAAGTAACAATAATTACTTATAGTGTATTGAAATCCAAGCCGAACTAAACAAAAACGCCCAGACGCTTGATAAATCGTTCTTATTGGTCGATTCGGAATCTGTTGTAAATTATTATTAAAGGTCCCAGGGGAGGCCGCATGTGAAATTTATGCGAAATTTTCAGTAAATTGCGAAACTTTCAATGAAATTTCTGAAACTTTCACAGGCAATGTTGAAATTTTCGGATTGAAAATTTCATTTGAAATTTTTAAAAATTTCACTTTTCCAACTAAATGAAATATTTCAAGTTTGAAACTTTTAAAGTTGAAATTTTCATTTACACTACCTGTACTCCTTGGTCGTTAAGTGATGCAGCGATCAGTACGCCCTCTTCGGGGAATTTTTTGATGCTAGTGCCAGAAGCGTAGTACATATCGTGATCGTTCAATTTAAAATGTCCCTCGAACACCCTGTCTCCCAATTGTACGCCCCAGGAGGTTAATAAGTCGTTGAGGGCGGGCACATTGCTACCACCTGTGTCGGGCATCCACCACTGTCTTGTATTTTCGTCATAAAATTTCACCTAAAAGAATGGCGTTTTAACTTTTGAAAATGTGCTTTTGAGGTTTTAAAATGTGTTTGGCAAATTGTAATTTTTAGTCGATAGTACACTCACAGGCAAAATAATCTATCTACACAAATTTTTTATGAATTTCAATCGCAAATAACTTTTTTATTTGATTTCGGATTTAAACAAATATTAAAGAATATTGTAGATACATTAATGAAAAATCACTCACATTTTAAAAATTACTAAAAAATACACATACGTTTATAATATACAGGTTTAAACAAAAAGATGTTTTTACCATAAGTTTAAGACACTCTGTAGAAAGGCAAAACCGTATATTGTTCTAAATTAAGTTTTAATTATTTAATTAATTATTACATAAGTCACATCTATTTTTAACAGTTTTGTTTTTGGTTCACCTTGATATATTAATTTTTCTGGAAAATATGATTTTTTTTTTAAAAACATTGCAATTTCCAATATTTTTCCTGTATGAAGAACTAAGGTTGCTATGGTCCATCCATATCCTATAGAGGATGACAGTGACAGTTTTGTTGAATCATCCCATACTTGGACATGTCATATACAGCTTTCAAAAGCTATCAAATTGTTTTTTGCAAATTAATGTTTAAATTTTGAGGTGTCTTCTTACTTTTAAAAATGTCTCCGACTGATGTTGCCCTTTGTACTTTACTTCTTCTTACTACTTACCACGTAATACTGTGACCGTCCATCCTGGATTAAATTAATGGCTCTGGCAACATCAGTCGGAGACATATCCTTTTTTTAAATTAAGAAGACACCTCAAAATTTAAACATTAATTTGCAAAGAACAATTTGATAGCTTTTGAAAGCCGTGTATGACATGTCCAAGTATGGGATGATTCAACAAAACTGTCACTGTCATTCTCCATAGCCTATGTATGGACCATAGCAACCTTAGTTCTTCATACAGAAAAATATTGAAAATTGCAATGTTTTTTAAAAAAATCCATATTTTCCACAAAAATAAATATATCGAGGTGAACCAAAAACAAAAGTGTTAAGAATAGGTGTGACTTGATAAATAAAACTTAATTTAGAACAATATACGGTTTTGTCACTCTACAGAGTGTCTTAAAGTTATGGTAAAAAACATCTTTTTGTTTAAACCTGTATATTATAAACGTACGTCTAATTTTTAGTATTTTTTTTAAATGTGAGCGATTCTCCAATAATTTATCTACAATATTCTTTAATATTCGTTTAAATCCGATATCAAATAAAAAAGTTATTTGCGATTGAAATGCATCGAAAATTTGTGTGGATCGATTATTTTGCCTGTGAGTGTAGAAGACCATAGAACTTTTATTGCCTCATCGTGAATACACGCTCTCACAATCACTTGACATGAGGCCATTTAAATACATGTAATTTTGACAATGATTTACTATTTTTGTTTTAATTTCACGAAAAATGTATGCCTTTATACATTACATTTTGTAGAATTTTAAAACGATAAAACATAATTTTAATTACATTTGACAATTTTCCTATAATGTCAGCCATTTTAAATAGCATTTTTTTTATTTTTGCTTAATTGTCATAGTTATAATTATGTCAACAATTGTAACTTTAACAGTTAAGCTTAATTTTCATGTATCCGTTTGTCCGTTAGTCCATTCATTTGGGAGCGCTCTTATTGGTCCAATTATAATTCGACATTTTATCGGTCCGTCAAGTTTCAACTTCGTACGTCGGACAGAGAAAGTTAAAATAATTTTAACTCATCCGTCACTACACATCTGTTTTTGACGCCTAAAGTTATTTTAAGATAATTTATTTACAAATATTTTTATATTTTTTCAATAAGATTGTAAAACGTGAATATTACGTTCGTTATGTAAATAATGTTCTACTGTTTTAATAAGAATAACGGAAAAAAGAAAGGACAAAAAAAATTAAAACTAGAACTAAAAGGACCTGCTTTTTAAAAACTATATATTCTTTTTATAAGGTATATTTACCTACCTTTAAATTTATTAGACAGTTAACTGTTAAAGTTACATTTGTTGACATAATTGTAACTATGACAATTAAGCATTAGGTAAATTTAGTAATAGTCCGGTCAATCTAGACATTCGAAGTTACATAAATTTACAACAAGCTGAAAATCAGTAAAATTGTTCAGAATATAATTATAAATAAAATTTTAAAGTTCCCCATAATTCCCCTGTATGGAAAAATTTTTATTCAAGGTCAAAGGTCAAAAAAATTATTTTTCGAGATTTTCGGCAAAACGGTAAATTTTATCATAAAATACCCCAGACAAATATTGTAGATCATAAAATTATCTATAAAAAATGTATCAATACTTTTTTTTCTACGAGCCACCGTTTCTGAGATATAACGATTCGAAAAGTTGTAAAAGTTATAATCGTCATAATATGCACACGTTTCCACGCCACCTATGAGGTAGTGTACTTAGCGCGTTTTTTAACGTGTTTTCCCCAGTAGCCTATTCCACGGGTCAGTTGTGATTCTGTTTAATTTGAAACTATTGCAAAATAACGGAAATTAGCAATGATTGGAAAAGATAAAAGCGATGTAAATTAAAAAAAAGTACTGAAGTTAATTAGTCTGATTCGTAACATTTAAATTCTTCTTCTTATTCTTCTACTTGTTCTTGTTGTTCTTCTTCTTCATCTTCATCCTGGGTACAAGTAAATTGCGTCAGTAGCGATGTATCGCATGTCACCTCCTTGGAATTAAATGAATCCTCCACTGTTGGTGATTCAACATTAGAGCACGACCGGCCTTGACAATTCGTACATACCAGAGAATAAAACAGTCCGACTTTTTTGCAACCACATTTAGCACTGCATCCCTTTTTGTAGTTGCAAAAAATTGTGTTCAGCATTTTTTCCGGCGCAGGTGGGAGTCTAATGGGTTGTTGACCAACTTCCAACCCCAGTCTGTAGGGTCTAGCTGATAACCAAGCCACACTTGAACTTGAAATATTTTGATGAGCAGCAACTGAGGTTGGAGGAAGACAAGCTAATTGAACTTGTTTTTTATTTTAGTATTTTTAACGAAAGATGCATATCGATACTTAGCAAAGCAGGTAGTTTTTTTAGGAGCTCCGTATATAGAAAGAAGAAATGTCCCGAAGCACCTTTTCCTCGAGTTTGGCCGAAGACAACGGAACGTGCCAAATTTGAAGGAAAAATCGAAAAAAAGTGGACTTGGGCCTTTTCAACACCGGAAAAATTTGGTCCGCGGATAGGTCTCGTGGGCAGAAAAAAGGATGCAAATTTCGAGTGTCCGCCTTCAACGGCCTCCGAGCTACGGCGCTTAGAAAAAACAAGGATAACCAGACTAGCAGACAACGGAAAAAATAAATATTGCAAACGGGCCGGATCCGCCGGAAACTTTTCGATCTTTTTTTATTTTTTTCGAAAAAAATTTAAACGTTTTTTAGGGCGAGAGAAATTTTCGAAAATGGCCGAACGAAATACACGAATCAACGGGTAAAAGACCAAAGTTTGACATACTAAAAGATGAGCTTCATCGAATGAAAACTAATTGGCCAGAAGCCCGTTTAATTTTTGTTGTGTATTTAAAAAAGTTAACCAATTAAAATCCCCGAAATCAAATCGATAAGGTGGCAAATGACAGGTGGCATTTGACAGGGTCAAATGACAGGTGACAGATGTCAGATGACAGGTGACAGATGACAGGTGACAGATGTCAAGTTGACATATGACAGATCATCTGTCATCTGTCACAGATGTCTCGATGGCGTATAAATTAATTAATTTATACCCAGTCCCTTAAGGGACTGGGTTTTATTTCACTTGATATTCTTATAGTTATAACTTATGTAGGTATATTTTATATTTTAAGTGTAAGTGAAAATGACCGATAGAAAAATATATTAACATATATTAAAACTGTATTAAAAATGTATATACGTGACGTACTCATGTATACGAGCCCTAACCACATAATGTTCGGACACTTCATAATTTATACAGAAATTTTTTTCGTGAATACTATCTCAAAATTATTAGAAGTTATGAAAAATTCAGCTTATTTTGGCATATACCCCTCGAAGCGATTTTTATTTTTAAAAAGTTTACCTTTTATTTTTAGCTTTTAAAAAAAGGCTAACTTTTTAACTTTTTTTTGTATGAGTAAAAAAAGTTATAAATGGACCCATTAAAAAGAGCATAAAATATTATACAAACCCTGAAAATTTGGTAAAAAATAAATAAGTTATAAAAAAGTATAAGTAATTTAAAAATGCTAATTTTAAAGAGTTTTTGCAATTTTCTTAGGAAACGGGAGATTTTGCAGATATATATATCGCTATAACTTTCTTATTATTTATACAATTTTTACCAAATTTTCAGGGTTTGTATAATATTTTATGTTCTTTTTAATGGGCCCATTTATAACTTTTTTTACTCATGCAAAAAAAGTTAAAAAGTTAGCCTTTTTTTTAAAGCTAAAAATAAAAGGTAAACTTTTTAAAAATAAAAATTGCTTCGAGGGGTATATGCCAAAATAAGCTGAATTTTTCATAACTTCTAATAATTTTGAGATAGTATTCACGAAAAAAATTTCTGTATAAATTATGAAGTGTCCGAACATTATGTGGTTAGGGCTCGTATTATGACGATTACAACTTTTACAACTTTTCGAATCGTTATATCTCAGAAACGGTGGCTCTTAGAAAAAAAAGTATCGATATATTTTTTATAGAAAATTTTATGATCTACAATTTTTGTCAGAAATATTTTTGTGATAAAACTTCCCGTTTTGCTGAAAATCGCGAAAAACTAATTTTTTTGACCTTTGACCTTGAATAAATTTTTTTCCATACAGGGGAATGATGGGGAACTTTAAAATTTTATTTATAATTATATTCTGAACAATTTTACTGATTTTCAGCCTGTTGTAAATTTATGTACCTTCACTGTCATTTTTTGGTCTAATTTGACCGGACTATAAAGTAAATGTACTGACACTTAATTTCTATTTGTCGCCAAATCAATCCGTTAAACGTCATTAAAAAACGTATGCATGAAAATTAGAACATTTCTTATCGGACGATTTTATTGAAAAACGGATAAACGGATGACGGACAAACGGATACATGAAAATTAAGCTTTAGCTCTCTAATAAATTTAAAGGTAGGTAGATATACCATATAAAAAGAATATACTAACCTTAATGTACATTAAAATGTATAGTTTTAAAAAAGCAGGTCCTTTTAGTTCTAGTTTTAATTTTTTTTGTCTTTTCTTTTTTTCCGTTATTCTTTTTAAATAAAAACATAACATTAGAACATTATTCACATAACGAACGTAATATTTCAGTTTTACAATCTTATTGAAAAAATATAAAAACATTTGAAAATAAATTATCTTAAAATAACGTTAGGCGTCAAAAACAGATGTGTAGTGATGGATGAGTTAAAATTATTTTAACTTTCTGTCAGACGTACGAAGTTGACTTGACGAACCGAGAAAATGTCATAATTTTTGAATTATAATTGGACCAATAAGAGCGCTCCCGGATAAACGGACAAACAGATACATGAAAATTAAGCTTTAGTGCACTTCTCAGACTCAGATAAGTTTGAAACTATCTATTCGTTTATTACACTATGACTTAAATTTTATCGATGTCCTATCGAATTTCTAAAATTAGTTTGGACTTTTTGTTAATTCTTTATATTCGCTCAATACACTTACCTTCTTCATGGCCGTAACGTTGTACCAATCAGCAAAAACTATAACGGAAAGACCAGCGTCAACGTCTCTTTTTAATTTTAATATTTCTTCGGGGAAAAATTCCTCTTCAGGATCCACTATCAAAAGTGTTCCGTATTGAGACGCGTCAAAACAAGTAAACGGAGAACCGAGCACTTCTACGTAATACCCAGCGTTTCTTAGGTTTTGATACATGTCCTAAAACAACAAAAAATGTATTTCAGGATATTATGATACGAAAATCTCGGACGTACCTTAAAATTAGTGTGTATGTGATCCCCGTTCCAATCCAGGGGATTATTCTTAACCTTCAAATTATCCCGAGGGAAATACCCAGGCGGGTACCTTAAATTGTGATACTGATCCCACAGGATCCTTTTGTGTTTGGAAGGGGTGGGGATAATTTTCGCCCTTATAGGTAGGTGCACCGTGCTCTGACGAGGTTCGGTCTCCCCCCGTCCGGGGGGAGACTCCACCGTGAGGGACACGTGACCGTGCGCCAGTCCCTCGTACTGCGCCCCCTGGGTGGACACCGACAAACTAACCGCCATCCAACCTAAAAATTAAAAAGGTGACTTTCATACATGTGTGGTTATTAGACTGGGCCAAAAAAAATTATGGTGAAAGTTTGAGTTCATAATATTAATATTAAGAGGTCTATCCAAAGATATTATCTTTGGGTTTATCATCGCAATTTTAGATTTTTTTTTCCCGAGCGAGTTTTTGCCTCAGAACTCCCAAACCATTGAGTTTAACAAAATTGACCTAAAAATATTTTTTTAAGAAAATTGAATGCTCTACAAAAAAGGTTTAATTGGAATTTCCCGTCAGATGAACAGTTTTCTTACAATCATGCCTTAAAAATTGGTAACGTTTTACAATTTGATCTTTTAACTTTGGAACTTTGTAATTCATGTAAAAATCAGTACCCGGAAAAAAACCGATAGATATTCTTATGGGAAATCAAATTCTCTACAAAAAAGGCTTCTAACATTTTTCACTTCATCAAAAGATATTCAAGGTTAAATTTGAAGTCAAAACGAAATTCTTGTTTTTTCCGCTCTAGATTTTTATTGGTCAGTTAAAAACTTTCTTTTATCGATGATAATCTTTATGTTATTGATCATGTTTTTTTATTGTAAATTGTTAATTAGTAACCTTGAATAACTTTTGATTGAGTGAATTTAGCCAAAAATGTTAAGAGGCTTTTTTGTAAAGCATTTGATTTCTCATAAGAATATTAAATAAATTTTATCGGTTTTTTATGGGTACTGATTTTTACATGAATTACAAAATTTCAAAGTAAAAAGATCAAAATGTAAAACTATACAAATTTTTAAGGCATGATTTTAAGGAAACGGTTGATCTGACTTTATTTTAACCTTTTTTGTAGAGCATTTAATCTTCTTAAAAAAATATTTCTGTCAATTTTGTTAAACTCAATGGTTTGGGAGTTCTAAGACAAAAACTTGCTGAAGAAAAAAATTTAAAATTGCGATAGACCTCTTAATATTAATATTATGGACTCAAACTTTCACAATATTTTTTTTTGTCACCCCAAACCATATTTTTGATATACTAAAAATAATTGATTTTTTTGGCCCAGTCTAATGTTTATATTAGTTTTGTGTTATTGGCTGAAGAAAAAGGTCGCTGATGAAAGAGTATTGAAACATAAATGACTACCTTTCTTGAAGGGAGAACATAACTCCCAGCACAAAAATACGCTGGTCAGTACCATTTATACAAAATCTACAATAGATTAATTGATTCCTGAATGATTTCCATGATGGATGGTTAAAATAATTAAATAAAATCTGTGCATACAGCCATTCGCCATGGTGCATGGTTAAAATGAACTACAAGATGAAGGTTGAACAATAAAAAATGTATACATGAAATCAAACTGGTACAAAGTATTTTATACAAGAAAAATTATATGGATGATTGTAAAAGTGTAATAATAATGTTATGTATGTAATTTTGGACATTGATGTTAAATATATTGAAAAGAAATGAAGAAAGAAAATGGACAAATTAATAAACAAAAAAACAAGTGTGGGAAAAAAATAAAGTGATACAGTAAATATTGTGAAAAAAATTAGACATAAAATAATATTAAAATGAACTATGAACAATAAATTATTGTCAATAATAATAAAAAACATAATGAGCTGGCCAAATAGCTTTTAATTAAGCTAAAGGCCATTACCCCTGAACACAGTGCTTCTGTGTTCAGATTGAAGAAGAAGAAACATGTTTATAAAGTTTTAAAATATTTTTCTTACCTGACCAAGGCCATAGAAGTTCCGAGTGCGATATGGCAACGTCCAACAGATGGCCCTGTTGCGGAGTGTACGGGTGCCACTGCGGTTTGTTGATGATTCTTCCGGAAACACCCATACCGTTTAAAATTGTGACGTTCACTATGACCGGTTGAGAGCCGTAGTAGAGCGGTTGCGTGCAGTACGGCCACATGTACGGGCATTCGCTCAAATCCACGTAGGTCGGACTTAAACTTGCCTAAGATTTAAAAAAGTTGGTTCGGTTCGAAAAAATGAGGGAAAATTAAAAAAAAAAACGTTTTTTGCATTTTATGTTATAATTGAAGGGATAAGAAGCAAAAGGGTACAAGTGCATTTTAGCATGATAAGTTTTTTTAAACATTTTCTCCTAATATTGAAATAAGTATCCACATTTTTGAATATAGCAAAAACCTCAAAAGTTCATAACTCCACTTCTCTTTTTTGCTCTTGTACCCTTTTGCTTCTTACCCCTTCAATTTAGACATTCTTTTTAAAATGCGTTTTGACTTTCTAAAGTTTTATTCATTAATATAGGCCCGAAATCCTAAAACAAGTCAACAGGTTTTTGGTCTTTAGAATGTGTTTTAACTTCTTTTTACATTTAAAATGTTTTTGACATTATAAATTATGTTTTATATTCTCAAATTTGTCTTCTAAATATGTGTAGGTTTTTTATTATAAAATTTGTCGAGTTAAAATTTAAAAAACCATTTTTTGTATTTTACATTATAATTAAAGGGGGTAAGAAGCAAAAGGGTACAAGTGCATTTTAGCATGAAAATAAGTTAAGTGCAGAATTGGTTAGTTCAAATTTGTTTAAAAATTATCTCATAACTTTAAAAGTTTATAAATAAACTTCTCTTTTTTGCACTTGTACCCTTTTCTAAAGTTTAATTTATTAATAGTCACGAAATTCTAAAATAATTCTTAACATGTTTTTGCTCTTTAGAATGTGGCTTCTGGGTATTTTAGCCACGGGCTGAAGTTGGCTTTATTATAAATTGAGGTTAAATCTGTTGACAGGTGTCAAATGTTTAACAAATAAAATTTGCCTTAAATTCTGTGTTCGTCGTAGATAAAGTATAGTATCCAACTCGTTTTATAAATTTTTCTAGGCACTCGTTTTTATTAAACACTCGCTCGCAAGCTTCGCTCGTGCCTAAAAAAACTCGTAACTAAAATGGCGTTTATAAAACTTAATACATAATATACTATTAACATTTAATAGTATATTATGTATCAAGTTTGATAGACGCCATTTTAGTCACGAATTTAATTTAGGCACGAGCGAGCATGCGAGCAAGGGCTTAATTGAATGAGTGCCTAGAAAAGTTTATGAACGAGTTGCATACTATTCTTTATCTACGCCAGTGAGATAAGAACTTCTTATCCCATTTATTTTGAGTGAGATAAGAAGTTCATTAACGCACGCGTTTTTCTCTGCTTTTAACCAAACAAATAAAAAAGTCAAAATGTCAAAATAACCCTAAATTAAGTCTTAGACAAAAATAATTACCGTTTATTTTTTCATTTAGAGGCGTAGATAAAAATTAGTACAATATACGTGTGATAACGCTTTATTAACGTACTTTTGCGATTGCCCAACTCGTGCTACGTACTCGTTGGGCAAATTTCGCATGCGTACGTTAATAAAGCTCTTATCCCACTTATATCGTAAATAACTATTTTCTACGTTAAATACTTAATATAATTTAAAAAATGATTTAAATTAAATATTTGTACAAAGCGACAACTATACGAAAATAAAGTAACATTTTTTACTTAATTTTTACCCTTAACATTGACCGTTATTATTTTAATTGAACTTTACAATTATTGATACTTAATAATATTAAAATATCTTTTAAATATGATTATGTTAAAAAAATATTTCATTGTTTGATTTTTTTATTACTTTAATTGCAAAATATTATTACAGTATAAAACATTCTTATACGGAAAATGTTAAAGGTACAAAAAGTGACAGTTGTATTTATTGGAATTCCTGTTAAATTTCTAACTTGGGAATCTACCGGCTTTAAAATCTCAAATTTTTTTGTGTAAATCAAAATATATCCCTTGAAAATAGACAATCGATATAGAAGCAGTTTTTCACAGTAAAATAGAAGATAATGTTTTATGGGCACTGTACGCAAAATTTTTAACGCTTTATCAGTTAAATCTAGTTAATCTTTTCAAATATTGGCGTCAAGAAACTATTTGATACTTTTGTATTTTTGTATTGAGATAATAAAATAATTTTTACATTAAGTATATTTTACAAGCCACAACTTGTCAATGTGTATTTAAAAGGTCACTTAGTGTCATGAAAACATGTATGATTGAAGGTGGGAGTAGAAAAAATGTTTTTGGCATTATAAATTATGTTTTATATTCTTAAATATGTCTTCTAAATATGTATAGGTTTTTCATTCTAAAGTTTGTCGTGTTTTTCTGAAATGGTTCGTCTGTAGCTAAATATTTCGAAATTAATGCAATACAAAATTACAAGGTATAAAAAATATATTAAACCTACCTGTGGCTTATAGGTGTTCAAAATCTGATAGGCCTTGAGCAAATTCAGCTTGCCATGCCCCTGCTCGAACATATTAACCCCGGGCAACCTCCTCGCAGAAGCCATTAAGGCCTGCTTCATGCTGGCGGGGTTGATGATATCCCCCCTGTGAAGCACGCCGCTGGCCAGCAAGGTGACAGCCCCCGCCACCACCGGCGAGGCCACGCTGGTGCCGGACAACGTTCTGCAGCCGCCCTTGATGTTGGATCCTTTGACGGCCGAACCGTAAGTGACTATGTCGGGTTTTATGCGCCCGTAGCCTTGCGGCAGCTCCCAGGTGGTCATGCCGCGCGACGAGAATTTCGCGATTTGGTCCTCGAAATTTATGCCGCCGACGCCTATGACGTCCATTTGGTCGGCCGGGTTGTTTAGCGTTCCGTAGAGGGGCCCGTCGTTGCCTATTGCGGACACCATTATAACCTGAATAATAGGTATGGTAGAGACAACGATATACCTTACTTTTATTTTACATGTAGACAGGCCGAATTCGGTTTTTAAGAATGGGAGAATAATTTTTAAGAGTAATTCGGCAGTAGATCCTTCAGTGGCGTTGGGTGATAGTCGAAGTTTTCTCTGGATTATTAATACGAATTACGCATAATTAAGTTAATTTACTTTTAAAAATGATTATTTTAAGTATCTTAATAATTTTTAAAAGTAATTCGTAATAATAATCCAAAGCAAACTTCGACTATCGCCCAACGCCAGTGAAGGGTCTACTGCTGAATTACGAAAACCGTCTCTCGGACCGAGAGTCTCGTTCCGATACTTAAAATGTAAATATCACTTTTGACATTAAATTATTAATTAAAATTATTTGTTTTGCATTTAACAGGGTTCCCAGCATTGTTTTGTACTTTTTTTTATGATTTTATGACAAATTTTTCAAATTTTATGACATTTTTAATGACAAGAATTTATTATTTCTAAAGTTATTTAATATAATAAACGTAGTTTTTTAACGGTTTATTATATAAAAATAAATATTTTTTCTCGCATCAAAATAAATATTTCTGCTATAATATTTTTAATATATGTTACTTTAGTATTTTATTATAATAGGTATTATAATCTCAAAATAAATAAAACCACAAAGGTATACAAATCTGAAATATTGGAGGCTCAAACAACGATTAACATGGGTCTCAAAAAAGCAAAAAAAAATAGTATATATATATAGTATATACCTATAGGTACTATTTTTTTTGCTTTTTTAGACCCATGTTAATCATTGTTTGAGCCTCCAATATTACAAATTTTTTAAGAGTAATTATGTAGTTATTGTTAAGGTACTTTGATAATTTCTTATTTCCTTCAGAAATAATATTTCTTGTTATTTTTAACTTACTTCCTTACAAAATAGTATCAATTTCTTCAAGTCCTTCTTTGTGCCTTCCTTAGTAAAGTAATATAGTATAAAAATAAATTTACCTTTCTCATTATTTATTTCAAATTTAAAATTCATTTCCTAACCTAACTTCTTTTTCCTTCATAGTATGAAGTTCATACGTCAACAGCCAAGGCCATATTTAAAACATTTTATTGAGGAACGCCTAAATGCAGGAATGGGCTCCATCTTAATATAAATTTTGCGTAAAATAAAACCAAATCAAACCAAACCCAACCAACCCAACCCCCCGTAACCGTCCTATTGAAGCCTAACCACCCTATTGAAGACGATTCGGTAACAAAGTTCGAGATAAAGGGCAATGCACGAAGGAATAATCGTCTTCAATAGGGTGGTTAGGCTTCAATAGGGCGGTTAGGGGGGGTTGGGTTGGTTGGGTTTGGTTTGATTTGGTTTGTTTTATTTTACGCAAAAATTTTATTAAGATGGAGCCCATTCCTGCATTTAGGCGTTCCTTTTTATTGCGTTTTATTCTACAGGACCGGCTTTAAATTTTATTTTACAAAATTTCCATTTTATAAAAAAGATCAAAGGTGAGAAAATTGTTAAAAAATAATGAAATTTTATGATTTCTATGACAAAATCTGAATTTTATGACATTTTAGGACAATTTAACCAATTTTATGATATTTAAAAATTTTATGACAAACGGGAACCCTGATTTAACTAAAACTGTTTTCTTAAAATAACGTTTAAACCTAAAAAAATCTCTTTAAAAACTAAAATAATTCTCTTGAAAACAAATTAAAATAAATAAATCGATTCTCTTAAAACAAAACTAAAAATCTTAAATTAAATGTAAATAAATAAATTAAGTAATTAATAAAAATAATAAATTATTATTTCAACACAAGCTTATTTTCAAACGTTCCCCCAAATTGCGCCAAACAAAAGCCCAGTCTGTCATAAAATTCGGTGCGAACATTAGCTAGCATATGAGTCATTCCACGTCAAACCGGACAAAAACAGGTGAAAAATGACCTTGAGTTCTCTGATTTTAATATAAATTTTTCTACAGGTTCTTTGGAACAAATGAATAGATAGAACATTTTTTTTTATTTTTATCACCCCTAGTTTAGAAGTTACAAGGGGTTGAAATTTCGCAAAAAAGCCCAAAAATCGAAAACACGGCCTCCTTCAACTGCCTATATCTCCGGTTCTATTCAACCTACAGACTTCATCAAAAATGCATTTTGTAGCTCTTGGAAGACACTTTCATGACATATATATTTAATTCCAAGATAATCGACTATTGCATTTGTTATAAACAATTATATTATTCAAACGTGATTTTCGAGACAATTGTCACTTTTTTAAATTTTGAAAAAAATATCATCGTATTCCTTGATCGATTCTCTATAAAAACCCAAAATTATAGCTTGGAGGATTGATAAGAACTGGGTCAAAACAGCGATTGATTCACAGGATACGCCGGTGGCGTCCGCGATGATATTTTTTTCAGAAATTACCCTTTGGGGAAAAATCTCTTGTAAATACTCCATCACTATTCTTGTGTTATGTGATGGGCAACCCTCCTGTTGATACCAAACGTTATCCAAATTTGGGGTTATGTTTTGGATTGCAGGAATGATTCTATTTCGAAAAAGATCCAAATAAATTAATTTAAATTGCCACCAATTACAAAGGGACCAATAATATTATTCCCATAAATACCAAACCACACGTTCAACTTTTCAGGATACTGAGTCTTTAAATTTAGTTGCCTGTACTCATTTTTAATAGACCAGTACCGGATTGTGTTTTTCACAATCCACACAGGATTATGGTGCTTTCCATGCAATGGAAATGTGGATTCGTCGGTAAATAATATGCTTTCAATGAAATGTTCATCGTCATTTGCGCGTTTCATCATATTTTCAAAGAATTCCATTCTCCGGTATTCGTTGTCTTGAAAAATGTCTTGATATACTTGGTATTTATAGGAACGATATTTATTTTTTTAAATATTTTGTGGACTTTGCCCACAATAATGCCGGTCTTTTCGGCTATTTTGAGAATCGATGTATTTGAATCTTCTTCTACCATTGCACAAACCATTTCTTTCATCTTCACATCTACATAAATTCTGGGAGTACTGTGACATTTACACTCCAAAATAAAACCATTTGTTTAAACCCTTAGATAACGTTTGTTATAGTTCTAATTGGCGGAATAGAACGTTCCGGATATTTAACTGGTCTCTTGTTTGACGTAGAAAATTGCCAGCTTATCATGCCAATTTTCTCTTGCAATGTGTAGGACATTATAACTTATAATTTTAAATAAAAGAAATTAATTTATGTTAAAACGCTCCAAATACACACTAGGCTAATGCAAAAGATAACTGAATCGTCGCCTACGGCAATCCGCTTACATTGCATCTGGGTAGGGGCGATCGGGTTCACTCGAGTGTATATTCAAATGAAAATGCGGTATAGACTTCCAATCCTCGGCCACGTACAAAAACGTGCCGTATAGATTTGTGGGCGTGGTTTAAGCACATTTGATTTTTTACGGACCAATCAAAATTAGTTTAATTTGATCTTTTTGGTTAAAGGAACACGGCTATTGGATAGAAAATACCTATTACGTCACGAAAAAGCACCGCCCACCACCGGGTATCTATACAGCACGCTTTTTTACGTAGCTGACTATCCTGTCAAAAGTTATTGCGATATTTTGCTTATCACTAGTGAGGCCGTAAAAAAAATAAGCACCATTTGAAAATTTAAACTTCATATAATATATTATATTATAAGCTGTGGACATCAAATGCGAATATTTGAAATAATTACAAAATAAAATAAAAACCAAACAAATACCTTATTGGCTGTTAGCTCCCATACTTTATCCACGAAAGGATGATCCTTGAAGTCCGGCCCTCCGATGCTCAAGTTCAGTACGTTGATTTTCTTCAAGATCGCGTAGTTGAAAGCGTCCAAAAACCACGATGTATAAGACACTTGTTTGCTCGTAAACACGCGAAATATGTGCAGCTCAGAGTCCGGAGCGAAGCCCAAACACTCCTTGCTGGAGGCTATGACACCGGCCACAAAAGTGCCGTGACCCAGGCCGTCCTCGTAAGTTTTTTCGTTGGTCCAATTGGTCCTCTCCTTTATTTTTCTGAAGTTAACATTTAAGATTTAATTTTATTATAATTAAATCGTCTACAAAATTTGATTTTTACATTATGTATTTTTATGACTCTCAGGCATTATCGTATATATTTTATGATTCTAAATTCCAGATATCCTAGATATCTAGGTCCTAAATACATTGACAAGCTGTCAAATATCAAAGCTGTAAAACCTCTTATTGTGATAACTGAAATTGTTAATAAATTTGAATTGGGTCTTTTGAAAGTGAGGTCAGAGCCGTGTAAAAGATGTCAAATTTTATATATTTATTTTTTAAACTATTTAATTAGAGTAGAAGAAGTATACAGGGTGTCCCAAAAATTAACAATATCCTTTGAAGGACTGATATGGCCTTTGAGCTGGCTGCTCAAGACTAATCAGAATATCAAAACACGACCTTTTATATACAGGGTGTTATGTAATTAATGTAATATATTAAAATACTTAATACTTTTTGACATAAGGTGTAACAGAAAAATATTTTTAAAAATATTTTCCCAAAGATAAAGAAAAAATATGCATTAGAAGTTTATATTTTTTGTGATACGCCACTGGTTACACACTTGTGTTCTGTGAGTACATAAATACCAACCAACAAAGTAGCTGCGCGTTGCCAGTTGTAAAAAATTGTTACTAAATATTTTTCTTGCAAAAAAATAAATAAAAACTTAAGCAATGATTAGAAAATTTAGTACCTATAGGTAAAATATAAAATATATTTTAAAAACTCCATAACCACAAAATTAATTTTTTCATCGGCTTTTTTCTTTCTGTTTACTCAGATGAAATTAGGACAAGTTCACACGTTAAACTTAAAAACATTCAATTTGTATAAATAAATGCAAAACCATTCCCTTAGTTAACATATTTACAATTTGAGCACATAACCTAAAATTTGAAAGAAATGCACTAGATTCTGTCATAAAAGTTGACAGATTTTGTTAGAAAACAATTAATAAAGTTAACAATTTGCATTGTTGATTTTGTCATTTTTGTAATTAAGCTAAATTTAAACAAAATTTGGCAACTTTTTTGACAGAATCTGAAAACGCAGGTTGTTACCAACCATAACATAATAAATTAAATTAGGCAACCAGATTAGCCTAAAGTTTCTAATTGATCAGTGAAGTACTTTTTGGTAGGATAATTATTATAAATTATTTTTAGTCTTTAGAATTTAGAAAAAAAGTTTTAGGTGCCTCTTTATGGACCCTAAGAGACTACCCATTTTAATATATCACATAAATTACATAAAAACCTTTTTTGAATGCGATAATTTTAAATCAAACAGAAATGGAAATAATTGAACATTAAATTATAAGTTCCATTATTAACATAATATGTATATGTAAATATTATAGTAATCTATTATTAAATACATATTTAGCAATACAAATATTCAAATAAATAATTTTAAATAAAACAAAAATATAACTTAAAGAAGTATAAATGATTTTATATTAAAATAAAGTAAAATTTTATAATATGCTATACTATAAAAAAGTTTTGTTTAATTTAAAAAAATAATTTATTTATATTTAATAATAATTTAATATCGCATTTCACGAGTGTTTTTAAATACACTATTTACATTCTAAAATATGTTTTACATTCTTGGCATTTTAAAATGTGTTTGGATATTCCTAAATATGTTATTAACATTTTAAAGTGATTTTTAACTTTGTTAAATGTTGTTATCAATCTAAAATGTGTTTTTAACATTTAAAATTGTTTTTTACATTCTAAAATTTGTTTTTGTGTATTATCTAAATGGCAAGCCTATTCAGTTTTTGATGGGCTATAAAATATAATCATATATTATATCACGAGAACTATGAATTTAATCGGTTAAACTAGGCTCAGTAGTTTTTTGTTTGTTTTATCTTGGAAAATGTTGAATGAAAAATAATTTAATAAAATCACGAGACCGCGTAGCGGTCGAGGGGTTTTATTTTTAATTATTTTGCATGAAACTATTTTCCAAAAAGAAAAATCAAATAAAAAACTTACTGAGCATAGTTTGACAGATTAAATTTATAGGTTGAGTGATATACGTCTAGATTATTTTTCGAATTAAAGGAAACTATTTGACAATTCATAAAATCTGACGTATCTGTCAAAATTTATAAATATTTTTTCAAAGAAAATTCCATTAATTTAAAGTATGTAATAAGTAATAATTGATATTTCGTAAACTAGATAACTTATTTTTTATTGTTTTTTAAAAAATGTTTGTTAAAACTTGTAAATAACACCATAAAATCGTAAACAAAAATCCAATATGGAGGCTAAAATTTAATCGCTGTTAAATAGTTCTAGTGATTTAATCGCTTATTCAAACGAAATTTATTCGAAAGTTCAAGGCTTTTGATTGGTTCATATTATAATGAGGGAAATAATCATAATAATATTAATTTTTTAATCAGCAGAGTTTCATAAATTTGTAGTTTGTTATTAATAATAATAATAATAATAATAATAAACTTTATTGGAAATCCAAATGGCTAACGACTTTCGTCTTCCTGCCCTGTTTGTTATTATTTTAAAAAATTATTTATTATTAAAAAAAAAAAAAAATATTTTTTTCAAAAATCCAACCCAACAGTTATTTTCCAATAATTGAAATATACAGCAATATAAGATGCTATATAAGATAAGGTAGTAAGCTGCTCAAAAGTTATATTATACTGACAAAATTATGTTATAATGCTGGCCACAGTTTGATACTACAATCATTAAACTAATAAAATAAACTTTCCAAGCTGCAAAATGAATAATTTGGCAGATTTCAGTTGCTGAAAAATAATATTGCTAATATTTCTTTGTTTGTTTAAAATAAGTTACCTATGTTAAATAAATTTGCCAATAAAATTCTAAAGATTTTTTTACAATTTTTATGACATTCTAAAATGTGTTTTTGACATTTTAAATGCGTTTTTGACATTCTTAAATGAAATTTTGGTATAAACTGGGTATTTTGAATAAAATAAAATATGTAAAATCATTACCTGAAATGGGGGTGTGCCTTTGACAAACCAGTATCAAATATAGCCACTTTGACCCCCTTCCCTGTAATTCCCATATTCCATAAAGAATCAGCCTGCAAAACACTGGTAATCTGCCTGGGAATAGCCCTTAGCAATCGCCTGCTGTTGTGCCTATTGTGACTCGGGGGAAATTGATTTTTCAAGTTCAAACTTGTACGTCCTATCCTCACAAAATCGTTGTTGACGAATTTCAGTGTCCTGGACACCATTCGCTGTGATGTAACGCGTTTTATTGCGGGGTGGTCGTTTAAGGCATTTAAACCATCTAACCTGTAAAAATAAATGGTAAATTTAATTTTTGCGACTTTACTTTTTGTTAGAAAGATAAGTCGCAAATTTTAAGAAACTCCTTACCTATCAGTCTCATCCAGTATAACCACATCGAAGTCGCTCGGGTAGTCACTAGCCGGGTTTTCTCTCGCTAAAATTTTCCATTTTCTTATACCGGATTTGTTTAATGCGGTGTTTATATAATTCACTCTGGCTTGGTTTTTGTAGTAACCATTAAACATAACAATGTACTCATTTTCGATAGTTTTAGAGCTGTACTCAACCTCTATGCGTTCCACAGTTAAATTACAGCATAAAGGGGACTCCAAATTATCCTCAATATCTACATTTTCCTCGATATCTGAGGCTACCAGTATCTTAAAACTACCACACAACAAAAGTAACGCCAAAACAACGTAACGGTTCATTTTTATCACAATATTTCCACCTACGTTTCCTGCGATTCATTTTTCACTCTCAACATATCTTTTCCTGCCTTTTTACACCGAACCTTTGCATTTTAACGCATTTTTATTACCGAACTTTTGACGTTTCTGTCATGTTTTTTCTCCAGAGGTTAATGACAGCCGGTCAAACAGGCAACTGCAACCAACGACATTGTCATTATAGAGAGATAAACTAAATGAAACCAATTATTTTTACTTTTTAATTGCCCTGTACTCATTACAATTGTGTAACAAGCATATCGTATAACAAGCATACCCGAATAATTATTTTAAGCAAGACATTTAAAACGTAATTTTTAAAACAAAACGACACGGTTGTCTTACTTACATCAAGGTCTATGGTAATGCATTTAAATGAATATACGAGGGTGATTTGAATAATACTAATATACGTTTCATATTTTTTTTTAGATTATTACTGGAGTAGCGACCCATTTCATCGTGATGATACAATTTATAGAAGAGGAAACAAAATTAAATTGTAATTCTACTAATACTATATTTTCATAGGAGTGTTAAAAAAAATAAAGAAAATACCTACATTTTATTGATGATTGTAATTTACTTATCTACTGACATCTTATTTATATTAATTTAAGATAAGATTATTGAAAATATTGAGAATACTTATCTTAAAATAGGTATGCTATTAATTAGTATTGGTATTGTGTAAGTAACAAAATGCATGTTCATTAACCAACCAAATCTCAAAAAGTAAGGTACCTAACGTTTATTTATTTAAAAACTTGTTTACTAGTAATATTAATAAATATCATTATTAGTATTATACTATATAGATATTTTAGACTACAAACAAATTACTAATTTATAATAATGTATTAATTATATTAATTAAAACAAATAATAAAGATGGTAATAATATTTAATGAAAACGATGATGAATCTGTGATAGAAAGTAGACATGGGTCGGTGATTTTTGACGAGAAAAAATGGACTTTACCGGAATTACTTGTAAGTAACAAACAAAAACAAAGAAAACCGTTTTTTTTTAAATTTTTATTGTATTTCTTAATTAAATGGTGTTTTTTGTTACACTCTCTTTATTAATTAGACACCCAGCGTTGTCGCCAACTATTACAAAAAAAACGTGAAGTTTTTTGTATAAAACCATACCTTCGTGCAAAAATGCTGATAATATAAAGTAATTAAAGATAATCTTTAGGATTAATTAATCCATAAAAAAATTGCAGAGAATAAAGATTAAATATTTTAAAGCTGAGTAAATTTTGTTTTATAGACTTTTATGTATTGCTATTTTTAGAGTACTTTTTCTTCGCTAAATTTGGAGGATTTGTTTAAGGAATACACAGAAAAAATCGATCATGGTTATTTTTCTTTGTTTTTAATTTTAGAAACAGTAATGAGTTTTTCTCATTGCCTTATAGTAATATTAAGTGTTTATGATCAAAAGGTAAGTTAAAAATTATTTTGTGTTTATTTTTGTTTTAAATTGTTTTTGAAACTACACTCACAGGCAAAATAATCGATCCACGCAAATTTTCGATGAATTTCAATCGCAAATAACTTTTTTATTTGATGTCGGATTTAAACAAATATTAAAGAATATTGTAGATAAATTAATGGACAATCGCTCACATTTTAAAAAATTACTAAAAAATTGACGTACGTTTATAATATACAGGTTTAAACAAAAAGATGTTTTTTACCATAAGTTTAAGACACTCTAGAGTGGCAAAACCATATATTGTTCTAAATTAAGTTTTATTAATTAAGGCGCATCTATTCTTAACAGTTTTGTTTTTGGTTCACCTCGATATATTTATTTTTTTGGAAAATATGGATTTCCAATATTTTTCTGTATAAAGAATTAAGGTTGCTATGGTCCATCCATAGGCTATGAAGAATGACAGTGACAGTTTTGTTGAATCATCCCATACTTGGACATGTCATACACGGCATTCAAAAGCTATCAAATTGTTTTTTGCAAGTTAATGTTTAAATTTTGAGGTGTCTTCTTACTTTAAAAAATGGATATGTCTCCGTCTGATGTTGCCAGAGCCATTAATTTAATCCAGGATGGACGGTCACAGTATGTATGCAAGTGTTTTAAACGTCACAAGAAGTAAAGTACAAAGGGCAACATCAGTCGGAGACATTTTTAAAAGTAAGAAGACACCTCAAAATTAATTAACACATTAATTTACAAAAAACAATTTGATAGCTTTTGAAACCTGTATTTGACATGTCCAAGTACAGGATGATTCAACAAAACTGTCACTGTCATCCTCCATAGGCTATGGATGGACCATAGCAACCTTAGTTCTTCATACAGAAAAAATATTGGAAATTGCAAATAGATCTGACTTGATAATTAAAACTTAATTTAGAACAATATACGGTTTTGCCACTCTACAGAGTGTTTTAAACTTATGGTAAAAAAACATATTTTTGTTTAAACCTGTATATTATAAACGTACGTGTATTTTTAAGTAATTTTTAAAATTTGAGCGATTCTCCATTAATGTATCTACAATATTCTTTAATATTTGTTTAAATACGAAATCAAATAAAAAAGTTATTTGCCATTGAAATTCATCGAAAATTTGTGTGGATCGATTATTTTGCCTGTGAGTGTATTTAAAACATAAAAGTCCATGTTTTGTTTACTCTAAGGTAGAGACTCTCTTAGAGCATACAATACTTGGATATAATCTTAAAGCATATAATATATGGATATGTAAAAGTTGTAAGTTAATATTTATATAAGTTTTAAAAATGTATTAAAATCCTAATTAACACAACTTTTTTTAGGAGTATTTATTAAACGACTTACCGGACATAGTTTTCTACTTCTGCACGTTTTTGGTATCGGCGGTGGGAGTTTTAACCATAGACACGATAGTGCGTAAAACGAAAAGATGGAAACTCTTTCAGCTTTTCTGGTTTTTCCTCGTGTTCACGCAAAACATATTCGTGCCGTTGTATCACAACTATTCCGCGACAGTGCCGAAGTTGAGGCCCACATATTCATCCGTCCTCGTGATTTCGTGCTACATGTTTTTCAGTGTTTTTAGCAACAAAGTGGCGATTTTATGCGGGCTCTTGGTCTCGACTTCACACATTTTGACCATGTTTTTTACTACTTATGTGGATACTTCCAAAACGTGGGAAAGGGTGAGTTCAAATACATTTGGTTTTGACATTTTAAAATTTGATGTAGATTGAAATGCAGAGATCAGGCACTGACCAAGTGTACCTAAATTACTTATAAAACCCTATTAATAAATTTGGTGTAATATAAAACGCTCGGGCAATTGTATACCGGGTGAGTCATTTAACTTGAAACTTTGAAATATCTCAGTTATTATGCATTTTACGAAAAAATGTTTAAAATAAAAATAAAATAATTCGAGGGGGGAAATCAATCGGTACTAAAATTGGTCCTCATACTCTCCTCCTTATAGGGGGAACAGGGGGTAACTTTAAAATTTCCAACGAGACACCCTATTTTTTATTACAGATTCGGATATTCAGATATTTAAAAACATTTTTTCATATTTGTAATAGATGGCGCTGTAATGAAAAAAATTCAATTTTGTTCGATTTTTTTTTCTGTATACGATTCTCCAATAACTTTTGAATGAAATACTTAATTTTATTTTTTAAATTTATTTATTTTTTAAAGTTTAAATAAAGTAGGTGCTTAAAATGGTGGCCTTCGACTTCAATGGATTTATTAATTCGCATTTCGTTTTAATATTCTGCTAACACTGCTCTGGGATATTCCCAAATCTCTAGATAATTTTCGTGTGCTTGGATGAGGATTAGCGGCCGTTGCTGCAAATACATTTATTTCATTATTTCCACCTGTGACTGTTGCTCGACGAACTCTTTTTTTCGGTTAAACACTCCCGTCTGTAGTAAACTGCTTGACTGTACGGTGAAATGAAGTACGTGATCGAATTTTATCCGGAAAACGCTGAGCGTAGATAATAACAGCTTCATCAAAATAAGATTCTTCTTGCTTGCAAATTAATCTTCAAACTAAATTGATTAAATAATGCTAAACTATAAATAGTTTCTTTATACCTCATTAATAATTATTATTTATAACTAAATACCATTTTTTATACCTCAATTAGGATTAAATGAATTAATTGACAAAATAATGTTTTTTTACCTTAAATGAGGTATTTTAATTAAAAATAGTACAATGATCCTTTAAATTAAAGGATTTAATGCTGGCAGGTAAAAAGTGACCATGGTGCGCAATTGATAATTATCACCGAATGAAATAATGTATAAAACTTAAACCAAAGGAAACTTAAATATTAGTTAAAAAATCGTGGGTACTTAAAAAATAAGATTTAATTTAATAGGATAATTATTACCAAAAATAAATATTTTTATAGACTATTTCCCTCGTCTTAATTTCCACCAATCACAAACGCGCAATTTTGAATTACAAATGGTTTCTAGGTGAAAAAACTGTGTGACAGCACCTGTCAGCAGTTTATTCGAGTTTACCCGCGGCAAAACTTGACAGCTGTTGTCACCAAAAATTGCAATTTATATTTTAATTGTTAAATGTTACTCATGAAATAGTCTTGTCAAATACCATTCGGGCATCTAATTTTTCCTGTGAAAAAAATCGAAAAAACACAATGCTAAATAATATTTTTTAACAAAATGCATTCGTGCAGGTGCAAAAATCCTCCTCTTCGACTCGGATTTTTGTTGCCACCAGCACTCATGCTTTTTGTTAAAATATTACTTAGCAACGTGTTTTTTCGATTCTTTTCGGAAAAATTAAATGCCCTTATGATATTACTTACGAAAAATTATTGCAGAATCGTATATAGAAGAAAAATCGAACAAAATTGAATATTTTTCATTACAGCGCCATCTATTACAAATATGAAAAAATGTTTTAGACAAAATCTACCTATTTTTAGTCGAATGATCCGAATCTGCAAAAATCATTTGTTCAGTTTTCGTTAATTTGTCATTTCTCAAAAGTAATAATTTCCATTGACATGTTCAAAGCTCAAATTATACTCATTGCGTGCGCGAAGTTGTACTTTTTCGCACGCTTACTTTGCGCACGCAAATGCGTTAATTCAGAAATAATATTATTTAATCATGAAGCCTTTAATAGTATTTTTAATTAAAACCAAAAAATATTGCTTAAATAATTCAATATAAAACTATAAGTGAAAACTTTCCGCAAACTTATAGAAAAAATGTTAAAGATTAAAATGAAAACTGATAAAGAAAATTGCGAGATTCCCTTGATTGTAGAAAAAATACATGAGCAAAGTAATTTTTTACATTTTTGGTAATTTATAAACTGGGGATACAGTTTAAAAAAAAAGATGTTTTATTGGCATTTCCCAATTAGCATAAAAAAATGCGAAAATATTATTATTGAAAATGACAACACAATATTTATAATACTAGGAATACAATATATGTATATGCTGGAAGATATTATTTAAATTTATATTTTCCTCTTTAGATATGTAGTCCCTTAAAAATTCAAAAACAATCAAATCTAACTATCGTATTTTTTTGTGATTAATTAATTATATTTCTCAGAACCACTTTTATCTTAACTTTATCTTAATCCCAAAATAAATAATTACAATTTTTTAAAAATCAAAAAAAATTTACAAAAATAGTTTATTGTTTACCGAGCGTGGACTCCATACTTCCGAGCGAGCCGATAGGCGAGTAAAGGAATTCATTGAGGGAGTCATTGCGATTCCATGTGAGGTAAACACTATACTTTTTTGTCGAGTGGTACTAATTATTAACTAATTTTAAGAGAATTAAAAAAAGTTACGTTTAATTAAAAACCAACGTTTACATTCCTAAATATATGTACATATACATATACCGGGTGTATCTGAGAATAGGCGCACCTCTATAACTATTTTAACTATAAAGATAGACACATGAAATTTAGATTGATTAATTAGGATATAAAATGCCACTTACAAACAATAGTACAAAATGAATTGTTTGAACTTCCGGTTTCGCCGGAAATGATATCAACTTTCGATTTTTAAATGGAACGCCCTATATATTTTTACATGTTTAGAATCCTGAGAAAATTCTGAGTCGGACAGCATCTTTAAATTGACCATTCGATGTTTCGTCATCAGAAAATGCATCATCATAAAGATCAATTTAGAGTGCTTTGAACTATTTGAGAAAAACGAATTTTGACAAGTTTAGACTACTGGAAATAGCTGAATAACAACTTTCTAAGGCAAGTTCCATTTTTCAGGCATTGTGTGAATCCATTAGAAGAAAATATGATAGTTTAAAGCACTCTAGATTGATCTTTAAGATAATACATTTTCTGATGAAGAAACGTCAAAAGGTCAATTTGAGGATGCTGTCAGAATTTTCTTAGGATTCCAAATATGTAAAGATATATAGGGCATTCCATTTAAAATTCGAAAGTTGGTATCATTTCCGGCGAAACCGGAAGTTAAAAAAATTCATTTTATAGCCTTATTAACCATGCAAAATTTCATGTGTCTATCTTTATAAATAAAAAAGTTACAAGGGTGCGCCTATTCTCAGATACACCCGGGATATAATATAAAAAAATTTTTTTATATCTTTATTATTAGCATAAGCTATTTACAATTTCTCATCATTATATATATAAAAATATTAGTAATAACATCAGAAATATCACAGGTCAATTTTTTCTTTTAAATAATATAGAATATATTTCTTAAAACTAATTAAAGTATCAAAGTTTTTAATTTCATTTGGTAAAGTGTTAAATAATTTTAGCCCATTAACAAAAACATTTTTTGTAGTACGCACTTTGTTAAAATTTTCAACATAAAAATCATTATATTGTCTAGTACCGTAATTGTGGATGTTTTGGACTAAATGCAATTTATCGTATAAGTATGATGCATCATGGTAATAATCCAATTTTAATTTTATAAATAAATATTAAAGTTTTATAATTTATATATTGGTTTACACTTAATATATTTAAAGTTTATAACATTAGTTTAATGGGGGTATATTTAGAACATTTTAACACAATGCGTAGTACTTTATTCTGTAATTTTTGCAATTTTTGCATTTCATTTTTGTTTATGTTGAATAATATGGTGGAACAAAATTCAAAGTGCGGGGCTATAATAGCTTTATATAATAAGAATTTTATAAAAAGTGATAAGCTTCCACTAATTCTACCCATAAAATAGATCTTTTTTGAAATTTTATTTGACAAATAATGAACATGATCTTTAAAATCTAGTCTATCATCTATCATTATACCCAAATATTTTATAATGTTTACTCTTTCTAGTTTATTACTATTAATACATAAATTAAAATTAAAATTTTTAGTTTTATGACTAGGACCAATTAACATATATTTAGTTTTACCAACATTTACACACATATTATTTTCACACAACCATTTAAAAATTACATTAAGTTGGGTGTTCATGATATTAGTCATTTCATTAATATCATTCCCTATCACATATATCATGGTGCCATCAGCAAACATACATATTTCACAATTTTCAACATATTTAACCATATCATTAATATATAAAACAAAAAGCAGAGGACCTAAAACAGTCAACTAATTTTTTTTGAAAAGTATATTGAAAATATGGTTTGGGGTGACAAAAAAAATTATTTTGAAAGTTTGAGTCCATAATATTAATATTAAGAGGTCATCATCGCAATTTAAATTTTTTTTTCTTCAGCAAGTTTTTGTCTCAGAACTCCCAAACCATTGAGTTTAACAAAATTGACATAGAAATATGTTTTTAGGAAAATTAAATGCAAAAAAGGATAAAATGAAATTTTCCGTCATATGAACCGTTTCTTCAAAATCATGCCTTAAAAATTGGTATAGTTTTACATTTTGATCTGGAATCTTGTAATTCATGTAAAAATCAGTACCCAGAAAAAAACGATCAATATTCTTATGGGAAATCAAATGCTTTACAAAAAAAGCCTCTTAACATTTTTGGCTAAATTCACTCAATGAATAGTTATTCAAGCTTAAAGTTGAAGTCAAAACGAAATTTTTGTTTTTTCCTCTGCAGATTTATTTTTTTATGGATGATAATTTGATTTTTTCTAGAGCGGTAAAAACAAGAATTTCGTTTTGACTTCAAATTTAACCTTGACCGACTTTTTTTGAAGAGCATTTGATTTCCCATAAGAATATCTATCGGTTTTTTTCCGGGTACTGATTTTTACATGAATTACAAAATTCCAAAGTTAAAAGATCAAATTGTAAAACTATACCAATTTTTAAGGCATGATTGTAAGAAAACAGTTAATCTGACGGGAAATTCCAATCAAACCTTTTTTGTAGAGCATTCAATTTTCTTTAAAAAATATTCTTAAGTCAATTTTGTTAAACTCAATCGTTTGGGAGTTCTGAGACAAAAACTAGCTCAGGAAAAAAAAATCTTAAATTGCGATGATAGACCTTTTAATAATTAATAACATTAATTTATCCCGCTGTGAACAATATTATTCCTTTCCCTGTATATATATATATATATATATATATATATATATATTAGGGTGATTCATTTCCGCAAAGTTATTTTTTTTTTCGGTGCTCAAGCAAAATATTAATCTACCTATAGAAAAAAAAATTTTCACCAAGGTAGAGCTCTTAATATCAATTTTAAGTACTTGCAGTTTCAATTTAAAGTTTTCCCATTTAAAATGCATGTAAAAAAAATGTTTTTTTTTCAAATTTCTAATGCTCGCCCGCTTTTTACAATATTGTAAATCGGTTTTATGGACCTTATAGGGAATTTCACGCTCTTCAAAATTGTCTTTGTGTTTTTTTGTGTAACTCGTAGTGGTTCGCCAGTAGGAGTCATCAAAGTTCAATTTTTTGAATAAACATTTTTTTTTTGCAATTTTTTTTAACAATTCGCAAAAAAAAGAGCTGAATCGTAAAAAATAGTGAATAAAATCGACGCATTATTAACCACTCGACAAAAAACACTATTTTAAATTTAATTTGATTTTTATTTTTCAGATTTTATCAGATGTCATTTTTTCAACGTGCCTTAACGGACTGGGCATTTATTTTAGAATAATAAGTGAAATAATTAAAAGAAGAAGTTTTTTGGATAGAAGGGAATGCGTTGTTTCCACAATGGAATTCGAACACGAACAAAAACAACAAGTGAAATTGTTACTTTCTTAAATAGATTTTATTTTTAATTTTCCTAATTTTTTAGAATAAACTTTTACTAAGCATTATTCCAGAAAGCATACTAGAAAAAGTAAAAAAATCCAACATGGAAAGACAGTTGAAGAACGATAAAATATTTTCCTTTAAGTAAGTTAATTACAATTGTACAGCAGTAACCCAAAATAATGTTTTTTTATTTTTTATTAACTCTGTACATTTTAGTAACAAGTCGTTAGAAGAATACAACAACGTTACAATATTATTCGCTGACATTGTCAACTACACAAAAATGACAAAAAAATTGGACATCAAGGACCTGCTCATCACTTTGAACGAACTTTTTTGCAGTTTTGACGATTCATCTGACGTAAGTAACTGTCAAAAACTCAAGGCCAACTCATTATATTTAACGTGGAGTGAGAAAAACAATATTTTACATATTTATATGTAGAATAATATTTTATAATATTGAAATTAATATTTTTAGAAACACAAAGTGACAAGAATTAAGTTCTTGGGCGATTGCTACTACTGCGTGGCAGGGTTGCCGCCAACACCAACGGAAAACCACGCCGACGCCTGCGTAGACCTCGGCCTGGACATGATACGCATTATAGCGGATGTTAGGTTATAATTGACTGTCAAATTTGACGTTTGTTAATGCAACGTTGCCGTGTGATTGTTTTGTAGGAGAAAGAGGGAGTTGGACGTAAACATGAGGATTGGCACTCATTCCGGGTCGCTGATTGGCGGGATTATCGGCGAGGTTAAGATTCAGTTCGATATTTGGTCGGATGATGTTAATTTGGCTAATATTATGGAGACGGAGGGCGAGGCAGGGTACCTAAGAATTGTTTTTTACAAACAGGTGGTAATACGGAACCCATCTAACTACTATTATAGTAATAATTATGGTGGGACAAATAACATGAGGTTCCATATTACCCCCCCTCTACTTATTAAGTAGACGAGATTATATAATTAAAGATTTATTTATATTTATTTTCTTATAGAAAAGTTCATATAACCCAACAAACCAAAGATCGGTTGAAGAAAAAGTATAACATAGAAAAAACAAATAAAAGGGAAGAAGAGGCGTTTTTTAGAGAACGAAATTTAAATACGTACCTTGTATCTCCAGAGGTAATTACTTTAATTATTAATTAATAATTATTTATAAAAAATATCTATATATACAGGGTGTCCCATAATTATTATAACAGCAGATTCTACGCACTAAAATAAGAAAAAAAATCGTATAAACATTCGTCGAGAAATGCTTCCTACAGCCAACAAAAGATGAGCCCCTGAAGATGCTTTTTATTTAATATCTATAAAACCGTTCAAGATAGAAACGTGAAATTTTGAGAATTGAAGATGTTTATGGCAAATAAGATGTAATAATAACAATTTAAAATTTTCCATGAGGGGTGACTTGTCCCAGGATTTGGTGTCAGATTATTTTATTTTGGAGGTTTACACACAAAAAATATCATCTAATTGAACTTTGATAATTTTTACCATTTTCGTTTAAAATCGATTTAAAAATTATCTTACAAATTCATAATGAAATCACAACTAGAGAAAAAGATTCATCTTGGGCTATGGAACACTGCTGCCATGTCTAGAAAAAATTATTCAAGGCAGTTGATATTTTATATATTGTAACATTTTATATAATTCTTAAAATTCTCAACGATATCTTGAACGGTTTTGGAGATATTAAATAAAAAGCCTCATCGACCTATGTTTATATAACTTTTTTCCTATTTTTGTACGTAAAATCTACTGTTATAACTGATTATAATCAAATCTTTATGAATAGTAATAGTATAATTATGGGACACCCTGTATAAAAGGATATGTGTCATTATAGTTCCAAAAAGCTAAAAGGTTCTTTAATTTTTTACGATTATGCTTCTTTGATAAGATAGTTTTCATAGTTAAAAAACATTTTTGTGAGAAGATACTAACTATACCTACTTCTTAATATTTTCTCACAAAAAGTATTTTACAAAATATAATTATGTCTAAACTAAATATGTTGTAATGGGTTTTGTTGTAAAAATAAGTTTTAGTCTTAAAAATCGTTTTTGTCAAAAATTTTAACTTTTGTACAAAATATAATTATTTTTCTTAAACTTTTTGATAACTATTTAAAACTACTCTACCTAGCTACTAAGTCAAACCTTAGAAAGAACTTCTAAAAAACTTATAATGACCCTTATAAGGCCAACTTGTAAGAAACTACAAACCATATAAGGCAAGAATAGTGCAAAACTACCGAAAATTTCTTGACTACCCTGAGAGGACGACCGAGATACAAGGTTCTCTTACTTAAAAAATGCCGTATAAGTAATATAAATCCTTATAAGGAATTCCTTATAAGGTTCCACTTTATGTACTAGGTTGAAAATTGTTTTTATCAATTGATCAAATGATCTATTGTAAAAGATATAGTATAGTACTAAAAAAATATTCCTTCAAAAATTTTTTTTAGGAACCTTCAAACTCAGAGTCAACGATTTTTTTGCACGAGTTGCAGAAAATGCAGGAAATTACAGAAGATGAGGAGACTCAGGAACCAGAAAATGATCCAGTAAAACGACTCACTCTTATTGAGTTAAATAATTTAAACATTTCTGTAAATATTTTAATATTTTGTACCAATGTAAATTAAATAATTTAATTTTTTATTTTAGACGGAAATTTTAAAGAATTCTTCCCCTATACAACAACAATTTAACATACCAAAATCGCAAGAGGTAAGAAGTCATTTTGGAAGAGAGTCAAGCCACGTCAAGTGGGACCAGAAAATTTCACGAAATCATCGATTTTAAAAATAATCATATAATTGAGTAGTAGGCATGACTCATATGTCACAGTAAAAAAAATATTTAAAAATTCGTTTTTTTTGGTAATGTTATTAAGATTAACAATTTTGTCAAAGCACGGTAAAATTAAAAAAAAATAGAATCTCTGGGACCACTCTGTGTAATTGATAGGGATGGGATTTTAGTTATTTTACCTTTTTTCAGCCGATGTAACTTTTTGAAAACCAATAATGCCATAATGTGTTTTAAAAGATTTTCTTTTATATGAACCTAACTTGTTTTCACCTTTTTTGGAGGTTTTTGCTTTAAACTACCTTTTTATACTTTTGTTACCTATTTTTTAACTTGTTTTCACCTTTTTTACCTTTTTTGGAGGTTTTTGCTTTAAAGTACCTTTTTATACTTTTGTTACATATTTTTTAATTTGTCAGTTTATTTTCACCTATTTGTTACCTATTTTTACGTATTTTTACTTAAAAATCGGTGTACAAATGTTTACTTTGTCAAAGGTAGACTTTGATATAAACAAAAATTTCAAAAAAAAATCATGAATTTTCAAAAAATTTTGAAAAGAGGAGCAGCTAGGATTTTGGTAAATATCATTTTTAAGTCACCAAAGGGTCCCGAACAAGAAACTGCAATCAGTTTTTGGCGGCATTTTTATTAGACTTAAACTTTGTTCAGGCACACCGTGAGCACAGCGTTCCGGACGAGATAGCAGCGAAGCGCGCCGCGTACTTATCAAGCGCACGGCGGGACAAAATATTTAATATCCCTGGAACGACATATGAAGGATAAATTTTTGGGTACATCTTATAAAACAGAAACGTTTGCCGCATATTATGACATAAGATTAATTTTTTTTCAGCGTGAAGAACACATACAAAATTTCAATTGTTTATTAAAAATGTATGCAAAACTCTTTTATTTAAACAAATTTCCCTTGATTAAATGATCATTCTATAGTCTAAACATTGCTACAATAGTGCGTAAAATTTAATTCAATTATGCAGAGTGGTCCCAGAGATTCTATTTTTTCAATTTTACCGTGCTCTTTAGTTTTACAAAATTATTAACTTTAATAACATTAACAAAAAACCGAATTTCAAAACAAATTTTTTACTGTGACATATGCGTCATGCCTACTACACAATAATGTGATTATTTTCAAAATCGGTGATTTCGTGAAATTTTCTGGTCCCACTTGAGGTCCCTGGTGGAAATTTTTCTCTGAGAAAGTCTTACTTTCTCTTAAAAAGTCTGAATAATACTTATTAAGTCGGAAAAAGTCAGAATAAGACTTATTAAGTCGGAAAAAGTCTGAATAAGTCTTATTAAGTCAGACTAATAGCAAGATTTGGGAGTCTTCTGGAAGAGTTAATAAGACTTTTTAAGACTTAATAAGACTTTTAGTAGAGAAATGGTAGGTACCTACGGCGATAAAAATAAATATCCGAAATAATTTATAGAGGTTGTATTTGGTTATCGTTGGTGGAAACAATGAAAGCATGTCAAGCGCATCGTATGTATAAAATTATAATTGTTATAATTATTACATCTTACCTATGTTATTATATAGGTAATTATGCAATAAACTTGGCTTATACCAACAGCAAAAATGTTAATAAATACTTTTCTATGTGTTTAATTTTACGATAACCAAATACAACCTATGAATTATTTCGGATATTTATTTTTATCGCCATAGGTACCTACCATTTCTCTACTAAAAGTCTTATTAAGTCTTAAAAAGTCTTATTAACTCTTCCAGAAGACTCCCAAATCTTGCTATTAGTCTGACTTAATAAGACTTATTCAGACTTTCTCCGACTTAATAAGTCTTATTCTGAGAAAGTAAGACTTTCTCAGAGAAAATTTTCCACAAGGGGTGGCTTGACTCATAGACCAGGGTCGATAATTTTTGAAACCAAAAAAAATAACAGTAGGATGAAACCCATTGGAAAAGGAGAAGAATATAATAAAAATGAAAGGAAAAATAAATTACGGGCGATCAGACTTCGGGAAGTGGGAGGGGGGGGTTTTAAGGGTAAAAAATGGTTTATCTCGATTTCCGGCAAAACTACAAGTCCTATGGAAAAAAGTTAAATGGCAAAGTTGTAGGTAATAAAAGGATCTACAACTTTTGTAATCACAATTTTTTTACATAACCTCAAAATTTATGTGAAAAATTCAAAAAACCAAGTTTTTGGTTTTTTATTTTTCTTTTTCAAAAAAAAAATTTTTTCCACGAAATTTGATGAAAATTTACCTTTTTATGTCCCAAATATGTACACTGTAATTTATTTGATTTGAAATATTTATTATTTCGCCTTATTTTGACTTAATATCAAAAAAGCACCCTAATTTTCAATCGAAAATTCTCGCGTCAAAATATCAGCTTTTTTCAAAAAGTCGGTGTGCTTTTTGTTCGTTGAAATCTCTACTTTCTGATGGTGTAAAAAATATATACATTACTATGGTAAATGTTCTCAGAAAATGCAAAAAATATTATAATGAATAACGAAAAAAACTCGAATTCGAAAATTTATTTTAATCATTATGTACAATTTCATAAAAAAAAATGTGATTGTTGCAATTTTTTTTAGTTAAAAAGTTTATTTATTAAATTCTAATAACATTTATGTCAGAAAATCTCATAAAATATAAAAATACATGTAAATCATACTATTGAATTTAGATACTTCATTCTGATTACGTTATTCATTATAATATTTTTTGTATTTTCTGAGAACATTTACCATAGTAATGTATATATTTTTTTACACCATCAGAAAGTAGAGAGTTCATCGAACAAAAAGCACACCGACTTTTTGAAAAAAGCTGATATTTTGACGCGAGAATTTTCGATTGAAAATTAGGGTGCTTTTTTGATATTAAGTCAAAATAAGGAGAAATAATAAATATTTCAAATCAAATAAATTACAGTGTATTTGGGACATAAAAAGGTAAATTTTCACCAAATTTCGTGGAAAAAAATTTTGAGGTTATGTAAAAAATTGTGATTACAAAAGTTGTAGATCCTTTTATTACCTACAACTTTGCCATTTAACTTTTTTCCATAGGACTTGTAGTTTTGCCGGAAATCGAGATAAACCATTTTTTACCCTTAAAACCCCCCCCCTCCCACTTCCCGAAGTCTGATCGCCCGTAATTAATTTTTCCTTTCATTTTTATTATATTCTTCTCCTTTTCCAATGGGTTTCATCCTACTGTTATTTTTTTTCTCTTTTTACCATTTTTAAAGGCTTCTGCACTGGTCTATCAAGATATTTTACAAAAGTCGAATATTTTTAGGAATTCTGCACCCCTCCGTCCACCCTTCGCCGCCAATCAGCCTTCATAAAACGCAACGAACGCGCCCGACCGAAGCTCTCAGGTCCCCTTCAAACGGTGGAGGAACCCGCCGCCGACATCGCCGCCGCCAGAACGTCGCACAAGGATCTGGGGGCGGTGCGCAGGATGACGCTGACGCCGCGACGCAGGACGGTGAGCGTCGGCACGGGCAGCAACAGGCCGAGCACCTCGGAAAGGAGGACGGCCTTTTTTGCTTACAACAAGAAGAGGTTCGACGAGAGACAGATGGCGGTCAATGAGAGGATGAAGGGTCAGATTGCTAAGATGTCTTTTTCAAAATACGAGTAAGTCACAGCAAAATATTATTTTGCATTATTACATCTTAATCGTGGAAAACATGGCAATAATATGGGAGCGAAAATGTAATTTATTTATTTATTCCAGTGGCGTACCTGGGAATCTCGGCTTTTATTATAATTATAAGAAGAAATATGAGACACCACTGCTTTTACTATTATTTATTCTAAAATTGGAAAACAATAGTAGGGCACAGTTGGAAAGACACATTCTCAAAATTTTCTACATTTTTTAAATTTTTCCAAATCTTCAAATTTTTAAATTTTCGAAAACTTTCAAGATTTCTAATAATTTTGAATTTTTTATATTTAAATTTTCCAAAATTTGTTATCTAACCTTTATAAATAGTATTCACCTTGTTTGGTGGGACAAATTCGCACAGTAGGATATATTTAAAAAATGACAGGAAAAATAGTACAGTGGCATAAATTTAAACAATAGTAGGACAAGTTCGCACAGTGGCATAAATTTAATAAATGGAAGGACACATTCCCAAAATTTTCCATATTCCTTAATATTTTATAAATCTTCAAAATTTTTAATTTTTCCAAAACTTTCATAATTTCCAATAATTTTAAATTTTGAATATTCAAATTTTTCAAAATTTGTAATCAAACCTATATAAATAGTAGGCACCTTGTTTGTTGGGACAAATTCGCCCATATTTAAAAATTAACAGGAAAAATCTACACAGTGGCATAAATTTAAACATTAGTAGGACAAATTCGCACAGTGGCATACATTTAAACAATAGGACAAATTCGCACAGTGGCATAATTTATTAAATAATAATAATAATAATAATTTATTTCGTGTTATTATACAATCAGTATTTACACAAGTCAGGCAAATAAAAATATAAAAGTATACAACTAAATAAATATAAGCAATAGAAAAACATATACATACAGGGTGTTTCATAATATATGCGCAGGACTTCAGGGTGTGATCAAAGATAATATCTTTGGGTGTGATAGCTCATCCAAAAAGATGAAAAAAGTCGCTATTAACTTACGCTCTAAAATCAAAGATAATACATTTTATCTTTGTCTAAAATGCACAATTTTCGAGATACAGGGTGTTGAAAGTTTAGAAAAAAATTCGTTTTTTTCGAATATCTTCGGAACCGTTTATCGTACAAAAAACAGCTTTTGTAAGCATTTTCTACTCAAAATAAGCCATGTTTTGTGCCAGAAAAAAAATTTTTTTCCTCATAATTGGTGAAGATTTTGAAGGGGTAGTGGGTGTTTTCCTCCTTAACTTCTACGCCCCTGAAAAAAGTACGGTTTTTAGAGGCCCAATGTTTTCTACACAAAAAAGGTACTCTTGGTCATAAGCTCTAAACTTGACCGTTTTCGAGAAAAATCAACTTTTATGTTAAAAAACATGGTCAATTTAAAAAAAAAAAAATTTTTTTTACTAATTAAACAAAATTTATTTTAACATTAGAACAAGTAACAAAACCAAACCATAATTGCAAAATAAAAAATGATTCAAAAGTTGTCTTTGCTAAATTCTCCAAACCGTAAAGGTAACGCATTTCGCACATTTCAGCATTTGTGTAAAAAATCATTTTTTATTATTTTTTTTAATTTTGCAATTATCGTTTGGTTTTGTTACTTTTTCTAACGTTAAAATAAATTTTGTTTATTTAGTAATAAATTTTTTTTTCAAAAAATTGACTACATGTGTTTTTAAACATAAAAGTTGATTTTTCTCGAAAACGGTCAACTTTAGAGCTTATGACCAAGAGTACTTTTTTGTGTAGAAAACATCGAAAATTGTGCATTTTAGAGAGTAAGTTAATAGCATCTTTTTGGTTGAGCTATCACATCCTGAAGTCCTGCGCATATATTATGAAACACCCTGTATAAAGAATATTTTAAAGATGATATGTGACCTACACTAAAATCTTTGTTTAATACATTAGTTTAAAAATTTAAAATCTAGGTATTCTTGAATAGAGTAAAAAGCATTGGCAATTAGCAGGGTCTTTACCCTATGCTTAAATTTATTAAATTCCAACGTTTTTATGCTATCTGGCAGTTTAGAAAATAGCTTAGGACCTATATAATCAAGAGATTTTTGAGATTTTGACAATCTGAACAAAGAAAGTCTTAATTGGTTTTTATTTCTTGTTTGATATGAGTGAAGGACATTAAGGGATTGGTAGTTGCTTAAATTTGTTTTGATATACATAGATTAGAGTTTCATAAATAAAAACGCAGGGGAAAGTTAAAATTTTTTGTTCAATATATTTTCTTTTCCAATCATCTCTATAGTTAAGATTAGTTATGATGCGAATAGCTTTACGTTGAAGAGAAAAAATGCGTCTACTGCTGGGACTTTGGCCCTAGGGCTATGTTAGTATTTAATATGACAGCAATGAGTGGCAAAGTGAAAAATAGGCTGTTTTAAGCACAGCACTGGATACTGATGAGGACAGATTTCTGAGTAGATATATATTTTTAGATAGTTTAGAGGCGACAAAAAGGACACATTTCCAAAATATTCTAAATTTCTTAAATTTTTCCAAATCTTCAAAAAAATTAAATTTTACAAAACTTTTAGAAATTCCAATAATTTTAAATTTTATATATTCAAATTTTCCAAAATTTCTAATCAAACCTTTACAAATAGTATGCACTCGTTTGGTGGGACAAATTCGAACAGTAGATATTACATTTCTTTAAATTTTCAAAACCAATAATTTTAAATTTTATTTATTCAATTTTTTCAAAATTTGTAATCAAACCTTTATAAATAGTAAGCACTTCGTTTGGTGGGACAAATTCGCATATTTTAAAAATTACATGAAAAATTTTCTAAATCTTCAAAAATTTTAAATTTTCCAAAACTTAAAATTTCCAATAATTTAAAATTTTTCAAAATTTGTAATCAAACCTTTATTAATAGTATGCACCTTGTTTGGTGGGACAAATTCGCACAGTAGGATATATTTTAAAAATTACCGGAAAAAAATGCACAGGGGCATCCATTTAAACAATAGGACAAATTCTAACAGTGGCATACATTTAATAAATGTTTGGACAAATTTCCAAAACTTCTAAAAATTTTAGATTAAACTAATTTTAAATTTTTTAAAATTTTCCAAAATTTTGAATACATACATATCGTTTTTCCATAAACAGGAGCGCATCCGCATGTTCTCCGAGCTAAGAAATTAGAAAGCGCAACTTATTTACCCCACTATGAGAAATCTTTACTTGTCTTCAGTAGCGAAGTATTGCCGTCCACAATCCACACAACAAGGTCTGTTCTATCTCATGCTAAAAATACTAAAAATCACTGCAACACTGCACAAAGTTTAACGGCGGCCATTTTTGTTGTTTACAATTCTTGTGCTTTGGGTTTGTGCTGTTTAATAATTGTTTTAAACGTTGTGTTTCTTACAGAGGCACTTGTAAGCGTCAAATAAGGCCTTTAAGTGCTAAGGACAACCATTTTACTCCTCTTTTATAATAAAAATATACCTTATTCTATCAGGGCTGTCAAATGACAATTTGAAGGTTGATTTGTGGGTTATAATTTAACCTTAAAATTGACATTTGACAGTTTTATGACAGCCCTGATAGAATAAAGTTTATTTTTTACAATAGAGGAGTAAAATGGTTCTTCTTAGCACTTTAAGGACTCTTTTAAGGCTTACTATGAGAAACACAACGTTCAAAACGATTATTAATCTGTATAAACAGAGCACAAACCCAAAGCACAAAAATTGTAAACAACAAAAATGGCCGCCGTTAAACTGTGCAGTGTTGCAGTGATTTTTTGTATTTTTAGTATGAGATAGAACAGACCTTGTAGTGTAGATTGTGTTGCCGTCCATGTCGAGTTGTTCAAAATAAGCAGCTGACTTCAATGAAGATTCAGCTGCTTCTTTTCAGTACTCCATTCGAAAAAATTCAGCACTATTCAGCCGGTCGTTATTATAATAAGCTGAAAATGTAAGAAACATACACAAAGTATTTTACCACATTGTGCAAAGATCGTTAATATGTCGTTGTAACTTTTAACGAGCGTATGCAAGAAATCTTATCCTGGGTTTTTTCGCAATATTAATAAATTAATATTTACCATCATATTATAACCTAAACTTTTTATATTTCTAGGCAATTTATTAAAAACAAAGAAGTAAATGGCTTAATGTTTTTTCCAAATAAAACAGACGAAATAAATTATATTAAACAAATGGATCCCCTATTTAAATACTACGTAATCAGTGAATTAATGGTACTGATATGCGTTTACATAATACAAAACTTAACACTAGAAAGGTAAGAAAGTCTCCATACTAGTACAAAAAAGCTTACCTTCTGGATCCGTTCTAGTTGGGATTTTTCCGGGTGGTCGTTCTATTTAGGGGTTGCCATAATTTTGGCGATTTTGACGCCACTGACCTGGACAAACTATCTATGGAACACATATGTGGAGACTTTACCACCAACCAATAGATTTATTAAAATGTTGTACAATTCTTCTCAGTTTATTGTAAAAAATTTCTGGGCCAGACACGGAATTTATATATTAACCAGTTTGGTTTTTGGTTATTGTGTTCTATCAGATGTTGTAAGTAAAAAAAACAGAAAAATTATAGTTATTTATTTTTGTTTTTTAGGTTAGTTGTAGAAAAGAAGATGAATTTGTAGAAAGAAAACATAGTTTATTTAAACTTTTTCTTTTAAAAACTTTAGATGATACTCCTTTGAATATACAGTGTACTATACCTTGGGTAATAAAAGTATACATAGTAGAGAAGGTGGTAATATCATGTGTTGTTTTAAAATTGTTTTCAGGGCGTTTGGAGAACAATATAAATAAATTAAACGTTAATGAAATGTTGTACGAACATTCAGGGAAAATATTTCTATAACTGTTACGCTTAAATATTTCTAAAACATTCATAAATACCACGTACATATTTTTCAACGTTTATTTCGCAATTTTATTTAAATATTATTTCCTAAATATTGTTGCGACGCTAAGACGCTTATGACGTGTACTATATTTTCTTGTATTTTTAGCGTGCAAAAAATAGATCTCCAGCTATGGTATTCCACTGTTTTAGTATTTCTAATATGAGAATACCATACCACATCTACTTTTTGAACTCCAAAACAAGAAAATTCAGTACACAAAAACGTGAAAAGTGTAAATTCAGTAAAAATCTTCAAACAAATAAGTCGTCTAAATTTAAACAGCATTTAGCATTATTAAAAGCGTTGATTAAGAAATTCAGTAAAACTCGTCAAACAAATAAGTCGTCTAAATTTAAACAGCATTTAGCATTATTAGAAGCGTTGATTAAGAAAGTCTCCACTTAACGGTAAAATACCATTATATTATGTATTATATATAATATTATGTTGCCATGAATTCGTAGGTATATTTTGTTGTTTAAAATGTAGTTGTCGGCGTTTTTTAGAGAACTCAAACATAAAAATGGTTAATTTTAAGGTTATGTTTGTGCAAAAATTATTTTTATTAATTTCTTAAAAATGTCCAAACTTAAATATAAATTATATTAGGTAAAATTATCATTTTTAATTCTGCACCAACAAATGTACTTACCGAATTGGATCCTTTGGCAAAACATGAAAATGCAACGATTTAATTCTTAAATTTTATTTACAATTAAAAACACAATAATTCACCATGATCCCTTGATAAAATACACACACTAACGTAACTATATAAGCATTTAAGCGTTGAGTTTCTTAATCAATGATATAAGGAATAATCAATGGAAATCGAGTACTAAAAAAGTTTTTTAATTTTTTCCTTGCAACGTAAAACACAAATAACGTGCGCGATTTAGCTGTGCAATTGAACAAAATTTGTCGAGTAAGACTTCTGCCTTTCTCTCTTTTCTGAAAAAAACTACCTATTTATTTAAAAATGATGTATAATCTGTGCTTTAAATGTATTGTTGACAATTCTTAAATTCACGCAATGCATTTGAAGTCCACCAGATGGCGCGCGCGTTGCAAAAACCCGATACTTCTTTAGCGTATAGTTTTTTAACTTAATTGTTAATAACTAAAAAACTACTCATCGGAATAAAGCATATATGGCGTTTTCGGGACATTCTGTATATAAGAAAAGTATGTTTTATATTACCACTATTAAAATCCATGTAATTGAAATTAATAATACAGGTACCTAGTTTATCTTCCTGATTTTAATTAGTTTTTTATTTTTTAGCATATGACTGAAACTTGTGGATTAGCCATAATTATGACATTTATATTTTTAAGAATATTTATTTGGATAAAATTCGCTGTAGGAATAATTATTTTGACAATTTATGCTTACTGCGTGTTTTCATTTAGCGAGCAGTTTTATAAGGTAAAAACCTTAGACCATATAATACAGGAGAAAAACCTTAGACCATTGTAAGCAAAAAAACGTATTTCTTTTTAGAATAACGAAACCTTTAACAATAACTTGAAACCTCAAACCGCCCATGTGTTGGTTTTGATTTTCTTGCTGTTCACCTTGCACCTGATAGATAGGCAAACGGACTACATGAACAGGCAGGACTTTTTGTGGAATAAAAAGTTGAGGCGTCAGCAAAAAAGGGCCAACGACGTGCAAGCTGTCAACAAAAGTATTCTGCTCAACATTTTGCCCGAGCATGTAGGTATGTTTTGCTTAAATAAATATTAGACTCTAAGAATAATGGTTTAGTGTTATTGATAAAATTATGTTTGTATTTTTAGCAACGTTGTATTTGGACGTTAAAAAAGAAGAGACACTTTATGCTGAATTTAATCAGAAAGTTGCTGTAATGTTTGCGACCATTTTATACGAAAAGGTTGACGGGAATTCCGAAAGTAACTTTCTAAACCTAATGAATCACTACATCTCTGAATTTGACAAAGTAATAAAACAAAAAAATAACACACGACAAATTAACATTTTAGCAAATGGTTTTAGTTGACTCTTCGGCCAGAATTCAACAAAAACATCGAAAAAATCAAGATTGCCAAGTGGACTTACATGGTCGCATGCGGATTGGTCGACGACAGCATAGAAACGCACTCTTCGCAACACGTTGAACCAATCACAACCCTCATACGGTTCGCATGCGCGATGATGAAAAAGTTGAGGGAGTCCAACGAGCAGCAATCGCAGGACTTCAAACTGAGGATAGGTAAGATTTCTTAGGTCATTCCATCGTTTCGGGTGTTACAACGATATAGATTTGAATTTTAATAGCATATACAATTTGATTTATACTATACCTAAAGTTAATAGTTTTCAAGATATTAATTTTTTTGTTAAAATTTTGCTAAATGCACGTTAATCAAAAATAGCCTCTAATTTTTTTGTTATTATGTTTACTGACATGGGGTTGGAGTTTTTCGAATATTAAAACATTGTTTAAATAATTTAATTTTTTAACAAATAGCTTGAGAAAAACCACTTGAAATTAGGAAAACTTCAAACAATAATAACGTTTTTATTATAAATGTAAAACCCAGTATGTTTTAACATAATCAAATATAAAATTAATAGTTATTTACGATATAAGTGGGATAAGAGCTTTATTAACGTACGCATGCGAAATTTGCCCAACGAGTGCGTAGCACGAGTTGGGCAATCGCAAAAGTACGTTAATAAAGCGTTATCACACGTATATTGTACAAATTTTTATCTACGCCTCTAAATGAAAAAATAAACGGTAATTATTTTTGTCTAAGACTTAATTTAGGGTTATTTTGACATTTTGACATTTTGACTTTTTTATTTGATTGGTTAAAAGCAGAGAAAAACGCGTGCATTAATGAACTTCTTATCTCACTTAAAATGAGTGGGATAAGAAGTTCTTATCTCACTGGCGTAGATAAAGAATCTTTAGATTGGTATTATAAATAATAATTGTTTCCTTAAGTTAAATTTCAGAGACATTTAACAATTTCTAATATTTTCAATACTATTTTGTATCAACAAACCTGTGAAATTCTTCATGTGGGTTAATGTGACAGTATCCATGATTACCACTTAATCTGTCAATGTTTAAAATTAATTAAAATAATTGATTAAAAAATTAATAACTCGAAAAATATTGACTTTAGGTATAGGATATAGTATAGCCATTTTACTCAGAATTTGATGTAGAATTCAAAAATGATTCAATATATGAGGTGTGCTGTTTAAAATAACAAAGTTAAAGACATTTATGGTAAAACAGGAAGTAGGTATTATTTTGTTCAAAATAATTTAGAAAAAAAAGTCTAAATCGAATAATTTACGCTATTAAAATTTCGCGATTCCCTAGAAACTTCCAACGGACTACGTAGGTGAAACACCCTGTATATTAAACGTCATTTATACGTTATGCTATACTTAATTATTATTAATAATAATAACAAAATGTACTAAACTAAACATTTATGAATACTGCTACTGCTAATTCAAAACTGGTCCTGGCCACAGAAACATCATTTGCATAAAAAAGTTAATACCTATATCAAATATCAATACTTTAACGTGTTATACTCAAATTTATAAAACAAAGTTGCTTCTTCGATTATTTACCCTTTAAAAATTGTTAAATTTTAAATTAAATTATCACCCCTGGACGTTAAAATCTAAATTAAACTTTTTCATGGATTAATTGTCATTAGTAAGATCTACATTTTGTCCAAATTTCAAATCGATACGTTTTGAAAAATGAAATTTCTTCCATTTTCAACACAGTGAAGAAAAAAAATAAAAACAAAGTTGTCAATGGATGAGATTTTTTGTTGAAAAAAGTAGTGCATTTAGATGTAGAAATAAGGTAAAAAAGTTTCAATCGAATTCTTGAACCCTTGCAAATCGTCAGTTCGATCCTTTCGCGAAACCGTAGTTAAATCATTACCACCATAACGTTACTTTTACTAAATAAATATTATCTGTAAGGTATAATAATTAAACAATTACATGCTTTTTCGTTTCGGGTGTTACAGTAAGTAATTTTTTCGGGACTGTAACGCAATCCACCAATACTACGATAAATAATCTAAAATCACAACGAGGCAAAACGGTTGACAGATTGCCAGTTTTTTCTTCCTATTTCAATAGTTAGAGGCACAATGGCCATTCAGCCAGTTCATTTGAGTACAGATTTTGAAGACTAATTAACTTAAAAATTACGCGTTTCTTCTAGTTTTTTTGTCGCACATTATAATTTGGAATGTTTTCTTTCAAAATTTATCAGATTTAATGCGAAAAGAACATATTTGACACTTAATTGTCGATCTTAAATGCCTTTTTTTAGGGATAAGTCACGGCCTGGTGGCCTCTGGAGTGGTCGGATCAAAAAAACCACTTTACGACATTTGGGGCGATCCAGTGAACATGGCCTCCCGTATGGACACTACAGGGTGTCCGAACAAAATTCAGGTTTTGGAGGAGACTGCGTTGGCGATACAAAAGGAGGGTTTCAAGTGCGACTTCCGCGGTGCCGTCAAGGTTAAAGGTTTCGAGGGCAACAGCATGGTGGATACTTATTTTGTGTCCATGGACGATGACTATAATTTGATAAATATTGGAAGGAAAGATAGTGCGTGGGAACAGTAATATTTGTTTGTTATTGGAAAGTTTATTTTTTATAAATGTTACTATAAAAAAGTTAAAACTGTTATTTATTTTGTTTTGGCGCATTTATAGACGTTGAAAGGTGTTAATATAAAACCTGCTTATAATATTATTTTAACTATCGGCCTTGAAAACTGGAGTACAATTATCATGATTATTTAATTTTAAAATAAAAATGTTAAAATGTAAATAAATAATACTAAAAGACTTATTACAATAAATTTATTCAAATCATTATTATAATATAAAACAAAATCGTAAACTTAAAAGTTTGATTGGGCCATACATAAATAAAATAAAATATATTTATATAAAATTACAAGTAAAAATTAACATTAACTTTGTATTTAAATAATTTAAAAACGTTAAACTAACATTTTATAATTAAAACTATTTAAAATTTTCAACTGTTCATACACACTGTAGTTTATAACAAAAAATTGTTTTTATAAAAGCTTCCCCATGATTTTCAAAAAAATAACCAAATTTAGTGATATTACTGAATCTGGTATTTCTCAAAGAACCTTAGCACCCCACTTGTAATTAAATTAAATTTCAGTGGTCATATATTGTCCTTATTTTTTCCATATCGTCATGCATTATATGTATTAATAATATCATTTATACCGTCGGTAATTATTTAATAATTTTAATATTGCTAGAAAATGAATTCGGTTCTCATGAAGCGAACAATTTTTTAACGGACTCCGTCACTTCCGGCCCTAGTTGAGAAACGGAAGTCGCAAACACCTCCACAAAGTCCCGATTTGTCGTTTTCAGGAATTCGATTAGAATTCCTTTAACTTCTGAAATAATAATAGATAAACGTGGTCAAAATGCAGAAATAGGTTGGGACAAATCAGTGTAAAACCACTTCTATTATAGAGATTGGCTACTGAATAGAAATTTGCCAAGTGAGGCCATTATATTCGACGTTGTAATGAAAATTAAAAATAAATATTTAATCATAATCTACTAAGAAAGGTACCTCAAACATTTTTTCATACAATGTTTGATTTAAAAAAATTCTAGCGTTTGATTTAAAAATTATTTTCTTTAAAACTATTTATAAAAATATAATGAAAATTTTTAAGAATGGTAAAAAATAAATGCAACTAATAATAAAATTTTCAAAAACCTGGTGTTACTTTTTTTGGCTACTTTTTATTTTTTTATTAAAAATTTTAAAAAAAGGAGATAATAGAAGCTCTTAAAGCTAAAGATTAGGGAACCGTTTAAAGAATTTTGTGATCGCTTTGCCTTTAATATCATTTATAATTAACATAAAAGTTTAAAATAACAATTGTCAATGTTTATTTTTACAAGACGCAAGAAAATAGATTTTTTACTTTAAAAATTGCAAAATTAACAATGATTGATACGTCAGAATAAAGATAAACCTAAAGATGTAATCTTATTTAGTTCTTATTTTTTCCTGTAATTACATTTTTAACAAAAACTGTGGTATTCGAGAAAAGTCAACACAAAATATTTTATCGTCTATAGGTTCATAGCAATGGTATTGTCTGGTAATTTTTATTGTTGTCGCTTTTTTACAGCACTTCCGATACCGTCAGAAACCACTTTTTCGTAAGAGGTCGCAAAAAAATTTCAGTAATCCCAAAATCTTCTTAATGTTTTAAAAGATTAAATTTATTTTTATTCTGCAATGCAGCCCCATCCGAAAACTTTTTTTTATATTTTTATCCCCCATTTTTTTAAAATTACTTTTGAATTAAATAAATGTAATCGAGCTTTCGTCGTGAGTAATTTTTTTGTCCCATATATGAGTACATTAGATGCACAACTCTGTATTTTCAGGATACGTGATTTTAAGAAAAACACGAAAAACCGACCTTAAGGTCATTTTTGAAAAAAAAATGCAAAAATTGTATAGACCTGCTTTTGCATCCTTTCTTGAAGAAAGTAAATCAAAATCCTTTAAAATTAAGTATTTTAGTAAATAATTGAAATGAAAAGATTTAAAAACATAGTTTTGCACCTTCCTCGTTCAAAGACCAAGTTTTGCAAGTGAAAAGTGCAAATACCAAGTTTTGCAAGTGAAAAGTGCAAATTCCAAAAAATAAGAATTAATCAGGTGATTGTTATGTCGTCACTTAATACGTATACTAACGACGTGATTGGTCTACAGCAAATATCGAGTTTTGCATCCAACAGGAAGAAACAAATACCCTGTTTTGCATCTGCGGTAAGTTTATAATAGTATATTATGTATCAAGTTTGATAAACGCCGTTTTATGCACGAATTTAATTTAGGCACGAGCGAGCTTGCGAGCGAGTGCTTAAGTTAATGAGTGTATAGAAAAGTTTATAAACGAGGTGCAAACTATACTTTTTCTACGACAAATACTTATTATTATCTTAAAATGATTTAAATCAAAAATTTGTATATAGCGCCATCAATGAAACAACAGGGGAAACTGTCAAATGTCACATTTTTACATTTTATAAACACAATTATAAAGGTTATACATCGAAATGTATCTTAAAAATTGACAGTTTTTCACAGTGAAAGTAAAGGAAATGTTTTATGAGGACTTTACAGTAGTAGTGCCCGAATTTAAGTTATAGTTTACTGCCGGCGAAATTAAAAGGTCAGTACAATGTTCATATAAACTTTTCAAATATTGGCGTTGAGAAACTATTTAATATTTTTGAATTTTTGTATTGGGAAAATAAAATAATTTTCACATTTAGTATTATTTTACAAGAAAGGCACTTTATTTTAACGATTGTATGACATTTGACAACTGTCAACTAACTTAAAACTAACTTCAGCCCGTGACTAAAAACCTATTGCTAACTTCAGCCTGTGACTAAAGCGCCGTAAAGCCACAACTTGTCAATGTGTATTTAAAAGGTCACTTAGTGTCATGGAAACCCAACGACTGGGCAACGACAGTTATGAACATAAATAGGATAAAATATATATTTTTTTAAAATTTGCAAAAACCGAGTTTTGCATCTAATGTACTCATATACAGTATTGGACAAATTTAGAGTGACCATAGTATTTTTTACCAAATGCTTGAGTTTAAGTACGTCTGGTAGTAAAAATTTAAAATAAAATGCAATTATTAAAAAAAAACTTAGTCTTTCTGCCTGTAATTATTTAATTTAAAGCTTAAGCTTTAAGAGCTTTTATCTATTATTTTTTAAATTTTCGTATGGAGAACAGGGCCAAATTAGCATTTTTTTATTAAAAAAGAAAAAAAAGTAGACAAAAAAAATAATAGCAGGTTTTTGAAAATTGTATTGTTAATTGCATTTATTTTTTACCATTCTCACAAATTTTCATTAATTTTTTATAAATAGTTTACAAGAAATTAATTTTTAAATGAAAAGCTAGATTTTTTTAATCATACATTGTGAATTAACGAATTAACTTTTAAAAAAATAAAAAATTAGATTATTAATTAATATTTATTTTTAACTTTTATGAAAACCAGCCTTCAATGTACCCAGGTAGTCAAATTTATTTGAATCATAGGACCCATTAGATTTAGATTTTTGTATTGTTTTCTTGTGGTTTTGTTGTCGTTTTAGCACTTAACTTAGTGCCTTAAATACTCTACTTAAAAAAATCTCACTTACCGTCACTGGGACACTGATCGTTGTGGTAGACGTGGGCGGCAACCTTGATTACATCTCCCATTTGTTGCTTGATATGTTCATTACCCATCTGGTACAGCGTGCAGAAGCACTTGATTACGGCCTCGTTCTCTTGGAAATCCTCGCGCAGCGGCAGTTTGGTCAGGAAAGCGGGGAAGACCTGGTCCATGGGAATCAAAGTGGGGTTTGATTGGATCATTTTCGCTAAAGCGCCGCAAGCGTTATCCAGAGTGCCAACGTGCGATTCTTTGGAGACCAGCACCGAGAGCATCTGGAGGATGTTTTGATAGTGACTGTAAAGTAGTGTTAAGGAGAAATTCCAGAACGATTTTACGTTTTTAAATAAGTTTTTCCGCCTTTATCGTATATGACTTTAGATTTTTTAAAATAAACATTGACCCATTAGTCTCACAGGCTTAAGTTTTTATACATATTATCTAAAAATTTACAAAATTTTAAACATTCAAATTTTAAGAACTCAAGTTTCCAGAATTTTTATTTAAAACCTCCAAATTTTTAAATTATCCAAAAATTTTAACTAAAATTATCAAAATTTACAAAAATTTTAAAATATCCAAATATTTTAGAATTTATTAAATGTCCATTAATTCCAAAACTTAAAAAATAACCAAAAATTTTAAAATATCCAAAATTATCCAAATAAATTTTTTAAAAGTATACAAAAATTTTTAAAATATACAAAAATTTTAAAAATATTATAAATTACAAAACTTTTAAAATGTCCATTATTCCCAAAATTTTAAATATACAAAATTTAACTTATAAGTTTCAAAGCTATTTCCAAAATTTTAAAATATCCAAAATTTTCAACTTCACAAATTTACAGAATTTTTAAAATTTAAAAAATTTAAAATCTCAAAAATTGTCCAAATATTTCTAGAATTTGTCAAACATCCAAAATTTTAAAACCATCAAATTTATCCAAACTTTTACATAATATATAAAATGTATGTATATAAAATTTTTAAAATCTCTAAAATTAACCAAAAATTTCTAAAATCTTTAAAATATCCAAATTTTTTAGAATTTATAAGATTTTCAAAATGTCCATTATTTCCAAAATATTAAAATTATCCAAAACTTTTAAAACATCCAAATTTCCAAAAATTTTAAAATTTAGAAAATATACAAAAAAATTAAAATCCCAAAAATTATCCAAGTATTTCTAAAATTTGTAAAACATCCAAAATTTTAAAAATATCAAAAATTATTAAAATCTTTAAATTTATCCAAACGTTTCTAAAATTTTTAGAACATCCAAAATTTCAAAAAAAATTTCATAAATACAGTGTGACCCATTTGTTTGCGACTCACCCCTGTAAAATCTAAAAAAGAATACATATTTTTACAAAATTCAAAGGGTACTATGTCAGTTTTTGAGAGTAGGTACATATCCCTATACTAAATTTTATGAAATTTGGCTACTAAATCGTTCCTACTTAAAAAATTTCAATAAAATTTAGTATAGGGTCGTTTTGAGGGGTGGTGAATCCAGTGCCGTGCATAATTTTTTTTTAAATCGCCAATATGAATTCTTAAAAATTTACTGTTTAAAACTGACAATGTAGTTTTTTAAAATCTTCAAAATTAACCAAATATTTCTAAAATTTATAAAATATTCAAATTTTTTGGAATATTTAAAAAAATTTAAAATACGTACCTATCTAAAAATTTTAAAATATTATTAATATTTAAAAAATTTCTAAAATATGCAAAAATTTTAAAATCTCCAAAATAATCCAAATATTTCTAAAATTCCTAATATCCAAAATTTTTAGAATTTATAAAAATTTCTAATTTTTTAAAATATCCAAAATTTACAAATTTTCAAAAATTTAAAATATCCAAAATTAATAAAATTTATAAAATATCCAAAAATTTTACAATCTCTAAAATAATCCAAATATATCCAAATATTTTAAAATAACCAAACTTTTTAAAATGACCCAAAGTTTTTAAAATATTCAAGATTTTCAAAATTTTTAAAAATATAAAAAAAATTATCATTTCCAAAATTTTTCAAGTATTTTTAATTTTATTTTTTTAATGATATAATTTCCAAAATTTGTAAGTATTTTTGACATTATCAAAATTTATAAAGCATCCAAAATTTATAAAATTATGAAAATTTCCAGAATATTTATAGTTACTAAAACTATTACAATTTTAGGCTTCAATTTTTAAAAGCTTGATTGAGGACAGGTTTCATATTTCTACTTAGGAATCAAATGTCTCAATTTCTCATGTAATAGATGAAAATAATATTAATCAAATACATAAAATTGCTAGCACTAAAATTGCTGAATTTTTTAAGAAAAATCAAACAATATAAATAATATAATAAAACAACACAATAATTTAATTAAACTGTCCAAATAAGTTTTACTTTAAAGTAAAACTGTAGCTCTTTAGATCACACATGTATTTGTTTTAAAAGGATACGGATATATTCTATCTTTTCCATGCAAGATCATCTCGCCCAGCCCGAAAACGGAATTATTTCTGACCTCTTCAGCCTGATCCTTGGCTCCAGTCATCCAAAGGTTCAACAAGTCGTTCACGAATTTTTCCACGTACACGTCGAGGCACTTCATGCATTCGGCCAACGTGCCGAACGCGAAGGACCTTTGCGCTACGCTGTGTTGTTTTTTCTTAAAAAAAATCCTTAAAATGAGTTTTTGGATCGAGAGTGCGGAATGGCCCCTTAAGTCTTCTCCGATATCGGGGAAATGACAAAATACGAGGTTTCTGGTATATTTCGTCGAAATAAATGTGTTTATTATTGTTTGTATTACAATATTAAACAATAATTTTCAACGAAAAACATTAAAAACCGTGCATTTCAGACATGGTTCATTTGAACTACTCGATAAATCCTTAAGGGGCCGTACCGAACATTTTTTCAAAAACCCTCAGGATATCATTATTTTTACTTTCTTACCGTTCTAACGGACATCAGCTGCAATATGTTGGGGAAGTAGCGCACGAAATCGTCCGGAGTGATGGCGGCCCCGAATTTCGGGATGACGTCGCCGGCCGATTCTAGAAGAAGTTCGTCCTGTTCGGCCTCGCCGTCGTCTTCGTTGTCTTCGTTCGGGCCGCCGCCCGCGCCCAAATCCGTGTCTTGGCACATTGTCTAAAGAAAACAATGTTTTAAAAACGTCATTAACACTGAGTAGATATTTGCCAAGTGATTTTCGACATCGTCATGAAAATTAAAAATAAATATTAAATAATAATCTGTATGATGTAGTAGTATTTGGTTTAAAAATTTATTCTTGTAAACTATTTTTTTTTATAATGAAAATTTACAAGTTAACAGGCTCATCTTTGCGTATGAAATATGTAATTAAATGCCGTTCCCTTAAAAAAAAATATTAAAAATGTCTTTAACTTTTTTCCGATATTTCATTTTTAACCAAAAAGTTACTACTTAGTATTTGGTTTAAAAATTAATTTCTTGTAAACTATTTTTTTTTAATAATGAAAATTTACAAGTTAACAGGCTCATCTTTGCGTATGAAATATGTAATTAAATGCCGTTCCCTTAAAAAAAAATATTAAAAATGTCTTTAACTTTTTTCCGATATTTCAATTTTAACCAAAACTGTGTATTTTTACATTGATCCACTACTGTGACTTGAAACCCAATAAGCGACACTATTAAAAGACATTTTTAATACCCATCACATTGATTTTTATGATGTATAGGTTCATAGCAATATAAGGTATTTTTATTGTTATCAAAACGTGCCCCAACGACCTCTCTTGTATTTTAAACTTTTCAAGGTTTAAAAAAATAATAATATTTTCCTTTCAAGTTCCTTCAATTTTGTTGATAAAAATTCACATAATTTGTAATTTTAGCTTTAAATAAAATAATTGCATTTTATTATAGAAATTATTTTACTACCTTTAATTTTTACTACCAGAAATATATCTAACTCAAGCATTTGGTGAAATACTATGGTCGCTCTAAATTTGTCCAATTTTGTATATTCCCCCAAAAAATTTTGGGGATAAAAATATAAAAAAAATAGTTTTTGGATGGGGCTGCATCGCAGTGTAAAAATAAATTTAATTTTACAAATCTTTTAATTTAAAAGATTTAAAAGTTTTAAAACACCACGAAGATTTTGGGATTACTGCTCAGAGGAATTTACGAAAAAGTGGCTTGTGACGGTATCGGAGGGGCTGTGAAAAAGCGACATTAAAATTAACCAGAATCATTCCTTTGAACCTTTAGATGATACAAATATTTTTGGTTAAATATGTAATGACAGTAAAAAATAAAAAATAAGTTAAGTTAAATAAGTTTACATCTTAAGGTTTATATTTTTTCTGACGTGTTCATAATTGTTCATTTTGCAATTTTTTAAAGTAATTGCGGTTAGTTTGCCTTAAAATTCCGCAAAAATTCGAAAAAATAATTAAAAAAAAAAGAATGCAAAGATTATATAAAGCGATAGTCTAGTAGTAGTAAAGTGATTATATGCAGGCAGATGCATGTTATTAACTTTTAAAGTGAGTGCTGAGTGCTAAGAATCCTCCAGAGTTAAGCTAAATAATATGCTTACTTTAAGACATTGTTATAAAGAGTTAATTCTGAAAGAGGGGTTTAATTCAAGAAAGTCTCTATTTTCATAATATTTGTACAAAAACTTGTTTTACACTTTAAACCCTACATTAATTGAGTTCCTTTGGTGACAAAAAAATACGATTTTTGTTGTAAAATATTTTTTAATTTAATGAAAAAGTTATATACACACATGGAAAAAAGTTAGGGATATTAATAAATTATAAACTTATGCTAGATTTTTCTTCGAGCAAAGAAACCACCAATATTGTACATCACTGTATAATTCAATACACTAAAAAAATTAAATATATATATATATATAGTGTATTGAATTATAAGTGATGTACAATATTGGTGGGTTCTTTGCTCGAAGAAAAATCTAGCATAAGTTTATAATTTATTAATATCCCTAACTTTTTTCCATGTGTGTAGTTGGGTAAAAATTTCTCAAGTGGGCCACCCAAAAACCCTTCAGTCAAATTTTTTGTTCAAAATATATTTTTTGGGTAAAGTTTAAGCACCTCCACCGATTTGCCCAAAAATTTGTCTAAAAATTTTTTTTTTGTCTCAAACATTAATGAACTAAGTTTTAAGACACTTTTTTTTTAAAAATTAATATCTCCTAAAGTAATGCATTGATTTTTAAAATTAAATCACCAATTAATTCAGATTTTAACGTAGTTTCGATAAAAAAAATTTATAACCTTCAAAATTTGCATGTTTATATATTTTTTAGGTTAATATTTATGAAAAATTGTAAAAAATTGTGTTCTTCATCGAAATTTGTAACGAAAAAAATAGTGTATATAAAAGAAACCTTATTAAATAGATTTGCGTTTAGAAAAAAAATGAATCTCTTCTAGAAATGGAGATACATTTGTAAGGCGGCGCGCTGCACTGGCAAGCGCGATAAAACGGGTAGTCGCGCGGAGCGCGTTATCTTCAAGCTTCGAAGTTCGTTGTTATTCAAAAATCGAAAAAACAAACGTGGTTATTAAAAAAAACTCTTTATTTGTTAATTATTATTAATAATTTTTTTTTGCATATACATTAGTTTACTTGCACAAGTATTTACTTCCTGATTGCACATGTTTTATATTCATTGGACGATGAAATTTTTCTGCACATGATATGTTTGCCGTCTTCACTTGGTTTAAAGCAATGATACTGGCGCATATTTTTTATTGTAATTGCTTTCTTATAACGTGAAGTTAAAGCTTTATGCTCCCGATCGTGTTCGTTTTCTGTGCAAAAATCAAAAGAAACTTTCTCAAAAAAATTAATTGCCCAATTATAAAAAATCTTGGGCGTTAAAATTTGATTATATTCAGGTCGTTGCAAACTAACACGATAAGCATTTCTTTTTACTGTCGCGCCAATACCGTCACAGGCACTTTTTCCGTGGGATGTTGCAGAAAAATTCCATTCGACATTGATACCAGTAGATTTCATTAGAAATACAAGTTTGAGAAAATTGAACTTATTTTTATATTGGGAACCGGAACCATCAGAAAAAAAGAACAACTTTTTTACATTTTTCCCCATGAACTTCCTTTAAATAATTCAGCATCTTTTTATTGAATAAATTCACTGCCGTTGAATCGTGTTTCATACTTTCCGAAATAATTACGAAATTGTGATGAAGGGTTTCATTATTTTCTTTGTAATAAATTACATAGGGATGTATCGTAACTTGGTTGTTTGACCAATGAAAAGACTGAATTGCATCTTGAATAACAAAACTAAAATTTTCAGAAAAATCCTCCTTTCTCTTTTATATTTATATAATTTCACTTTTTTGTACGCCCGTGAGCGTACAAAAAAGTACTTTTTTCTACGCCCGTGAGCGTACAAAAAAGTACTTTTTTCTACGCCCGTGAACGTACAAAAAAGTACTTTTATCTACTCCTACATTGACGAGCTGTGACTTTATGGCGTTTTATTGACGGGCTGAAGTTAACAACAGTGGCTTTTCGACATTTTACGCCACGGGCTGAAGTAAGCTTTATTATAAATTGGGAAAAAGTGAGGTTAAATTCGAGTGACAGTTGACAGATGTCAAAATTTTAACAAATAAAATTGGCTTTAAATTCTGTTTTGTGTTCGTCGTAGATAAAGTATAGTATGCAACTCGTTTATAAACTTCTCTAGACACTCGTTTTTATTAAACACTCGCTCGCAAGCTTCGCTCGTGCTTAATTAAACTCGTAACTAAAATGGCGTTTATAAAACTTGATACTTAATATACTATTTTCTACGCTGCTATGGGCAACCATACGCCGTCTGTGAAATCAAACTTTGACATCATGAATTGAAGTTAACAAAGTTGACATTTTTTGACGTTTGCGGAAAAAATTATATATCCTACTTATAGGAACCGAAATAAATGTATTTAAGAATTGTTATTTAAGCTGTTATTTTACAGTAATAACTTACCCTTTTTCTTCCTTAAATAATTATTTACCAAAAACTTAATTGAACAATTGTATTTTAATAATTAAATACTTATCAATAACGACTTTACAACAACACTGTTACCCAGCAAATTATATTCTTACGAATAAATGACAGTTCGAGGGTTTAAGTTTAGGACGTCAAAGCCCACTACATATTAAGTATTAAACGTTTTTGACAGTTGTCAAATATCGCCTTTTGGTTTTGTGTCTAGATTTTGTTGAGTTAATTAAATCTAACATACCTACGCATCAAACAAAATGGGCGCGCTCCGCGCGGGTCGTCGCGGCGACCCGTTTTATCGCGCTCCGCCTTACAAATGTTTTTATATCTCCATTCCTAGAAGAGATTCATTTTTTTTCTAAACGCAAATCTATTTAATAAGGTTTCTTTTATATACACTATTTTTTTCGTTACAAATTTCGATGAAGAACACAATTTTTTACAATTTTTCATAAATATTAACCTAAAAAATATATAAACATGCAAATTTTGAAGGTTATAAATTTTTTTTATCGAAACTACTTTAAAATCTAAATTAATTGGTGATTTAATTTTAAAAATCAATGCATTACTTTAGGAGATATTAATTTATAAAAAAAAAGTGTCTTAAAACTTAGTTCATTAATGTTTGAGACAAAAAAAAAATTTTTTAGACAAATTTTTGGGCAAATCGGTGGAGGTGCTTAAACTTTACCCAAAAAATATATTTTGAACAAAAATTTTGACTGAAGGGTTTTTGGGTGGCCCACTTGAGAAATTTTTACCCAGTTCCAAATAGTTCTGTATAAAAGATTATTTCACCTTAAAGGTAATTAAATAAGCTATTGATTGGTGTAAATAACTTTGACCGCAACAGAGTTTAAGACAATGTTATAAAAAGTGTATAGTACCTATTTTTATGTAAAAAAAGATTTAACTAAAAAAATTATGTATTTTCTTAATCTACATAATACATAAAATTTAGCTATGTAATTTAGATCATTACCTAAATGAATTTGATTAATTTCGTTCGTTTGGTGAGAAAAATTAACGATGTTTTTTGTAAAATATTGTTTTATATTATCAAAAAGTTTGTTTGTTTAGTATAATTGGATGATAAAATTAAGTTATCGATTGGTATAAATATATCTTGCAAATGTACCTTGTATTTGAAATTGAAAGATGATTTTTACAAAATTTACCTGATACAAATTTAACGGAAGTATTTAAAAAACACTTTATACATAATTTGCAAAAAATACATCTTAATATTTAATTTTTTTTTTTAATTTGAGATCAGATTCAACTTTTTAGATATATTTGGGGAAATTTTAGGTCTTAAAATTTACATTTTTGATTTTTTTAAACGGTTCCTTAATCTTTGGATTTCAGAGCTTCTTTTATCTTTTATTTTTTTTTAAGAATTAAAAATAAGCCAAAAAAATAATAGCAGTTTTTTTTAAAATTGTATTATTAATTGCATTAATTTTTTATCATCTCACAAAGTTTGATTATATTTTTATAAATAGTTAACAAGAAAATAATTTTTAAATCAAATGAATTGTATACATTTTTTTTGTTCAAACATTGTAAATAAACGAATAAAGTTTCTTCAAAAAATTTTATGTGGTAACTTTCTACTACTTGGTAGATTATGATTTAATATTTATTTTTAATTTTCATTACAACGTCGAAAATCATTGGCTTACTTGGCGAATTTCTACTCAACTTGTTGATTTTTTGTATGACAAACTATTGCAAGAAATCCTCAGTCCCCAAATAACTAGAATTGTCTAAAATAAAAACATAAAATTCACTCACTTTTAGGGTTAAAACATCGATGACGCAGTTCATGATGGCCTCGCGATGCCCGTCGCCAATGAAAACGGCGTACTTCACCTCGTCCAATAGCGTGGCGTACGCGTCGACGCACACCATGACGACCCCGCGTTCCTCGTCCATTCGGATGAGCTCGGCGCACTTCGGCACGAACATCTGCAGCGCCTTGAGCAGGAAGTCTTTCGTCTGAGGCGTGTCGATTTTGTGCAGGGTGACGCAGAATTGCAAAAGAGCTTCCACGGAAGCTTTACGTATGTCGTCTTGAGGATAGTTTATAAGTTTGAAGATTTCCTCGAAGGATTTTTCGATGTAAGGTAGGAAAGCGGCCCTAGTGACAGCAAAATTAATAGGTTAAAAACTAAAAAACACTTCTTAACGCACCATAAAGTATAAATAATTGTAATTTGTTAAAATATGTGCTATTAATAAACTTGTCACTCCTTAAGGTTCAATGACTAGAGATGGAAAATGCTTGAGCATTTGAAGGGGCAAGAAGCAAAAGGGTCCAAAATAAGTTAAGTTCAGAATTGGTTAGTTAAGAGTCCAAATTTTTTTAAAAATTTTCTCATAACGTAAAAATTTTATGAGTTCTGCATGTTGATTAACGCAAACAACAATATTGAAACAAGTATCCAGATTTTTGTATATAGCAAAAACTTTAAAAATTAATACCACTTTTCTTTTTGGCACTTCTACCCTTTTGCTTCTTACCCCTTCATTTATTTTTTAGCACAAACGAGAAAAAACGAGCATTAATTAGAAATTCTCGAGAATTTATTAACAGCATAGAAGAATTATGTCATTGAACGTTTTTTGTCAATGTTCCTTGTTTATTTTAAATATTCTCGAGAATATTGAATAAAAATCAGAATATTTTCGAGAAATACACCAGGTGCTAAAATCTTTTCTTTATTAAAAAAACTCTTTTAATAACGCCTTAATAGAATGAATAAAAAACATACTAATAACAAAAAAAGTATGTCACACCTACTTGGGGATTTTAGAACCCTCTACCCTCCATGTCACACATAATAGGCTTAACCCCCTCACCCCTAAACATGTGAGGTACTTTAAACCCAGTTATAAAAAAGGAACAAAATCAGTTTTCTTAAACCACACAGAGTAAATACAAATGGTAAAAGGAGGTTTGGGATCGTTTTTCAAAATAATACTATAATTTATGTCATTCAAGATGGATATATAAATTTCAAGTTTATTTACCAAACAAATTTAAAAAAATAAATTGTTAAAATTTATTAATAATTAATTTATCATAAAAAAATTGGTCAAAAATGTCAAATTATTGAGTAGTATTATTGTATACATATTGCATACATACCATTGGTAATATTTCCATAAAACCTACAGTACTTCAAAAATGTTTATCCATTTACTTTCATGTACACATGTTTTAAAAAATTTAGTAGGTATAATTTGACATTTTCAAACAATTTTATAAGTTGTTAAAGTTATTTTACTTCTTAATTAATTACAAAAACTTTTTTAGGGTAATTTGGGTGCGAGAAAAAAAATTCCCTTAAAGTTTCAGCCCTTAACCCCTTAGTTAGTATTTTGTTATTTTGATTTTAAAGTTTTTTCGTTTCAAGTACTTAAGAGTACAATTAAGGGCTGAAACTTTAAGAGCATTTTTTTTAGATATGTAAATTAAACGCTTGGAAAGCGACAAAAAAAATGTTCCTTCAAAAAAATCATGCTAATGAGTATACTAGATTATATTGTTATCAGAACCAAACGTGTGTGCAAAGATTTAAGTCTCTAGCTCGTGAGTTAGTTTAAAATCGATATCAGAATTTGTACCAAACAGTCAAAAAAGCGAGTAAATAAATAATAACGGAGAAATAAAATAGTAATTTTTTTTAGGAGTCCAGAAAATGATTTTTTACAAATATAACTATAAAAGTTTAAATTTTTAAGGCAGTTATATTAGTTCAAGTTGACTCTTTAGACAGCTATAGCCATAGATATATTGAAATTAAGTTAAAAGATTACTCACTCAGTATTGATGCAAATTTCTCTTAGAGCCAGGCAAGCTTGTTCTTTTTCTTCGTTATACGAGTTTTCTACAGAATATCTGCACTGAGTGGAGTCGGCGCTGCTTGTCGAAGCGTTATCGATGTCCTCTTCGATGTCCTCTTCATCGTCGGACAGCTCCGCGTACACATCGATATCCTCTTTGTCCTCCTCCTCGAAGTGAGTCTGAAAAAAGTCTCATCATTCTCAAGCCTTCCGTTTTCGCGTTCTGCTACTCACCACAATGCCCTCGCTGCTCATGATGGTCTCGATCATCTTGTCGACGACCTTTGGCAACACCGGACTGATCTCCTGCTTCATGACGATCGACAACGCCGCAAACAGGGCGTAAATGCTCTTCTTGACGTCGGGGTCGTCGGTTTCGGCCAGGATGCGCATGGCCAGATTGAGGGACTCCCCGGCGAGAGGTTTGAAATTTTCGACGCCGATGAACTGCGCGACGACGGCCAGAGACTCGATCGCGCAACACTGCAACTCGTAGATTTCCGAGTTAGGGTCGGAGTTGATGTAGACGTTGAGGATCTCGATGATTTTCTGGAAGTAGGGGAGGATTCCGTCCTTGACGGCGGTGGCTGCGGCGCCCAGAGTGCTCAAGGACACTCTTTTCAGTTGGAGGGAGAACCCGTTCGGGTCCAGAGCCACGAAAAGTCTGCAGTCAAGAGAATGAATGTAAATATAGGATTTCAATTTTAAAGGGAGAAGAAAAATAAAAAAATACCTATTAAATTAAAAATAAACCATAAAATAGAAGATCAAAAAAAGGTTTTTATTCTTTTTAATAAATACTACATAGGAGAAAATGACAAACAGCGAATTACTACACAAAAGACCCTAGTCCAGAGTTGCAAAAATTGGGAGTTTAATTTTCGTTATGCATTACTTCCCTTTTAATGTAGATTAAATTACAGTACATTTTTTCCAATGAGTAGGTAATGTATTACACATTACTTATTTTTAATTTGTAATGAGTAATGCACTCACTTTACATTACTCATTTTTTATTTTTAATGAGAAATGAATGAGTATCAAATAACTCATTTTTAGTGGGCAAGGAAGATATTTTTATTACATGATAATTTTTTCAATTTTTGCACGGTTTGTCATAGATAGAAGTGTAAAGATCTTTTACAAAAAGCATGGACTTTCTGAGCAGAATTAATTTATTATTTAAAAGTAATCAATTTCATTAGAAAAAATTGTTTATTTTTTATTTTAATAGTCACCTTTATTGAAGGAAAAGATTAAATTTTATGATTTTACTAATGAATAATTCATTTCATTAGCCACCAATGAGTGCACCTTATATCCTCTAATTTTATTTATTTTTTAACTGTAAATAGACAAGGACCCAAGAAGTAAAAAAACTCACCTTTTAGTTTCTCCCCACTTCATCTATTTATACATGGCAAAAGTTACTGAGCAGATCTAACTGTACTTCTTTTGCTAATAAAGCTATCGACTTTAAACAAACTGTTCATTGTTAATAAAATATTTCTCTTTTAAACCATATAGGACACATTTAGTTATTGATGCCCTAAATGGTCTTTGGGAATTTTTTTTAATGCAATTTTTTGTCAAAATTGTCCAATTTTATAAATTCATAAATTCTTAGAACAACTTGCCAGCAAATTTTTTTTAATGGAGTTTATTACCAAAAATCTTACTCTATATAAAAGCAATGAAAATATTTTCAAATAATATTGGCTAAGAGTTCAAAAAAATAAAATAAAAATTCATGTTTTCGAAAAATCACTATTTTCAGCCATTTCATGATTTAAAAAGGCTATGTTTGAGTGAGTCGATTTAAACCAATTTATGCTTACATCACATGCACTTATTAGCCTCCAATAACCATGAATAAAATTACTGTATATTTTGCTTTTAACTGGGCTGTGGCTGTATCATCTACAGCCCAGCTATAAGCAAAATACACAATATGCCCACCTGACTAAATCCATAATATGGATTATAATATTATTAATTTTATTATTATAATGTGGATTATATTAATATAAATCCATAATATTATTTTAAATATATATTTTATAAAAAAACTCGGTAGCAAGACTTCTAATTCGCAAGAGACAATTTTTAAGATTTTGTTTTAATAATTAAAATATTTTTAAGATATTGAAATTTTTACATATTGTAACGTTTTTAACTGTTCGTAGTGTGAATTAAAAACACGCACTGGTTTATTAACGAACTAAACTATTTATTTAATAACTTAACTACACTTAAAACACTATAAAACTAACTAAACACTTAACTATTAATTATTTATATCACTACTAGTTTATTTATTTGCACGTATATTTATTTATTTCGACGCGAGTACCAAAACTGGACTGACTGCCGTGTGCTGCTCCGTTTCTTATATATTCAGCGCCAAGGTCTTCTGGAACATTCCAGCGAGCTCCACACTCTCGATTATTCGAGCGCTGAGTCACCGGCGATGACTCACCGGCAATGACTAATCGGCGATGAGTCATCACTCCGATATCCAGGGCGGTACTCGCTACATTGCCCCCGTCTTAAAACATTTTCGTCCCGAAAATGGTCCTCAGCTCCATGGCGATATTTGCATAGAGATCCAAACTTGCATTGTGACGTCCTATAGAAGTAGCAGTCTACGGTCTTCCTTTCGGTTGTTCTTTTAAGGTTGTGGCAACAGACAAGAATGTGTATGCCACTAAATCTGAAGATAACTTCCACCATACTTCTAATTATTCTCCAGTCTAAACCGTCAAGTCCACAAGCAATCTTCGGTATCGCCAGGTTCATGATGTCCTTGGATAAAAGGGCATCCCTCAATTTATTTAAGGCATTCCATACGTCACGGTAGTTTGGCTTCTGATGGGAGAGCTGCTTCGTTACCAGATAGAAGATACTTCTATTGCCTATCTGCTCATTATTCACAATTTCAAGCACCTCTCCAACTTTGGGATTCTGCCTTCGTAGCTCGTCGATCCGTCCAAACTTGTTTTTAAAAACAACCGCTATTCCCCTGGACATCCTAAGGTCTTCCGCAACACAGTGAGCCAAGGAGTAATCGGCTGAAACCGTGAACAGATCTTGTTGTTCTTCTCGAGTGACACCAAAGCGAGCTTTTTTACCGCTCGAATATAAATACATGAAGTCTTCAAAAAGCAACTCGTCTTCCGGAGGATTAACTCGTCTTACTCTAGCATGGTTTATTTGGTCATCATTGTTTCCAGCGTAAGGAGCCAATCGGTTAAAATGGATCACTTTCGGCTTTCCTCTTGGTTGTTTTCTGATCCTGTAGATGATGTCATTTATGCGATCCATGACTTCGTATGGTCCTTCCCAAGAAGTCTGCAGCTTCGGTGAATAACCACGACGGCGCTGAGGGTTGTATAACCAAACTAGGTCTCCAGGTTGAAATCCTCCATTTTCCGCCTTGATGTCGTATGCCTCTTTCATTCTATCACTGGCACTCTGGATGTTTAAACGAACTCGGCTGTGAATGTCGCTCATTTTCCTACGTAAATTGTTGACGTAATCTTCTCCAGCAATATCATCCCCTGGTAGGCAACCAAACCTCAGGTCACAAGGTAGACGAAGTTCACGTCCCATAACAATGCTAGCGGGTGTCTGGCCGGTTGTATCGTGGATAGAAGAACGGTACGCCAACAGGAACAGATGAAGAAAGCGGTCCCAGTCTCTTTGGTGATCAGAGACTACCTTGGACAGGTACCGGTTTATCGTTCGATTCATTCGTTCTACCATTCCATCGGACTGCGGATGTAATGCAGTCGTCCTCGTCTTCCGAATGTTAAGAATCTTACAGACATTCTGGAACAATATAGATTCAAAGTTCCTGCCTTGGTCTGAATGCATCTCCATTGGCACACCAAAACGACAAATCCACTCCTTAATAAGGGCATCGGCCACTGTGGCAGCTTCCTGGTTTGGCAAGGCGTACGCTTCCGCCCACTTGCTGAAGTAGTCCATTACAACGATGATGTATTTATTTCCAGATTCTGTTTCCGGAAATGGACCCGCCACGTCGATTGCAATTCTCTCAAATGGGCTGCCCACATTGTACTGTCGCATTGGGGCTTTTGGGCGCTTCTGGGGTCCATTGCTTGCCGCGCAAACGGCGCACTTCTTGCACCATTCCTTCACATCTCGTTGGCTGTTGACCCAATAAAACCGTTCCCTAAGTCTTCCGAGCGTCCTGGTCACCCCAAGATGTCCTCCAGTAGTTCCATCATGGATTTCCTGCAGCACTTCTGGTATCTTGTTTCTGGGGATTATTATCTGCTTCCGGTCTTCTCCCCCTTCTGGCATCTCCAAAACGCGCTTTAGAAGCCCGTCACTTAGGATGATGGAATTCCATTGGGCCCAGTACGATTTCACATTCGGCGAATATTGGGCGACTTCCTGCCACGTTGGTTTACGGTGGTTCTTCTTCCAATCGATGATGAGCTTCAAATCCGGGTCCCTTTCCTGGTCTTGTTGAACCTCAGCGGATTGCCAATGATCATCTACGATTGTAGTCCTGCGAATATACACATCCTTTTCTTCGGCCCTATTTATTTTTCTAAATGAAGTCGGCGCCACCTGACTTCCTCTGCAACGACTTTGGATATGTCCCAGCTTTCCACATCTCCAACACCGGATTTCCTTCTTCTCTGGTAAATTCTCCTTAAGAACTCGCCTTATTGCTTCAATTATCCTGGGTTCTTCCTTCTTTTCTTCTTCGACTCTCCTTATTCTAGACTGGCTCCTGCAGCTCTGCTTTGCCGCCTCGAATTCCAAAGCTCGAGCCAATGCATCAACCAGTTGGCTCGGGCGAGCCAGTATTAGAGCCTGTCGTGTTTCATTGTCCCGAAGTCCATCCAAAAAGGCTTGAACCGCTAATCGTTCCATAACGGTCGTTGGAGTAGCTGGATATGCTAGCCGAACCAAGCGTGCAATATCAGCTTCAAATTCTTGCAAAGTCTCGTTAGATTTCTGGCAGCGATTCTTTAGTTGGGAATGGTACACATGTTCCAGATGTGTCTGGCCATATCGCAGTTCCAGATGTTTAACCAACGCTTCGTAATCTTCTTGTTCGTTGGGAGAGAGTGTCTGCAAGATGTCCGTTGCATCTCCGCGTAAAGCCAGAGTCAATGCTGTAGCTTTTTCTTCTGGTAGCCAGCCATTTGCTTTTGCTGCTGCCTCAAACTGACGTATGTAGTTGGTCCAAGAAGTTTTTCCATCGAACTGAGGTGGTTTCATCCGGAGTCGGCTCCCCTCCTGCACTGTTCCTGGTTCCGCCAGCATCATGGGTAGATTTACAGCTTTTAATTTACTATTTATTTCCTTTATTTTGAGTTCCAATTTATCATCCAATTCCATCCTTACATCCTCTTTTAATTCCATCCTTACATCGTCAAATTTCTGCCCCATTTTCTCTTCCAATTCATTGACATTATCTAGAATCTTCTGTTCCAAATATTCCTTTAAATTTTTAGAATTTTCCAGAATTTTCTGCTGCAGTTCGCTAGAATTTTCTAACATTTTCTGTTGTAACTCGTTAGAATTTTCTAAAATTCTCTGTTGTAATTCGTTGGAATTTTCCAGCATTTTCTGTTGCAACTCGCTTTTCAAATTTTGCAACAATAAGTGCATATCACACGAACCTTCGAATAAATACGTATCTGGATTTTCACCTTCCTGTTCCAACGCTTCTCGAAGCCGCTGCTGCAACACATTCTTTTTTCCAGTTGTTTCACATTCTCTTTCTTCTAGCTCCCGCTTAAGGTCTGCCACTTTTAAGTCCATTAACGAAACCATTTTCGCGAAGTTTCACACTAACCGCACTCCTGACACCAATTGTAACGTTTTTAACTGTTCGTAGTGTGAATTAAAAACACGCACTGGTTTATTAACGAACTAAACTATTTATTTAATAACTTAATTACACTTAAAACACTATAAAACTAACTAAACACTTAACTATTAATTATTTATATCACTACTAGTTTATTTATTTGCACGTATATTTATTTATTTCGACGCGAGTACCAAAACTGGACTGACTGCCGTGTGCTGCTCCGTTTCTTATATATTCAGCGCCAAGGTCTTCTGGAACATTCCAGCGAGCTCCACACTCTCGATTATTCGAGCGCTGAGTCACCGGCGATGACTCACCGGCAATGACTAATCGGCGATCAGTCATCACTCCGATATCCAGGGCGGTACTCGCTACAATATTCATAAAAACTAATCTACTTACTGTAAACAAAAACTAAAATAATAAATTATTAAATTGTGCATAATTTTCTAAAAACAGTTTACACACCAATTTCTGTCATTTAAAAGTGTTTAGTTTGAAGTGTCTAAAAATGGATTGTTCCGTTGGAAAATTAATTAATGAAAAATGCCATACAAAATATTTTTCGCGATTTTCCAAGATTGAATCTTGTACTAAGGAGGAAAAGGGTTTAATTGAATGGCGAGTGGATGCAAGTTGCATCATGCAACTGTAACCGATATTTGTATGTATGTATCACAAATTAAAGTATCTACATTATTTTACCAAAATTTTTTGGTGAAGTCTGCTGCGATCCATTTAAACGCCATAAGTCGTTAATTTATTCCTCTTGATAGACATTATACACATAAGAAAATTTTCCGATTCATATAACTTTTTAGAGGTAAAAAATAGTAAATAGGTATTTTTAGCTGATTGTAAAAGTTAAGAATATGATTTGTTCAGTTTAATTATCTATATGCAGTTATAACTATAGGTTTAATTTAAATTTAGGATTTTAGTCATTTAATTAATTTTTTGTACATTTAATTGTTTTCTTAATTTAAAAAATAAATAAATGGGTAGTTAATTTTTAACTCCACTCTATGTGGTTTTTATATTTTTATTCAGAATGAATTAAAAGTCAATTTAAGGCTGTCAAGTTATTTTAAAGATGTAATACGCTTTTTCCAAATATATGCTTAATATATGGATTTAGTCACAGGTGGACATAATATGTAATATTATACATCCACAGCCCAGCTAAAAAAAAAATAGACAAAAATTTTACTCATGATTATTGGAGACTAACAAGTGCCTGTGATGATAAGCATAAATTGGTTTAAATAGACTCACTCAAACATAGCCTTTTTAAACCATGAAATGGCTGAAAATAGTGATTTTTCGAAAAAATGAATTTTAAATATATTTTTTTTAACTCTAAGCCGGTATTATATAAAAATGTTTTTATTGCTTTTATATAAAGTAAGATCTATGGTAACAAAATACATTAAAATTTTTTTGCTGGCAAGTTGTTCTAATAATTTATAAAATTGGACAATTTTGACAAAAAATTGCATTTTTAAAAAATTCACAAAGACCAATACTTGAATGTGTCCTATATGGTATAAAAAAGAAATATTTTCTCAACAATTAACAGTTTGTTTAATGTTGATAGCTTTATTAGCAAAAGAAGTACAAATTTTTAAAGTTAGGTCTGCATAGTAACTTTTGCGTAGCCCTGTATAAATAGTTGATAGGGGCCCCCTATCAACTATTTATACAGAGCTGCAAGCTCTCAGAAAACTTAAATCGTTTTTTTGATTTAAATCGTTTTAATGACTTAAGTCATTTGGTAATAAGTCATTTCTCTAAAACTGACTTAAGACTTAAAATTTAAGTAATTTTCAAAATGATTTGTGACTTAAATATTTTTTTCAAAATAGAAAAAACTTAAGTCATTAATAAAAGGCTTAAATCAGTAAATACGATTTAAGTCAGAAACGATTTAAGTCAAAAAAAGATTTAAGTCTTTTTGAAAAAGATTCAAGTCTTTTTAGAAAATATTTAAGTCAGATTTTTCATATATTTTTTTAATAAATTTTTAACATCGGCATTTTCTTTTGAACTGCCAGGGGTTCACGCGGCAGCAGATCAAAAACTCCTTTAATTTCCTACCTACAATTGCTACCGCTAGTGAATAAAAAAACCGCCCCGTTAAAGTTAGCTTTTCGGAACCGTTTGACGGCTACATTAAAAAATGTCCTGTCTAAAATGAATTAAAAATTTTGTTATTTTGTTTGCCAACATTCGTCGTGTTCGTGCGTAGTTAGGTCTAATAATTTGTGATTATTAGTGCAAAGTGGAAACAATCGGTCGTGAGCGGTCGCGAGCAGTCGTACATCTTGAGCGGTCGAACCAGCTAACAAAAATTATCAAAACAACAAGTTATTAGCGAAATACAGCGATTTTAAGAAAAATGCTTCAACTTTTATCTATTTTAACAGAGTTTGAATCTATTACCGTTTAGAAGTTAACCATTTATGTATATAAAAAAGTAGCCTCCCTGTATGTCTACTCTACTAAAAAAGGTGGTTTAAGTTTTTATTTTTATTGTCTACTATATACTCAAAAAATGTGTTTAAAGTTTTTATTTTGTTTATCATCATCTGTATCTACAATAGATTAATAATATCAGTATCATTAATACCATAAAATTATTATTAACATTTAAAAAATCGTTGTATTGAGTTAAGGGTAATTATTTTGATTTAAATCACAATTTTTGATTCAAGTCATTTTATTGACTTAACTCTTAGATCACGATTTAAATAAAAAATATAGACTTAAGTCATAAAAACGACTTACTAAAGGAATTAAGTCATAAGATGACTTAAATCACTTTATATTGATTTAAGAATTTGCGAAAATGACTTGACTTGAAAGAAAATGATTTAATTCAAAGACTTAATACTTAAATCATTTGAACTTTATCTTAGAATTGACTTAAGATTTAAATCATTTTGATTTTAGAATTGACTTAGACTTAAGATTTAAGTCTTTTTAAAACTGACTTGTTGCAGGGTAATTCCATTTATTAGCCACCAATGAGTGCACCCCATATACTCTAATTTTATTTATTTTTTAATTGTAAATAGACAAGGACGCAAGAAGTGAAAAAAACTCCCCTTTTCTTTTCCCCCCTATTAGGGGGCTAATAAATGGAATTACCCTAATGTTATCAGAGAAAATTATTTATTTCTATAAAAACCAAAAACATACTTGGTTTGAGTATATTGATGTGACATGAAGACTGGAATCATAGAGATTAAAGAAAATATTTTCTTAATGAAGTCATAAAAAATTGTCTAACCCAAGAAAAGTATTTTGCTTTAAAGCCTCAATTTTTTCTTAGACAATTTAAAGTATAATCAATCTGTGCTATAATCAACACAAATAATTGTATTTATGTAAGGAATTATATACATTTATTTATATTTTTTTATGTGCAATATTGAAATAAAGTTATTATTATTAAAATAGAAATGTGGTTAAAAAACCACAACACTGCCTTGAAAAACTTACCTTTCCATCAAAGTGGGCAAATATGGCATCAACTCCTCCTCCAAATTCTCGCAGAAAGTCTCCAACGCATAAAACAACCTATCCAAACTGGGAGGATCCTTTTTCTCCGTCTCCATCTGATGTAACACTTGAGCCAAACACTCAAATAGCACAGGCAAAAGTTCCGCAGCGTATTTGCTGATCTCAGGCTACAAAAAATGCATATTAAATAAAAAAAATCGACATTAAAATACTCAACATTACTTGTAAATGCTCAGCGAATTGTCCCAAAGCGAACAGAGCTGCATTTCTCACTACGGGGTTGGGGTTGTGTATGGCCGTACACACGCATTTCAAAAAGGGTTCCAAATATTTTCTTCGGATGCTATCGGCACAACCTTCGGCTAGGATCGCCAACGACAAGTAGGCGGCCTTTTGTGCGTAGATGTCGCCACCTAAGCAAAAAATAAATGGACTTATTACGGACAAGTGGCAATTTACTTGAATTTCGAAGTTTGGATGGTTTTAGTGAAAAAATAACCCAGCATCCTTGAGTTTAAAACTAAATTCTAAAAATATATGGGACGTTAGATTAAATAAAAAACAAAAATTATAACTTTTAAAATCGACAGTTTTTAGGGGGGATATACAATACCCTATATAATATTTTGAAAAAATATTATATCAACAATAAAAATACAAAATAAAAAACTAAACTCAATAAATCCATACAAACTTGGAAATTCAAAGAAATTGGTACTGTCCAAAATAATATGGCAACCCACAGTATAAATAATTGTTTTAAAGAAACATTCGAGAAATACAAAGGAGCACAAAAAACACATACATAAACATTCACTTCAATTCAAAAATTCACTTTTCGACAGAATGGCCCCTTAACTTGACTCGTATAATAAAAAAATATGACTTAAAATCATGCTTGTTTTATATTAGACTGATAATAATTACCGTGTAAAGGTAAGAAATGTCTAATAAACAAATTAAAGTATGGAGGTAGAAAAACAACGTTATCATTGAAAATTTTGTAAAAATGTAATGTAAATTTAAACTACTGACAAATCCTTAAGGGGCCATATACATTGATCATTTTAACAAAAAATATCAAATCCTTTAAAACAAATGACCTCTTTACCCAAAAAATTAATGTAGAAATATTTGCAATTGTGAAACGGCCCCTTAAGTAATTGATCCTTTTTAATCCTTAAAATACAAAAAATTTAAAGGGAACATATTAAAAATAATGACATACAAAATGCAATCTTGCGATATTTTGACAAAAAAAATATGTTTTGCATATTAGGTAAGCTATAAATGTATAAATAAAGGGTGGGCCATGTTTATGTTGAATTATAAAATAGCAATGAGAACAAGAATAACTGATTTTTTTTCAACGAATTTTGCTTTATTTGATACAATGTTTCTTCCGATTAAGTATGGAAAATGATTTTATTTAAGTGGCCACCTCAGCTGGCTCGGCAGTAGCCCATCCTGGAACACCAATTTTCGAGCACTTTGTCAAAAGTTTGCTGCTCTATTTAGGCAATTTAAGCTTGAATGTTTTGTTTTAAATGGTGAATAGGCTTTGTTACGGCGACGTGTGAATTTTCTGTGGCCCAAATCCTACAGTTTTGCTTGTTGACATAACCTCCGAGGTAAAAATGCGCCTTATCCGAAAAGATTATTTTTCTTGCAAAATTAGGGTCATCGTTCAACTGGTTTAAAGCCCACTCAGGAAAGCGAAAACGTTGTGGATGGTCAACTTGCTTTAACTCCTGAACAAGCTGGACTTTGTACGCAAACATACCGAGGTCTTTGTGCAGAATCATCCTCAGAGTGGTACGGGAAAGGCCGAGATGTTGACATCTGCGCCGAGTTGATGTTGACGCGTTCATGCGTACATTTTCGGCCACAGCAGCGATTGCTTCAGGTGTACGTCTAGGACGAGCATGCGAAACATGTTTTATGTCCACCAGCATTCCATTTCTGCGCAATTTTTTGATCAAATTTGTAATACTTTGGTTTGACGGCGCCTCATTTCTTCCAAAAGCAATTTTTTTGCCGTCTCTGCGATCACAGTCACATTCAAAGTAAGTTTTGAGTATTTCGAAATGTTGATCCAAATTTATTCGGTGCATATTTTGTAATCGGAAGGTTAAAACTAAACCCCTGTCAACAATTCATGGCGCTTAAGTTGAAAGCTTCATTAATAGCACGTACTTAAAAATTCAACTGAAATATGGCCCACCCTTTATTTGCAATTGTAAAACGGCCCCTTAAGTTATTAATCTTTTTTATTCCTTAAAAACAAAAAGGTAAATTTAAAAATTTAAAGGGTCATAAATAAAAAAAAAGACATACAAAATGCAATGTTACGATGTTTTGACAAAAAAAATCAATTTCTGCATATTAAGACAGCTCTCATAATAAAAATATATATAGAAATCATTTTTTTAATGATTGCTTGTTTATTTTATTACAGACCAGGCGGAAAAGCACATAATATTATTAGCCGCCGTGTTTTATATACTATTTTTAGAGCATTTAATAAGAATGTGTTTAAAGATGCCGTAAAAATGTTGGTACATTTAAACTACCGACAAATCCTTAAGAGGTCATACTGATCATTTTTTTTTAAATTGTCAAATATTTCAAAATAAATGCAACTGTGAAACAGCCCCTTCAATTATTTTTTTTAATCCTTAAAATACAAAAAAAAATGTTAAGAGTACATAATTAACAAAAATTATTGAGATATTATGATAAAAAAATTAATGTTTGCATATTATGACAGAAGGGTCCCCTAAGTCAGCTATCTTAATAAAAATATAACTAAAAACCATTTGTTTTGATGTTTGCTTGTAATAACATCAAAAAAGACATTTTATATTACCATTTTATATTTAAAATCGTTGAAAAATACATAAAAATCATTAAGGGGCCGATTTACCTTGAATTGAATATATAAAAAAATACATTCTAAAAATATATGGGATAAAAACAAAAAAATTAATTTTCAAAATCGCCTTTTTTGACGGGGTACAAAAAATACCCTGTATAATACTTTGAAATAATTATTTTCGTTATTGCTGTTGGTACTGTAGAAACAAAATAAAAAACTCAAGAAGGGTCAGTTATTTTTCTCAATCCATTAAAACTTCAAAATTTGAAAAAATAAATAACTGTTTTAAAAATATCCTTAAACTATAATAAAATCACTTTAAAAATCTAAGAAGTATAAAATATAACATTCAATTCAATTCAAAAATTACATTTTTGCATATTATTAGAGAATCGCCCCTTAAGTCAGCTCTTATAATACAAATATTATTTAAAATCATGTTTGTTTGGTTTTGGGAAAATTAATTTTATACGACTTATAAGTGGTACAATTATATTTAATATCAGTAAAAATTTAAACTACTGACAAATCCTTAAGGGGTCATACTGATCATTCCAACAAAAATTGACAAATCTTGCAAATTACGCAAAAAAATTATAAATATTTGCAATTGTAAAACATCCTTAAAATGCAAAAATAAAAATTTAAAAATGTAAAGAGTACACAAACAACATACATAATGCAATTTTGCGATATTACGATAAAAGTTTTATCATAAAACATTCAATTTTTGCATATTATGGCTTTTTTAGGTAGTTCTCGTGCTGTAAGCATACCATCAGAAAATTTTAAATTTTTGTATACCTATTAAGGATATGACAATACAATTGACCGTCTATAACCCGAGATAAATTCAATTAAAAATTGGATAATTAACATGAATTGTATACGCTTTCTGTAGTTCTGTACCAGTTTCTTAGTTATAAAAAAACTAACTGTCAGAAGCTTTCAAAAAACTAACAGTCTTTTAATGTATTTTTGCTGAGTTTAAAAAAAAATAATTAAAAATTTTTGACCGTCCAATTGTTTATAAATAACCGTTAAAAGTTCAACAATTTGTAAAAAGTATACATCACTAGTGTCAGATAAGAACAACTTGGCAACGGTGTACGCGAGTATAGATATTATTTCCGCAGTAAATTCAAACAGACTGATTCAGTCTCCAATATATCTATTGGTTGAGCATAAGCGACGTTGCCGGATTAAAACTTATGAAAATATTTGAAAGTATTACGTAAAGGTAACGTCTCCAGGGTACAGTCTTGCGAATAAATTATGATTCACTTAGCTACAAGCTCGTATACTTTTACGGTGCGTATAATCTAAAATTTTTTGACAATATTGTACTACGACAACTACCTTAAGTCAGCTCTTATGATTAAAATATGACCCAAAATCATTTGTCTTAATGTAACATTACTTGACCATTTTTTAGAAATGAGAAATACATACAAATTATTAAGGGGCCATACCGACCATTTCAACAAAATGACGTATTTACCTTGAATTGCAGGTTCGACTTTGGTCAGCAAGTATGGCACAACCTTTTCTGCAGGAACATGCAAAGCGATTAAATCCAAAGTTTGAGTGGCAATAGTGATGGAAGTGAATTGATCTGGATCGCCGAGGAAATAATCTTCGTTAACCTCATTGTCAGGCTGTTGGGCCATCAGTAATATTAAAACATCGATAATTGGTTCGACCAACTTGTGTTTTTGCACCACTTTTCCCTTAGAGCGAATCAGCCAACCAACCTAGAGATACAACATTGCAAAGAGTGTTTTGTCTAGGGTTGGGAAAATTTCACTTTTTGCTTGTACTTGAAATTTCACTTGAAATTTTCATGACATTTATGAAATTTATTAAAATTTCCTAAATTTCTGAAATTTCATGAAATTTATGAAATTTACCTCCTACCCCTCTGTGGGCCCCTGCAATAATATAAATAGTAAATACCTATGTTTACCACAAACTTCTTGAGATTTCCTTTTAAAATATTTTTAAAATTACTAAAGCTAAAAGAGATATAGCACTTTTTGGTAAGCTAATGATATTGTGCTACTTTCATTGTTTTATACTTATATATATATTTATTATTTATAAATATTTTACTGAAATTTTAAGAAAATTGAAGAAACTTCATCAAAATTTTATGAGCCAAAGGCATTTTTTATCCGTTTTCCGATGCAATTATAGCAAAAGTAAAAGTTTAAATTAATCATGACTTTTAAAAAAGATTTAAAGTCTGATTTAATTTACAAATTAAATTGGTAACTGAATTAAATTATTTAAATTAATTTATGCATATAAGTAACAATAATTACTTATAGTGTATTCAAATCTAAGCCGAACTAAACAAAAACGCCCAGACGCTTGATAACTCGTTCTTATTGGTCGATTCGGAATCTGTTGTAAATTATTATTAAAGGTCCCAGGGGAGGCCGCATGTGAAATTTATGCGAAATTTTCAGTAAATTCCGAAACTTTCAATGAAAATTCTGAAACTTTCACAGGCAACGTTGTAATTTTCGGATTGAAAATTTCATTTGAAATTTTTAAAAATTTCACTTTTCCAACTAAATGAAATATTTCAAGTTTGAAACTTTCAAAGTTGAAATTTTCATTTGAAGATTTCAACTGTCCCAACCCTAGTTTTGTCCCTATTTAAGAAGTCTTACCACACTGATAGCTTTGATTTGCACGCTAGTGTCCAAATTCTTGTCCCGCCCAATTTGCAGGCAAAGCTCAATGACCAATCGGATGTGCGGCACCACGACCGACACTGCGTATTCGATTAGTTCCTCCAACACTTCCAAGAGGTCGCATGTTTTTTTTTCGTCCTTGCGCGAGAAAGCGTTGATTATTTCGAGGATGCGTTGGAGCAGTTGGTGGTACACGTTTATCAGCTGATAAAAAGCAAAATAACAAAAATGTGGAAATTACATAATGTGTTTATGAGATAAAAAAATAAATGTAGAAAATCTACCAATAAAAAACTAACCAGAAAAAATATTATATTTAAAATACTACAACTTTTAACGCTCGAAAATTAATGCTGAAATTTAGGGGTGACGTTCATAATATCGAAATTCACTTTATCGAATTCAAAATATCGAACACTTTTTATCGAAAATCAAAATATCGAAAATACAAAATTTCGAAAATCAAAATATCGAAAATTAAAATGTCGAAAATGATAATATCGAAATTTTATTTAATCGAATTTTCAATTTATCGAAAATAAAATATCGACGTTCATAATATCGAAATTCACTTTATCGAATTCAAAATATCGAACACTTTTTATCGAAAATCAAAATATCGAAAATACAAAATGTCGAAAATTAAAATGTCGAAAATACAAAATGTCGAAATATTTTCTTATTTTGAATTTGATATTTTGTTTAAATATTTCAATTAATCGACATATTATTTTAATCCGAAGTGTATACTGTCCGTTCAGGCTAAGTTGAGCGGTCTTAGGAATGTCATCCCGTCCATCATCTCTATGTTTAGGCACAATTAAATACATGTATTTCGGTAGCCGCTCTGTACCAACAAACCGCAAGCCCCGGCACTAATAAATCATATTATTGGTACCGAAATCTTGCGAGGATTCGAAATTTAATTTAATCAACGGTCACATGATCCCCCACCAAAGCGCTCAACTTAGCCTGAACGGACTGTATGTACAGAGGCGCCTCTGATATAGAAATGTACTCAAACTCAACAACACAACCCAACCGACCCCGCCCCATTGGCCCCCCCCCCGCCCCATTGAGCAAAAAACCCAACTAAAATGGGCTAATTTATGTAATTAAAAAGTGTTTTATTTTTATCGTAACATGAATTTGCCCATTTTAGTTGGGTTTTTTGCTGAATGGGGCGGGGGGGGGGGCCAATGGGGCGGGGTCGGTTGGGTTGTGTTGTTGAGTTTGAGTACATTTCTATAAAACGCGCATCTCTAGGAGCCAAGGAGCCAAGATAATTCGGTGCATAACCGTAACTTTATCTACAGAGGCGCCTCTGTACATATACACTTCGATTTTAATCATACATTTTAATTTTCGATATTTTTAAATCGATATTTTAATTTTCGAAATTTTAATTATTCGACATTTTCAAATCGACATTTTAATTTTCGATATTATCATTTTCGACATTTTAATTTTCGAAATTTTAATTATTCGACATTTTCAAATCGACATTTTAATTTTCGATATTATCATTTTCGACATTTTAATTTTCGATATTTTGATTTTCGACATTTTGTATTTTCGATATTTTGATTTTCGATAAAAAGTGTTCGATATTTTGAATTCGATATAATGAATTTCGATATTGTGAACGTCACCCGAAATTTAGCATCAAAACTTTTTGACACTGTAACCGAGCGTCAACGGTAGGGTTTTAAAGAGTCGAAAAAAAAACCGGAAAAATTGGGGAAAAAACTGTTTTTTTTTTCAAATTGGCTTTTTTGGGAAATTTTTTTTTTTTTTGAAAATATACACGTTTGAAAAAAAGTAGCAATCAACAACTTAACATTATTTTAAATAAAAAAAAACCTTTATTACAAAAAAATATAAAACTAAACATTACATTAAATTTAAGAAATTAAACGTAAACGTGAAATATCCTGTATACAAAATAATGAATGATTTATAAAGTTAAATTACAAAATTATAATTTTATAAATCGAAGTTTTAAATAAAAGTTATGTTAATATAGCACCGAATAGGTTTTTTGCGGCCCGGTAGAATATTTATACTGAATTGAAGTAAAAGGAATAATTATTATAATCATAATATTATATCAGCGTCAGAAATTCAGTTTTTTCTCGATATCAGTGTACCTACGGATACTATCTGTAAAAAATTGGAAATTTTGAAAAAAATTTGCTTCTGCATGTTTTCGTATTACACTTTGAATAAAATGTAAAAAATTAAAAAGTCAATAATTCCGGAAATTTTAAAAACCCAGTCTACAGTCGGCGACTGTCAGTTTGACATACATACACAAACATTACCAAGCTTATGCTTTACCGCAAAAGCAAATATTTTTAAATTTAAATAAATTCTACATTAATCTACATAATTAATATTGGTATATATTTTACATTTCCACCAATTAAAAAAAACCTAAATTTTATCATAATTGTTTGACTGTCATATCAACAGCATCAAAGCAAGAAAGCTAAAATAGTTTATTTTTTATTTGGAATTTGACAACGTCAAAAATTTGGGGGTTTAGTTGGCAAATTCTAGGGACCCTAAATTTATAATTGGCTAAATTAAGTAAAACTTAATTATTTACTGGATGTATGCAGTACAAATTAATTATTTCATCAATGCTGTTTTGTTTTTAATATTTCTTTTCTTTTACAATTTTCTGTTATTATAATTCTAACATTTAAATCAACAGGTCAAAGTAAAATTACAGCATGGAACAGGATTACCAATTTTAAATAATAAAACTACCAAAGTATATTAATATATGTACTATTGCGGCCGATAAAAAATAATCGACTAATTTTTCCGTTGTAAATATGGTTGTCACCAGTGGCATTTCAAAAATAATTTTATGCACGATGACATTATAATATGACAATTATAACAAAAATTCTTTGACGTAAACGTCTTTTTATAGCCCGCGGGCGTTATTATGGCCCAGCGGGCTATAATGAAACGTCAAAAATTAAAAACAACAATGTTACACCATTTGATATATTCGAAGTAAGTTTTTTCGTATAAAGATTTTGATTTTACCGGCAGCAGGCCGCAATTTTTCGCCTTTTCAGCTGCTTCCTCAATTTCATTTATCTTTAAACTTTAAAACTGACTGATGTCAGTTGACATTATAATATGACAAGTATAACAAAAATTCTTTGACGTAAACGTCTTTAAAAACAATAATATAGGTATTAAAAATAATAATATATTAATCGTGCATAAAGTTTTGTATGCATTGCTGGCATAACTGGTTTTTATGGTCCTACGACGCTTTTCTAGCCCTCGCGCTAACGCGCTCGGGCTCGAAATAGCGCCTCGGACCATAAAAACCTTATTATGCCCTTAATACATAATAGTTATTTATGTATTAAGGGCATAATAAGGTTTTTATGGTCCGAGGCGCTATTTCGAGCCCGAGCGCGTTAGCGCGAGGGCTAGAAAAGCGTCGTAGGACCATAAAAACCAGTTATGCCAGCAATGCATACAAAACTTTATGCACGATTAATTTATTATTATTTTTAATATATTATTGTTTTTAAAGACGTTTACGTCAAAGAATTTTTGTTATAATTGTCATATTATAAGGTCAACTGACATCAGTCAGTTTTAAAGTTTAAAGATAAATGAAATTAAGGAAGCAGCTGAAAAGGCGAAAAATTGCGGCCTGCTGCCGGTAAAATCAAAATCTTTATACGAAAAAACTTACTTAGAATATATCAAATGGTGTAACATTGTTGTTTTTAATTTTTGACGCTTCATTATAGCCCGCTGGGCCATAATAACGCCCGCGGGCTATAAAAAGACGTTTACGTCAAAGAATTTTTGTTATAATTGTCATATTATAATGTCATCGTGCATAAATAACTATTATAAAATTAAGTAACGTCATCTTAAATTAAGTAAAGTCATTATTTAATTATGACTTACCATACTTTAAGTGAAGCAGAGAAAGGCTATATTATCGCCAAAATTGGAGGATGGTCTCAACAACAAATAGCAGATGAAATAAACTGCAGCAAAAGCGCTATTCAAAAATTAAACAAAAAGTGGGTGGAAACTGGTGACCTGAGTAGGGTAATGGGTTCTGGGCGTCCAAGAAAGACAACTCCAGTAAACGACAATGAGTTGGTTGAATATGTGAGGCAAAACCCATATAAGCCAAAGAGGAAATCAACTTCCCAGCATCTGTTAGGACGGCAAGAAAACGGTTGCGAGAACAAGGTTTATTTAACTGCGTGAGTGCTAAAAAGCCTCGCTTGACGGATGTTAAAGAGGCAAAAGTGGAGTTTGCAAATAATTTTTTAAATCGAAATGCTGACTATTGGGAGCGAGTAGTCTTTTCAGATGAAAAAATATTTCAATTCTGCTACAATGGGCAACTGCGAGTTTATCGTCCCAGAAACCATAAGTTTGATGAAGAATACCTCCACAAAACTGACAACAGCGGAAGATTTTCTGTCCACGTGTGGGCGTGGATATCATCTTCAGGGGCTGGTATAATTCATATTGTAGAAGGCCGATTAACTGGGAACCGATACATGGAAATTTTAAACGATGTAGTGCAAGAAAGATTTGATAATGATTTTGTGTTTCAACACGTAACACTTTATGATTTATCTTTCCTGATCAAAAAAATATTTTTTTTTCATTTTAAGGATAACTCGCCAGTTCACACTCCTCATGTGGTTCATAATATGGCTAGAAGAAAATCACATTACAACGCTTCCTTGGCCGTCAAGAAGCCCCGATTTAAACCCAATCGAAAATATTTGGGGTTATCTCGTAAAAAAATATATAAATATGAATTTGGACCAAGAAATAGAGAAGACCTTATTAATGCAATTCAAAATGAGTGGAACAATTTGGAAGAAAATTACGATATTCAAAATTTAATTAGTTTCATTCCTAGGAGATTACAAAATGTTATAGAGAAGAATGGTGGTTCTACCAAGTATTAATTATTTTTTTTAAATGGAGTTTATATAGCATTACAAATGTGTAAGATTATGTAAGATAATGCCAGAGGAGGGGCTGAATGAAAAAATTGCCAGGGCCGGTTTTTCTGAGCACATCCAACCCTGGTTGGCTCATCTTTTATAATTGTTATAGTCGTCGAATACTATTTCTTTTTAAGTTTAAATTTATTTATTTTGGTCGCCCAATAAATAATTTGTTCTTTTTGTTTGTATTACGAATAAACATGCTTTATATAATTTAAGTTTTTTTATTAAAAAATTAAAAATAAATAATAATAAATAAATAATTTGTTTTTTTGTTTGTATTACGAATAAATATGCTTTATATAATTTAATTTTTTTTTATTAAAAAATTAAATGTCATACACCTATGATTTCTTGTCAAAATAATTTAATTGACATGACTGACGTAAAAAACCCTACTTACAATAGCCAATTTTTAAGAAAAATATGCAACTTGATAAAGAATCGATTACTTTTTATCGGCCGCAATAGTACCTACAGGACCAACATAATCAAATGTCACATTTGAAATGTGTCAAATTCCAAATAAAAAAACAAACTTTAGGTTTTTTTTACACTGAAAGTCGTCACTGTTTTGACTCTAAAAATTTAGCAATTTAGATAAAAAATATACACTTTTTTTATATAGGAAAGGTTTGTTTTTGTGAGTTTAATTTTAAAAAAAATCGTTTTTTTGTCAAAACGTCAAAAATTTGAGTTTAGTTGGCAAATTCTAGGGAGCCTAAATTTATAATTAAGTAAAACAAAATTATTTAGTGGATTTATGCAAATTTATTATTTCATTAATGCTGTTTTGTTTTTAAATTTTCTTTTGGTTTACAATTTTCTGTTACATTTGGCATTGTTAATTATAATTTAAATAAAAATGTCAAAGTAAAATTATGGCATTGAAAGTACCAATTTTAAATATTGAAAATATGTATATTAATATTGGTACAGTACGGACATAATCAAAGGTGTTAAATTTTGAATAAAAAAGCAAACTTTAGTTTTATTTTTTTTATTTTGACGGTGACTTTTACTGTTTTGACGCTAAAAAAATTGCGTCAACATGAAACTGCACCTTTAAAATAGGAATTCTGGTATTCTATTTTTCAAACATAATATTAATGTGCAATTTAGATAAAAAATATACTTTTTTATAAAAAAGGATAATTTTAATAAGTTTAATTTAAAAAAAATGTTTTTTTTGTCCTTAATTTATATATATTTTTTTTAATTCTAAAAATTACTTTTGTTTAAATAAACACTTTGTTTTACAAAAAAGTGTTTTATTTATATTTTTGGACAAATATTACTTAAAATCATTAAATAAATATTAAAACAAAAGCAATTAAAAAATAGCTAGGTACAAATTTAGACATTAAATTCTCTCACATACACACAAACACAGGATGTGAGTCACATCATCAAATTAAATCACCATTTGTTTAAAAACAAAAATTCTTAAAATGTTACTCACCGCCTGGTTCCCACTAATAATTGGAACAAAATTCTTCATAGTTTCTACTGTATAATAGGCTAAATTTGAATCTAATTCCGTCAAGTTACCTAGAATATTGGTAAAGAGCAATGCAAATGAATCTGCATGCACCAAATAGGATCCATGAGATATTTCAGTCATAATTGAGAGGGTGTACATTCCAAGCTAAAATTTACATACCTAGTAGGTAGTTTTAATTTTATTTCATATAAATATTACTTCTTTATCAATGGGGTTGTCACTAGAGCAAAGAGTGTGCACAAATTGTAAAACTTCAGGCCAAGAGTTATCAGGAAACTCATGTTTCCCTAAAACTCCAATAAACTGTGCAATGGAGTTTTTCACCAACTTCTCCTGCTCGTTTACTAAAGCTTGCAACATCCCTTGTTTGATCCTTTAAAATATCGACACATTAACGCTAATTACCTCAAAAAATCACCTATTTACCTCTGTCTTATGTCTGCGTTCAACTTGGTCCACAATCTTTTCTTTCCCAATTTTCTGCGAAGCAAAACAGCTGCAGACTGTCTAATTTGTGGGTTCTGTGAGGTGACAACGACATCGCAAAGCGCGGGAATCGCCTCCGGTTTCTTGAAAGCCTCCTTTAACTCTTTGGTGCCCTAAAATATCCCAAATTCTTTAAAACCCATATGTGCACGTGTATTTGAGGTTAGGTTGGTTAAAAACGTTAATTCTACACACCTCCTGTATAACTTTGCTGTCCGACACCAGTAATTTTAATAAAATTGCCTCCATTGTTGAGATTTTACCTTTTAAGGCTAATTAAATAGGAAATTAAAGGAAAACCGGCGCTATCAATCTATGGGTGCTATTCACACTTATGGCACAGAACATAAGACTTATGGGATGTGTCACATAGATGGCAGCACCGAATTTCACAAAAATTTTACAAAAGTCCGAATTTAATTGAAATATTGAATAATAATTAACTTAAAAACAACTTTTAATCCCAAACTGTTGTTTTAGGTAATTATAATAGTTTAATTCTCGAAATTATTAGTTTTGGTTTTGGGCAGTTGGCAGAGACGTTGCCTCTGCAGTTGGCTGCACTTTCAGAATTGGCGGCCGCTGCATGACAGCGGTACGTTACTAACCTCACTTTTAGAAATTTGTTGTTTTTCTTTCAAATGCGAGTTAACTAAACAGCAACAAAATGGGAGAAGGTATTTATATCAATCACTTAACAAATTACATTATTTTAATTGTGTACATTTTCAGTACTTTTAACAAAATCGGAAGATTTGTGGAATCCATACAAAGATTTAAAAGGCATTGTTTGGAAACATTTAAACGAAATTGGGGATGATTTACCACATTTAGAGCTAGAAAACACGCTGAGGAAACACAAGCAGAGCTTTTTCTCGCTGCTGGAAAACCCTGTAACTACAAATATGCGATTTTGTGTAACTTAACATAACCTAACATTTTATTTTAAGGCCAAAAATGCTAAAAGTCGCGAAGAATTAAAAAAGGGAATGGTGGATGGCATTACAGTGAAAGGAATAGGCCACCAAATTCTTTCAAAAGAGTTATATCAGGAGGCAATAATTCTCTCAGATATGTTCAATATAAACGAATTTGTCGCGTTAGATTTACTATGCACCGCGCAAATACAAATGCCGTATTATCCCTCATTACCCAGAGGCCTTGTTGCTGTTTTATTGTATTATGACGGTCGTAAGGCTTTAGTGTCTACTTTGTTATATTTGGTTCAGGCTAGAAGTGGTGTGCAATGGTCGGCTAAAGTAAAACCAGACTTGGAGCGCTTCATCACTGACTACACTGATCAATTGATGGAGGGGGGGCTGTTTAACAGAATCTTTGATTTGTTGAAATCTTTGGATTTGAGTAGGGAAATCGATTTGCTGCAGCAAAATTTGGCGCTTGGTGGGCCAAAACACAGGCGTCAAGTCACAGATTTGTTTTTGGATATCAGAAACACACTGGCTGATGTGGTGTTTTCCTGGTCGGCACAATCTGGTTTGCCTAAAGATGCCACTGTCGCTCTTGTTAACCACTTAAGGGATGCTAAAATAGAACAGGTAATGTTGATAGTTTATTTTAAACGTTTTTGTCATTTTTATTATCATTATAGGAAGCTTCAGGCAAAATTGACGATGTGAACTTATACCTCTTAATGGCCCTTTTATATGCCCTTGACTTGAGCATATTGCACACAAGAGAAGATGGGGAAGAAGCAGTGCAAAGCTTACCCATTTTGTCTGATCAAAACTACATTTCAGCTGTTATAAATGAGTTTACCAACAAGCCCAGATGGGCTAACGAGGGCCTGGAGAGTGTGTCAACCTTCTGCCTGTCAGTTTGCTTGGCCTCATTGAAAGTTGTCCCGAACAACTTTGTCTTTCAAGATGCCATCAATAGAGAGGAGTCTTTTGTTGATTTGGCCATTGAGATGAATTGTTTTGAGTTTATGTATAATAATTTGTTGGAGTGTGATACGTTGTATAAAGAACCGTTTTTGTACAAGAGGATGCATAATTTGATGTCAGATTTTATTGTCTATATGTACTCAAAGATTAAGGAACTGAGGCTGAAGGCCGACGAAATTGCTAGAACTATGCAGGTGAGTCTGATTTTAATTGCTTTGGCTTAAAAATACTACTTTATTTTACAATGTTACACACAATTTAGACTTAAAACATTTTGAAATGTTAAAACTCATTTTATAATGTTAAAAGCACATTTTACAATCTTTAAGCTAATTTAATAATAAAAATCACATTTAAGAATGCCAAAAACACAATTTATATAACCAAAAATTTAAAAAAGCTTTTTTAAAATTTTAACAGCCACATTTAAGAATGGTGAAAGCACATTTAAAAATGCAAAAAAAAATTAAGAATAACAAAAACACCTTTAGAAATGGCAAACCAGTTTAGAGTAACAACAATTTCAAAATAAAACCTCATTTTAGAATGGTAAAAGCACATTTTTAAATGTCAAAACAAACTTAAGAACAACAAAAACACAATTTAGAATGTCACACATAGTTTAAAATATCAACAATGTCAAAAATCCTTTCTAAAATTTTAAAACCCTATTTAAGGATGGTGAAGGGGCATTTTAGAAGGTCAAAATAAATTTAGATTTTTCGACTCCCCCCCTCCCCTTGGTGAGATGACGTGAGATTTTGCTCGTCCCCCTCCCCCCTGCCTTCTCACGTGAGATATTCTAAAATGCATGGTTTTAATGTAAATAAGTTAATCTGTGATTGATTCCATTAGATTTATTAAAAAAACAATTTTTATAATTTTTTACTTAATTTAACCCAGTTTTCTCGCAATTTTACACTCTTTTATTTGAAAAGAAAAAATTACGTGATATTTGCCGAGACCACCCTCCCCCCACGTGAGATTGGGTGAGGTTTGGCTCGACCCTCTCCCTCCCCTAAACACCTCATGTAATTAATGGATGCCCCCTTAAGAATAACAAAACACATTTAAAAATGTCAAAAACACAACATAGAATGTTAAACACATAATATCAACAATGTCAAAAATCCTTTTTCAAATTTTAATAACCCCATTTTAGAATGGTAAAAATACATTTTATAATGTCAAAATAAATTTAAGAATAACAAAAACACCTTTAGAAATTTCAAACACAGTTTAGAATATCAACAATCTCAAAAATCATTTTTAAAATTTTAAAACCCTATTTAAGAATGGTGAAAGTACATTTTAGAATGTTAAAACAAATTTAAGAATAACAAAAACACAATTTAGAATGTCAAACACAATGTCAAAAATCCTTTTTAGAATTTTAAAACTCCAGTTTAGAATTTAAACAATGTAAAAAAAGTTTTTAAAATGTTAAAACCTAATTTTAGAATGGTAAAAGCACATTTTAGAATATCAAAAAAACAATTTAGAATGAAAAAACACGATTTAAAGTATCAACAATGTCAAAAATCCTTCTTACAATTTTAAAACCCCAGTTTTAGAATATTCAAGAATAAAACAAACATGGTTTAGAATATCAACAATGTCAAAAATCATTTTTAAAATGTTAAAACAAAATTAAGAATGACAAAAACACCTATAAGAATGTCAAACACAAATTAGGAAGTCAAACACGGTTTAGAATATCAACAATGTAAAAAATCCTTTAAAATGTTAAAACCCAATTTTAGATGATAAAAGCACATTTTAGAATGTCAAAAACACAATTTAAAATGTCAAACACGGTTTAAAATATGTCAAAAATTCTTTTTAAAATTTTAAAACCCCATTTTAGAATGGTAAGCATATTTTAGAATGTCAAAACAAATTTAAAAATAACAAAAAACATTAAAGAAAGAAAAATAACAAAAAACACAATTTAGAATATAAAATAGGGTTTAGAATTTCAACAATGTTAAAAATCCTTTCTAAAATTTTAAAACCCCATCATAGAATGGTAAAGGCATATTTTAGAATGTCAAAACAAATTTAATAATAACAAAAACACATTTAAGAATGTCAAAAACACAATTTAGAATGTCAAACAGTTTATAATATCAACAATGTCAAAAATCCTTTTTAAAATTTTAAAACCCCATTTAAGAATGACGAAAACAAAATTTGTAATATTTGTATTTCTAAAACTAAACGACACATAATTTTGAAATAAGTTTATATTTTGAATAACTTATCAAACATTCAGCCTATTTCGTCGACAACACGTTTCACTTGACAACAACCTTAAAACCAAGTTTTAGAATGGTGAAACCACATTTTAAAATGTCAAAACACATTTAAATGCAAAAAACACATTTTAAAATGTCACATACCTATAAAAAATATATACAGGGTGTTATGTAATTAATGTTATATATTAAAATACTGAATACCTTTTGACATAAGGAATAAAGGAAAAATATTTGAAAAAATATTTTTCCAAAGATAAAGAAAAAATATGCATTAGAAGTTTTTTATATTTTTTGTGATACGCCACTGGTTACACACTTAGTTTATCTCTGCACACTTGTATTCTGTGAGTACATAGATACCAACCAACAAAGTAGCTACGCGTTGCCAGATGTAAAAAATTGTTACTAAAATTTTTTCTTGCAAAAAATAAATAAAAACTCAATAAATACAAAAGTTTTATGCCCTTAAAGAACTAATACCCTTCTGTATTTATTTACTCATTCAGCTATTAGCTTAAGCAATGATTAGAAAATTTAGTACCTATTTTAAAAAATCCATAACCACAAAATAAATTTTTTCATCAGTTTTTTCTTTCTGTTTACTCAGATGAAATTGGGACCAGTTCACAGGTTAAACTTTAAACATTTAATTTGTGTAAATAAATCCAAAAGCACTTCCCTTAGTTAAGATATTTACAATTTGACCACATAACCTAAAATTTGAAAGAAATGCACTAGATTCTGTCATAAAAGTTGGCAAATTTTGTTTGAATTTACCTTCAGTACAAAAACACAACATAGAATGTTAAACACATAATATCAACAATGTCAAAAATCCTTTTTCAAATTTTAATAACCCCATTTTAGAATGGTAAAAATACATTTTATAATGTCAAAATAAATTTAAGAATAACAAAAACACCTTTAGAAATTTCAAACACAGTTTAGAATATCAACAATCTCAAAAATCATTTTTAAAATTTTAAAACCCTATTTAAGAATGGTGAAAGTACATTTTAGAATGTTAAAACAAATTTAAGAATAACAAAAACACAATTTAGAATGTCAAACACAATGTCAAAAATCCTTTTTAGAATTTTAAAACTCCAGTTTAGAATTTAAACAATGTAAAAAAAGTTTTTAAAATGTTAAAACCTAATTTTAGAATGGTAAAAGCACATTTTAGAATATCAAAAAAACAATTTAGAATGAAAAAACACGATTTAAAGTATCAACAATGTCAAAAATCCTTCTTACAATTTTAAAACCCCAGTTTTAGAATATTCAAGAATAAAACAAACATGGTTTAGAATATCAACAATGTCAAAAATCATTTTTAAAATGTTAAAACAAAATTAAGAATGACAAAAACACCTATAAGAATGTCAAACACAAATTAGGAAGTCAAACACGGTTTAGAATATCAACAATGTAAAAAATCCTTTAAAATGTTAAAACCCAATTTTAGATGATAAAAGCACATTTTAGAATGTCAAAAACACAATTTAAAATGTCAAACACGGTTTAAAATATGTCAAAAATTCTTTTTAAAATTTTAAAACCCCATTTTAGAATGGTAAGCATATTTTAGAATGTCAAAACAAATTTAAAAATAACAAAAAACATTAAAGAAAGAAAAATAACAAAAAACACAATTTAGAATATAAAATAGGGTTTAGAATTTCAACAATGTTAAAAATCCTTTCTAAAATTTTAAAACCCCATCATAGAATGGTAAAGGCATATTTTAGAATGTCAAAACAAATTTAATAATAACAAAAACACATTTAAGAATGTCAAAAACACAATTTAGAATGTCAAACAGTTTATAATATCAACAATGTCAAAAATCCTTTTTAAAATTTTAAAACCCCATTTAAGAATGACGAAAACAAAATTTGTAATATTTGTATTTCTAAAACTAAACGACACATAATTTTGAAATAAGTTTATATTTTGAATAACTTATCAAACATTCAGCCTATTTCGTCGACAACACGTTTCACTTGACAACAACCTTAAAACCAAGTTTTAGAATGGTGAAACCACATTTTAAAATGTCAAAACACATTTAAATGCAAAAAACACATTTTAAAATGTCACATACCTATAAAAAATATATACAGGGTGTTATGTAATTAATGTTATATATTAAAATACTGAATACCTTTTGACATAAGGAATAAAGGAAAAATATTTGAAAAAATATTTTTCCAAAGATAAAGAAAAAATATGCATTAGAAGTTTTTTATATTTTTTGTGATACGCCACTGGTTACACACTTAGTTTATCTCTGCACACTTGTATTCTGTGAGTACATAGATACCAACCAACAAAGTAGCTACGCGTTGCCAGATGTAAAAAATTGTTACTAAAAATTTTTCTTGCAAAAAATAAATAAAAACTCAATAAATACAAAAGTTTTATGCCCTTAAAGAACTAATACCCTTCTGTATTTATTTACTCATTCAGCTATTAGCTTAAGCAATGATTAGAAAATTTAGTACCTATTTTAAAAAATCCATAACCACAAAATAAATTTTTTCATCAGTTTTTTCTTTCTGTTTACTCAGATGAAATTGGGACCAGTTCACAGGTTAAACTTTAAACATTTAATTTGTGTAAATAAATCCAAAAGCACTTCCCTTAGTTAAGATATTTACAATTTGACCACATAACCTAAAATTTGAAAGAAATGCACTAGATTCTGTCATAAAAGTTGGCAAATTTTGTTTGAATTTACCTTCAGTACAAAATTGACATAACCAACAATTAATAAAAACGCCAAATTGACAATTTGCATTGTTAATTTTGTCATTTTTGTAATTAAGCTAAATTTAATCAATGTTTGTCAACTTCTTTGACAGATTTTGGAAACACTGTTGTTACCAACCATAACATAATAAATTAAATTAGGCAACCAGAATAGCCTAAAGTTGCTAGTCGATCAGTGGCGTACTTTTTGATAGGATAAAGGTTATTATAAATTATTTTTAAGACTTTGGAATTTAGAAAAAAAAGTTTCAGGTGCTTCTTTATGGACCCTAAGGAACAACCCATTTTAATCTGTGATTTTAATATATAACATTAATTACATAACACCCTATATGCTCTTAGGCATGATATAAATAAGAGAGACATGGGAGAGTAAGGGATTAGCGCTCTCTATCTCATGTCCACCACTTACCTCCATTTGGCATTTGTAGTTAGTTATAGTCATGGAGCCTACACAAGGAGTACAAACTCAATAAGGGGAATTGACGAACGTGCCTACTTAATCGCACAAATTACGTGTTTTTTTCACCTCTAGTGGCACTTATTTCCATGTTGTACGTCTGCTTATGCACTGTTTTAGTACAATCCAAACCACAAACAGAACACCAGCGCCCTCTTATTTTGAGAAGTCATTTGTAAACATAGAGTTCGCACTTCTTGTGTACCCTGATAGCAAAATTTGATTCTAAGAATCTTCTAAGAAGATATGATCCGGAATAATGGAATATTCTTAGAACCTTCCCTTATTGCTAAGAATGTTGTTAGGGACTTTTAAAACATTCAATAGATACCCTTTTAATGATGCAATTAGATTCTTAGAAGCTTCTTAAAACCTTCCTAAAAAGCATTCTAGGAACATTTTAAGAATACGTTTTTGGAATGTTCTTAGAAGGTTTCTTATGGAGCTTCTAGGAAGCTTTGAGAATATTTCCAAATATGTCAGTTACCCACGTTCTAATATGTTGGATTCTACATTCGTAAAATTCTTCAGGAGGCGACAAATACGCCTCACTGTCATAATATGACAGTGAAATGTATTTGTCGTCCCCTTAAAAAATTTTGCGACACATTAATATATATTTATTTAAAAATATTAAATAAACAATTTGACCTCTAAACCATAAGTTGTATGACATTATTTCATAAAAAGTAAAATTGGAAAATTTTGTGGGATAAGTCAGATTAGATTGAAGTTGAAGATAGTTAGGATTATTATACATAAAAATGTTAATTTAGAAATAAAAAATCGGTATACAAATTAATAAATATTTATTTTTAACATAAAATAAAATATAAAAAAACAAAATATTTCCTTATAAAATAATTCTTCATAAAAGAAAAAAACAAATAGTTCTTCATAAAAAAACATTTTTCATTGTATTTAAGTTGGATAGAAGATTTTATGTAAAAGCCGGGGATAATTTAGATACCTATAGTAAAAGTATTTTTGTTATCGAATATTGTTCTAATTTGACAAATAACTATAAAAGAATATTTTGGGTTTTGTTTTTTACTTAGTATTTAATACTAAGTATAGGTACCTTTATACGTAGATTATGGTATATTTTACTATTAAGAACCTGCCTATAGGCCAGTGAGAATATTCTTAGGATTACGCTATATTTCTTTTAAGCATGTTCTTTAGAAGAAATATAGCATGATCCTAAGAATATTCTCACTGGAAGATTTAAAAAACATTCTAAGAACATGACTAGAAGAAATATAGCATGATCCTAAGAATATTCTTACTGGAAGGTTTAAAAAACATTCTTAGAACATGACTAGAAGAAATATAGCATGATCCTAAGAATATTCCCACTGGAAGGTTTAAAAAACATTCTTAGAATAAACTGTGCTATCAGGGTAGGCTCCAAGGTTGAAACCAAAGATATTATCTGGGAAAAAGTGGGAAGAGCAAATTACAGGGCTCCCACACCTCCTAAAATTCCTAAAATTTGGCTTAAATCTTAAAAACTCCTAAAATTCTCCTAAAATTGCCATCAATCTCCTAAACTCCTAAAAATTAAATATAATTAGGCCAACTTGACTGCGTTTAATTAAGGTAGTTGTGCTAAAAAATTTCTTTTTTAAAAAGTAATTTAAAAAATATATATTTTGGGTTCTAGTTTAAATAATTCTTTTTAAAATGATATAGGTATCACAACCTACATTTTTCTTAAAAAACAACAAAATATACCATAAAACAAAATCCATGTAGTAGCTTCTAGACTTCTACAAAATTGTCATTTTTAGCCATATTTCGTTAATTTTCGACAAAAATATACCGTGTTATACATCAAACAAAAGGATTTTTAATTTTCTTTTAAATGATAGCTAAAATAGTAAACAATCTAAAGAATGTTTTGCTGTATCATGCACTTTATATTTTTTCTATTATGAGATTTTTTAGTAACAATAACATTACAATTATTGTTAGTTATTAACTAAACTGTTAATTTTTTTTTTTAAATATAAATATAACATCATTAAACTTTGGCCTACTTTTTTAGCCATATCTATCGACGCTTTTTTAAATAAAATTAAAAGTGTGGTGAAATTTCTACTTGTAGATGGGTCAGAATTTCTCAAACGGGCCACCTGAATTAGGTCAAAATTAGTTTTTGATTGTAGATACATTTTTTCGATAGTATTTTACATCACTAACACAAATCCTAAAGGATTTTGTAAAAAAAAAAATTTTCAATTGACATATTCATGATATTAAAAGTAAAAGTTTTTAGTAATTAAAAAATAAAAAAAAATCATTATGGCTAAACTAATTATCCGATTCCAACGATTTAACTAGCATTGGAATCTTTTTTTGACATAGATTCTTTGTTATTTTTTTCAATTGTACAATTTTCATTTAGGTCGATTTTTTTTTGTTTTTTTTATAACAAATTCGGAAATAATTGGCTTCTGCGCCAGCTATCGACTCGAAAAAAAAAACACATATACTCCAATCATTTTTCGAAATTATGCTGCTGAGAAAAAAAATGGCCCGCAGGTTCCAGACCACCGTAAGACGTCGCGTCACAAGCGCGTACAGCGTACACGGTTCGGAGCGTGAGCTGACACCGCGCGCGGCCACAAAAGGACGAATAACTTTTTGTCAACCTGCGGGCCATTTTTTTTCTCAGCAGCATAATTTCGAGAAATGATTGGAGTATATGTGTTTTTTTTCTCGAGTCGATAGCTGGCGCAGAAGGCAATTATTTCCGAATTTGGTATAAAAAAACAAAAAAAAATCGACCTAAATGAAAATAGGACAATTGAAAAAAATAACAAAGAATCTATGTCAAAACAAGATTCCAACGCTAGTTATATCGTTGGAATCGGATAATTAGTTCAGCCATAATGAATTTTTTTATTTTTTAATTATTAAAAACTTTGACTTTTAATATCATGAATATGTCAATTGAAAATTTTTTTTTTACAAAATCCTTTAGGATTTGTGTTAGTGATGTAAAATACTATCAAAAAAATGTATCTACAAACAAAAACTAATTTTGACCTAATTCAGGTGGCCCGTTTGAGAAATTCTGACCCAGATATATACAAAAGTAGTAATTTTACCTCACTTTTCATTTTATTAAAAAAACTCCTCGAGCGATTTAGCTAAAAAACTAGTCAATATAACCTATTTGTACAAAAGAAGTGATATTTATTTATATTTTTGTTAAGTTTAGAGTTGTTTTTATTTAATTAAATAAATTCATTTGCATACTTTTTTCTCTTAAAACTCACCAAAAAACCTAAATTCCTAAATAAAGTTTGTAATTTAACCGTGGGAGCCCTGAAATTATTTATAAGTTGCACATAGGTTTACAGCAGAGAAGGAGTGAACGCCCCGCCAAACCTGCCAAAATACTTCGACTACCTGCTGCTATCGGTCGGCAAACTGTACTCCAAAGACGTCCTGGACACGGACTACAAGCTGAACTACTGGAGCCCCATCGAAATCAACCCGGCCAGCCAGTCGTACTCGTACCGAGCGCCCCCTCGCGCCGTCTCGCTGTTCAAGTTCGTGCGCCTGGCCGGCGACATGCTGCCCATGTCTCTGTTCGTGCCCTACCTGTCGATGCTGAGCGGCCTGTCTTCCTGCCAGCAGACGGCCAGGCACTGTTTCAACATGCTGAAGCAGGTGGGAAGTCAGCTGTCGCAGACGCTGTCTTGGGATCACTTTTTCCTGTCGTTCGCTCAGTACTACACCAACTTGAGACAGGAGGCGCCGCCTGTCGCCGATACGGTGTACCGCAACAGGGTTACAGCTGCCGCATTTCATAAAGGTAAGAATGTCAATGGATTGTGGTTATTGATTTAAAAAACGATAAAAATTGGGTAAAAATAGTAGATTATGTTATAAGGAGTAGAAGTGACTCTTTTTGTGGTGAGTACATAGGTTGACGGCCGAAGCGTAGCTGAGGCAGGCAACTGTACGAAGCACAAAAAGAGCTTCTACTCCAAATAACATATACAATTTTTTTTTCAAGGGCATAATATAAATAGGATAAGCAATAGAATTATTTTATTTACTCATAACTCGTGTGGGATAAAATTTTGGCTAAAAGCATTAGAAATTATTGATAAAAACTAAAAAAACTAATAAACCTTACTTACAATGCCGATAAATATCCGAAACTAAAACTAAACACTGCTCTGTCAAAATGCTGCGCTTGAATTAATTTTGACGTACTGACATTTGTTTGAAGTTTCGACATTGGCGACTCGTCTATCATCATAATATTATACTAATAAACTAGTTTTTCTTTATTTCGTTCAATTAAAATTTAATAAATAATCACTAAATATTCCGTGCGATTATAATTAATATAATTAATACATCGTGATTGCTTTGTATGAAATGCTAAATTAATTTTATTATTTGACGTTTATTGAGTCACCTATGGATTTACTTCTATCCCTAGGCTTTTTTGAGTTTTTTGTCTGCCGCTAATGAAAAAGACGCACTTCAACTATCTCTATACATGCATATAAGGTTGTATATCATGGCCGCTTGAAAAAAAACGTGTTTTTTTGTTTTTTTCTGTAGTTTTAATTTTTTTTTAAAGGTATACAGGGTGTATCACGGTCGATGGTAGGTTAGACGTTTATGGAGAACGGCAAAAGATATCGAATTGAAATTTTTATAGCAATTATAATATCATTTAAACTATTTTTCTAAATTATTTTGAACAAAATTCCTTTTCCGGTTTTAACGGAAGCGATATCAACTTTGTTATTTTAAATGGATTACCACATTTTTTTTACAATTTCAAAATCTTACCATCATTCCTTATAAAATGGCTATATCATGTCCTATACCTAAACTTAATACTTTTTGAGTTATTAATTTTTCTTGTAAAATTTGGTCAGTTTCACCCTCAACAAAAAAAGCTTATAACTTTTTTAATATAAGGTTTGTTGATATTCGGTTGGATTTATTGAAATCCTAAAGCACTGTTTTAAAGATTCCATGTAAATTATTGTAATATTTCTAAAAAGATACTTGTAAAAAACCAATGTGAATGTAGCTAACTTAAAACAGCAATAACTTTTTTATTCTTAATGGAACGCCCTGTATATTTTTACATAATTAAATATGAAATTATTATACCTTTTCATTGATATAACTATTCCCTATACCTAAAGTTAATATTAAGAAAGATATTTTACAATTAACCTAATAATATGAAGAAAAACTAAAAAAATGTTGCTTATGTGTATTAATTTGGTATGAATTACAAAACTTTCCCGATATTTATTATTATTAAAATAAAGGAAAATAAGTACTCAAAAGAAGTTGAAAATATTTATGCTTAATGGATAACCAAATTAAAGGTACAACATACAAAAAGTTTCTGCATTTTCTATCAATAAGTTTGTCATATTGTCAATGAAGAATAAACAAGTTCATAAAAACTTCATTTGAATAGTGATTTTCCTCCATTTTAACTATTTTATTAACAATTTTTTTTAATTTAAAACATTACTTTTATTTAATTAATGTATTTCTAACCTTATTAGTAAATAATAATATATCTTTTAATGAAGGTTCTATATCTCAACAACTGTTCTACTTTTTTAACTTTTGGATTCAGGGGACAATTTTACATAATTATGTAAGAATTGACTGTTAAATTTTGGGATACCATGGTATACCATGGTTAACCATGGTACAAGTAAAAAAGCAGCCACTTATAACTATTAAATTAGTCATTTTTGACTAATTCATTTTTAGAGAGTGCTTTTATTTACAAAGACCGAAAAAAATATTGTTCTTATTAATATTATTTTTTGTCATATGATTTTTGAAACTCATTCGTAGATTCCACTTGTATTGTTTATTAATTTAAAACTAATATTTAAAAATTTAAAATACATAATAAATAGTAGGAATTGTAAAATATCTTTGTTATTCTTAACTTTAGGTATAGGGAATAGTTATACCAATGAAAAGGTATTATAATTTCATATTTAATTATGTAAAAATATATAGGGCGTTCCATTGAAAATAAAAAAGTTATTGCTGTTTTAAGTTAGCTACCTACATTCACATTGTTTTTTATCAAGTATCTTTTTAAAAATATTAAAATAAATTACATGGAATCTTTAAAAGAATTCTTCAGGATTCCAATAAATCCAACCGAATATCAGCAAACCTAATTATAAAAAAGTTATAAGCTCTTTTTGAGGAGGGTGAAACTGACCGAATTTTACAAAAAAAAATTAATAACTCAAAAACTATTAAGTTTAGGTATAGGACATGGTATAGCCATTTTACAAGGAATTATGGTAGGAATTTAGAAATGTAAAAAAAATTGTGATGATCCATTTAAAATAACAAAGTTGATGTCGCTTCCGTTAAAACCGGAAGAGGTATTTTGTTTAAAATAATTTAGAAAAATAGTTTAAATGATATTATAATTGCTATAAAAATTTCAATTCGAAATCTTTTGCCGTTCTCCATAAACGTCTAACCTACCATCGACCGTGATACAACCTGTATAGTTTATTCTGTAAGAAGTTTTATAAACGCCATTTTAGTCACTGAGTTTTAATTAGGTACGAGCTAAGCTTGCGATATTATACCAATATTATTTGGACAATTATACCAATACATATTACTTATTTTTAAAATTTAACAAATGGATTTGATTGGTTATTGCCCTAGACCCTTTAATTGTGGCCAAGAGTTAACGCCAGGACTTAAAAGTACAAAATAAACAATTTAAAACGTTCGAACAAAATCCCTTATAGTGGAGCTCACTTGCAGAATAACAACTAGATTTCTAAATTGTAGACACCCTTTTTCTTTGACTATAAGCTGGTCAAGGTCCCTTTTAGTACTTGTATATTGCGTGGAATTTTCCCTTGGATGTAATCTATATCATGAGTTGTAATCACAAATATTTTTAAATTGGTTTATCATAAACTACTTTTAATAAAAGCGACGGTAAATATCCACTTTGTTGTCGAAAAATTCTATTGCGTTACCCTAAATTCCATTGCTTTACCATAAGGTAACATAATGGACTCGGTAACGCAGTGGAAAAAGTTTTGTGAAACCATATTTAAAAAATAATAATAAAACATTACAGTCATTAATTACTCTCAATGAGCTTTAGTGCCCTAATATAAACATAAACATGAAAAATAGTATTTTTTCTTTCCTTATTTTTATTATTTTTTTGAGTAACTTAGCGGACAAACAATTATTACATTCGCGTTACCCGCACCTGTTTCAACCGATATCTTCTTCCTGATTAAATAAATAAATTCAGCTGGTTAATGTGTACGTCCGAACATCATTTGTTGATCACGTGAGTGCCAAAAAAGTTGCAATATATGTTTTTTTTTAATATTCTATCGGTAACGCGACGGACGTAACGCTACGGAAAAAATGTTTGGGACATGTCAAATTTAAAAAAAAGTACATTAAAATTAATTATTTTATATAAATTGTTTACTGTATTAACTAAGGATGTTATGGATTGCTATAAAGCAACACAAAGTTCTGGTTATTCAATATTTAAAAAAAAACATGTATGTAACTTAAGTTAAGAATAATTTTTTTTAATTTTGAAACTTGTGAAACACACATTTTCGCATGTCCCATTAGCGTTTTATTAAATTTAATAAAACGCTAATGGGACATGCGAAAATGTGTGTTTCACAAGTTTCAAAATTAAAAAAAATTATTCTGAAATAACTAAACAAGCATTTTCTGAAAGAGTTTACTAAGGGCTTGTTGGTTGTTAAATCAATAAGATCCGATAATTTTTAACAAAGTTATTGGAATTCAAACTTATGGAAAGCGGAAGGCGGGTGTTTTTTGAAAACGACCCTAATCAGGGTGGAAGAAGAAGGTGATATAGCTCCTATCTCTAGAGAACAGAAGCAAGCGTCCAGATAAGTCAGTATTTCGTTCGTTGTTCGTTAGATGGCGAGTCAACTAAGAACCTAAGGTTTTACCAACGAAATCCATATATTCTAACTTAACTTTTAACAACAAATTATAAGATAACGAAAACCCACGGAGAGTCTTCTACCCTCCTTAACGAAAATTACATATTTTCTTACAGCATTATTATAATAATTTGCAAAACGATTGGCAATACTGTAGTATTGCCAACTGCCAAAATGCACAGTCGCCACAAACTCACAAAAGTGAAAGTGAAATGGTTTTATTTGAATTTTAATTAATCTTAGTGGTCTATTCTTTGAAGTTAATCAATGCAATTTTACTAAAAATGGAAAAAGTTTGTTGTGCACCGGGATTTAAAAAAATAAATAGGTTCTTATTTTTGGCGCCATCTATTTTGATTTTTAACAAATACTGACTTATCTGGCCGCCTTCAACGACGGAGTTGAATCACCTCCTTCTTCCACCCTGACCCTAATATTCATGGAGCCTACACAAGGAGTCCGAACTGCATGTAAACAAGAATCTTCCTAAAGAAAGTAGGCGCTGGTGTCCCGTTTATTCTGAAACAATTGACTAATTTGTACCAAAACGCTACCAAAAGAGCAGACGTCAGGACGCATCAACAATCAGCGCCGCAGGTGGTGAAAAAAAAAGACTTAATTTGTGCAATTTAGAGGGCAGGTTTTTTCAATTTTCGCTATTAAGTTCGGGCTCCTTGTGTAGGCTCCATGCTAATATTGATGATCAAATCAAATGTCATTTGAATGTAGGAAGTGTCTAAGTATACTGTTTGTTGCGACGGTTATTATATATTCTAATTAATAAAATTAACTTATTATTTTTATTAAACAACATTTTATGAAAGGGTCCAATCGACCTCCGCGACGGTGCTTTTTTTTTAAATATTATTTAGTTGCTGCTGAGGAGCAGTAGACACATCTTAAAATGTATAATGGGTTGCATACAATACAAGTATTAAATCGGCAGTAAAGTTCTACTTTACTGCCGATTTCTTTTACTTTACTGCCGATTGTTGACTACTTTACTACCGATTTCGGATAAACGTTATTTTACTTAGATTTTGGTTAATTTACTTAGAATTCTAGTTATTTAACCAGTTGTGCTACTTGAGGTGTATGAGGGTTTTTAAGGTCGCTGATTACGAATCTAACTTACAATGTTCAAAAAACAAAATAGCGGATCGAAAATGGTCGTAATTAAGAAAAACTGATCAGATTTCATCAAAATCATATGGGACCACTAATTTACGGCAGTTTCCGTACACACAAAAGGTCTTAATGTGTTTAAATTATAGATGTATCTGATTACCTTTAGGAACACCCTTCATCAAGCCCAATTAAACAACACTCGAGTGAAAAATAACGTCCTGTTTCAGTTAATCCAAACCATCTGATTCTCTGTGCTTTAATTGCCTTATATATACTATACTATATTTTTGTTGTTCATTTTTTCATCTATTTCATGATTCATTAATCTTCGAAACTCATCTTCTCCTATTTTAACTGGCCCATGTATTTTTTTCATATTTTTTCTCTCAAAACATATTAACTTATCTTCCTACTTGCTGGATTGTCTAGTATTGACCCCTTTAAATACTGTCTGACATTCTATTTGATTTTTATGACCGCGTTAAAAATAGTTAAGAATTCCAAAACACAATCTAGAATGTCAAAAACACATTTCAGAATGTCTTAAACAATTTTTTAGACGACATAAAATTTTCAGGTGTATCGCCTCAAGAACTCCAAGGTCTCCATGCAGTCCTCCTGCTAATCCGAACCATTGCGGAAAAAGACGAATTCTCGCGACTCGCTCTGTGCGAGCACCCGGGCTGGTCGCCTCTAACGGTTCTACTGGGTCTAGTCAGTTGCTCCGTACCGATACCGCTAAAAGCGGACCTGTTACTGACCCTTGTGGCACTCTCGAAGTCCTCGGAGAACGCGTTCCAAACCTGGGACAACCTGGAGTCCTCGCAAATACTGATGACGGTACCTACGACGTCAAGTTACGCGCCGAGAGGCATTCAGACCGAGTTGGACGAAATCGAGTCGAGAATGGAAGAATACCCGCTTACTAGGGCGTTATTGAAGTTATTAGATTGTTTGACTGATTTTGGAATACCTAGGACTCTAGGGGCAGGTCCGAGGCAACCCGGATTCGATCCTTACCTGTCGTTCATTGTGAACTCGGTTTTCTTGAAGTTCCCCTCAAGGTCATACAGAAACAACTCCGAAAAGTGGCAAGTCGCTCAACTATGCTTGAAGCTGTTTGAAAAGTTTTTAGCAACGTACGATCCGAAGATATCGGATTTCCCGGCGAATGGAGCCACCAAAGAGTTCAGTTCGCCGCCGGGTTTTCACCTGATGCTGCAACTGAACACGAAATCCGAACTTTTGAACGTTATCTTGGACATAATAGACGAAGGCAACCGTCTATTCGACACGTACGTTTCCTTCCAAGGCGAGACGCTGGTGAAAGATTGCACTCTGAGCTCCCTGAACATCCTGCACAGGGTTTTGATGCTGCAGCCGAAATTTTTCTCGCTGCTGGCGTCCTCGTCATCGTCGTCGATTATACTGACGAGCATCGGCAAGTTGCTGCTGACCATCAACAGAAGAAGTGGCAAACCGGATCACTGCGTCAACGTAGCTAAATACGTGAGCTATCAGTTGTACATGCCGTTGCATACTCAGGTGGCGGTGAAAATTTTGGCTCACATCACCAGCTCGCCAGTGGCTCACAATCAGTTCGTCAACATACTTTTGTCCAGCGAGGAAAGCAAAAAAACCGTCAAAACCGGTTTCGTCGAGTGTCTCGATTCTCCTGGCGAGGACAACACGGAAGTGATTTTTACGACGAAAATCGAGATATTGAAGTTGTTGAAGCAATGTCTGTCGTTCAACGCGCCCAATTTCACCCACTACTTGCTCGGTTTCGATTTGAAACGGGACATATCCAAAACCGAGTTCCAATTTCCCGGCGTTCTAGACTTCCCTAGATCGTGCCTTCACTCCATCATATCCAATCTGGAAAACTACAACAGCATCCGGCAAAATATCGCCGAATCCCACGCATCCACTCTTCTGGAATCCGCGTATCACATGCTTTACCTATTGGCAGCCAACGGTAAAACCTCCGGACCTGTACTGAGATTCGTGCGTCTCAACAAGACCTTCTACAAAGACCATCTAAGAGAAACGCACAAAAACATCGACAGCGGAATACACGAGCTAAATCAGTTCTCCTGGCTGATGAAGATGCTCGCCATTGAACTTAAAGTGTCCGGCACCACGAAACAAGTAACATACTTGAAACAATTGGCGGCGTTTTTGGTTAACATACCCTCGGAACAGGTAACAAACCAGGACATGTTTTCTTTGCTGCAAAAATCCGACAACAAGTTCATTACATCCTCGGTTGAGGAGATGAAGATGACGAACTTCATGACGGATTTGATACGGCGATTCGAGTACAAAAGCACCACGATAGACGAGCCCAGTTGGGAGTTCTTCGACGCCTCGGTTCTAAACAAGATTTTAATTAGTTGCCAATCGAAAACCTCCCCCATCATGATCGATTTAAAAAAGCTGCACCAGATTCTCTACGAGGAGCTTAAAACTCTGCAGGGTACGGCCGTCATGGGTCAAATACAACAAATCACCCAGGAAATACCCAAGGTTTTAAAGTACGCCCTAGAGTTGAACAAAAGATCTGAACAGTCGGCGGCTGTGGTGCAATTTGTGAACGGTTGGAGGCAGGTTATCGAGGTGTTGGTCAACTACATGCCACCGGAAGTTTTGAACTCCACCGAGCAGCAATTGGTGTGCATATTCATGATCAGCAACCTCTTGAGGGCCATAGTGAAGTCCTACCTGCTCCCGGAAGTGTCCAGGCTGCTTTCCGGCGCCATCCTACTGATGATGGACACCTTGAAAAGTTGTTACACTCGCGAGCAGAAGCTGAAGAAGTTCATGTCCCCGGAGGACATCGATAACGACGCGAACGTCCTCCAGTTGTACACTGGAACGTTGAGGGGGATTCTGGAGAATCTCATAGAGTGGATCATGGTTTCGGATGTGGTGGATGGCGAGCTGAGAATCAACTTGTACGCAACCTTGGTGACGTTCTTGCAGTTCACCAGGACATCGGAGAAAGTGAAACAGGAGGATTTCTCGATTAATTGCAGTATGTACGTTAGTAGATTGGATAGCTCGCGTTTGAACGTCAAGGATCAAGATTTGTGCCCGCAAATCGACATTTTCTCGACTTTTGGGGAAAAGTTGATCGAAATATTGTGCCATGACTGCATTGGGGGGCAGGAAATATGCAAAATGTTGGCAATGTCGAGTTTCAGTCATCTATTGACGCTATCCGGTAACATCAACTGGATTCTCTACATGTCCGGGAAAGGTTACTTGAAACACATAATTCAAAGTATTTTGGATAGCGATACGGATTTGAGGAACATGTTGGAACCGAACTCGGACAACATCAAACCTCTTTATTTGTATCTGGCGAAAATTTTACTTCTAGCAAGGCTTGCCAGTACCAGAGCAGGTGCGGAATTACTGTTGGAACAAAGATTATTCTCATGCTTCAGTAACATGACGGTCTTCAGTCTGCATCCGGAAATATCCAAGAATTGGAGGGGGGTTAATGAAGCGCTGGAAGACTTCCTACCGCCCATGGAGCAGCAGTATCTGGAAATATTTTTGCCAACCTTGGATATCTGTAATATCATCCTTACCAGTCTCGGCACGGAAAATCAATCCGCCGTCGTACAGATTATGTACTATTTACTCAGCCATTTGGACATCATCGAGTTGATTTTAAGATCCGGACATCCAGATCTATCCGCCATGTCGCTGAAAGAGTTATCACTATTAACTTTCGTCCTGTCTAGAACCGCCAATAACGACCTAATCAACGTTTTGGAGAACCCCAATATAGTTCACAACAATAGAGCCCAACTATACCGAATCCAAAAACTAATGCTCGGCCTACTACCGAAATTCATCCTCTCCGAAGATACCGTCAAACGATTAATGACGATCACGGATAGAAGCGTTTTGCTTCAAACGTCAGACCGTCTCCTATACGCAATGCAGATTATGTCGAATCTGCTCTGCTACTCGCGCAACATAGTGGCCAATCACGGCATAGAGCACAGCGGAGTGGGGGTAATTTTCACCCCGACCTTGAACGACCCGCTGCTGACGTCGAACAGGCTCAGGAATTACTCCAGCACCAATCAGGAGCAGGAACAGCAATCGTTGGGCGTTATAGTGCAACAGTTGATGAGTACGGTCAACTATCAGCACCAAGAGAAGGTGACGTACGATATGTTGGTGCGCAAGCTGTCGGAAATAGCCGACATGAAGTCTGGTGATCTCAGGCAGTTCATAGATGAGTCGATGGAAATGAGCGACTTGTCGGCGAAGAAAGAGAAGGCTTATGAAGTCATTTCCGATAGGTTGGAAAAGAAGAAGAAGGAGATGGAGTACTGTTCCTTTATAATCGAGAACTCCTTGTATTTGATATGGACTCATTTGGATTACTATATGCTTAAGGCCATACCAAAGCCCAAAACATATGGATATCTCAACTCAAACGCCAATTTAACTGCTGATTGTAAGTTTAGTATATATTTTTGAAATTATGTTTATTTTATTTTATTTTTTAGCCACTTTAGCATCAGCCTCTGAAGCCACATGGAAGGTGTCCACTGATGTTATAAGCGATCTAAAGCAAGGCTTAGTTTCGCTTTTTAACGATAGTTTTAGTAAGCAACTTCTGGAGACTGCCCAGGTAATATTTTAAAATCTTTTATGATAATAACCTTTCCAAAGGTTTTTGAGCTTGTTAAATGAATTGTTTTTTTTTTATTTAGGGTCAATCGGAATCAGATGTGGGTCTAATTGAAGCATTACTAAGAAAAATTAAACGTTTAGTACAGTTTGTGCCTGTAAAGTAAAATATTTTTTTATGTTTAGAATTAAGTTGTTAAAATACCTACATGATTTTTATATAAGAATTGGTTGTTTTATTTCAAATTCTTCTCAAATGAGCACTTGCATGAAACTTCCACAACAAAGGTTTTTTTATTAAATATGTTTTAATTTAAGGCATTAATTGCAAACTTTTTGAAAGACGGCCCTGTGCGTTAGTGCATAACTACAAAGATAATATTATATCGATATAAAGTTTTATATTATTGATCTTTATTATAAAACTTTTTATGTAGGGCAGGTCGTTCCATATAGGACATATAGAATAATATAAATCCATACGTTTCCTTATCTGGATCAATATGGGTTCTATAGGGCATTTTTAATAGGAAAGTTAGTAGGGTTTTAAAATTTCTGGAAAAATTGAGCCGGCGGAAAAAAATCGGTTTTTTTTGGTAAATTTTCAGAAAACCCAACTATACCGAATCCAAAAACTAATGCTCGGCCTGCTACCGAAATTCATCCTCTCCGAAGATACCGTCAAACGATTAATGACGATCACGGATAGAAGCGTTTTGCTTCAAACGTCAGACCGTCTCCTATACGCAATGCAGATTATGTCGAATCTGCTCTGCTACTCGCGCAACATAGTGGCCAATCACGGCATAGAGCACAGCGGAGTGGGGGTAATTTTCACCCCGACCTTGAACGACCCCCTGCTGTCGTCGAACAGGCTCAGGAATTACTCCAGCACCAATCAGGAGCAGGAACAGCAATCATTGGGCGTTATAGTGCAACAGTTGATGAGTACTGTCAACTATCAGCACCAAGAGAAGGTGACGTACGATATGTTGGTGCGTAAGTTGTCGGAGATAGCCGACATGAAGTCGGGTGATCTCAGGCAGTTCATAGATGAGTCGATGGAAATGAGCGACTTGTCGGCGAAGAAAGAGAAGGCTTATGAAGTCATTTCTGATAGGTTGGAAAAGAAGAAGAAAGAGATGGAGTACTGTCCCAAGCAGCAAAGAATGACACATTTTGGGCAATGTGTCGACACAGCGTCGAAACATGATTTTGGACACGACACATTTTAAAGACACATAGTCCACTTTAAGACCACTAAGTGTGGAAAATGAGACCAAAGTGGTGATGAAAGTTGTACCAAAAAGTGTCCATAGTTTGCCCACAAAATGTGCCCGATTTTTTCTTAAAATTTGCCCACAATGTGCCCGGTAGTGTGACCGATTTATGCCCAAAGAGTTTCTAATTTGTATGTTACCAAATGGTCACCATTTGTTCCTAATTGTTGCCAAAGTACTGTATTGTGTCCTAAAATAAACCCAAATGGACACTAACTATTTTTAATTGGAAACGAATTGGAAACGAACTAGATACAAAGAGGCAAAGTAAGGCGTGATGTCTTATTAATAATTATGTATATAATATAATATTATGAAATACATTATAACTTAAATATAACATTTTTGGTATATATTACCTTCATTTTTATTGCGAACAAAATTTTATTGGTGATTATAAGCAAAATACTTTTAAAAATTGATAGGGCCTCACAAATAATAAGTATTTATAATTTTTTTTTATTAAAAATATTTTTTTTTTCCTATATTTTTATCAAAACTAGACGTATGTGCCTTCTATGTAACTTAAAACATTGCATTTTTTAAATTTTAAGTTTAAATTTCACCAGAAAGTTAAATTATGTAAAAAAATTAAAGCGTCGAATCTGTTTCAACAAAAAAATATGGCGAATTACACAATGTGTCCCTTTGGAACCTAATGCGCCCGCCCCACACATTTTTGAAACAAATCAGACACCATGAATCTAAAATGCAGCTAAATGGAAACTTTTGCGTCCACTTGACTCAATTTGGTAATAAAATGGAAACAGATTGATAAGGTACAATATGGAAACATTGAGTCGACTAAGTGTCGACCCTAATGAGTCTAAATTGTGTTACTGTTTCCAAGAGGGCACAAAAGCGACGCAACTTGGGCACATATTTCTGAAATAATGCTACTTAGACCCATACTTTTTTTGGACACAAGGTGTCGACCCAAAGCAACCACAAATTTGAAAAATGGACACAGTTTCCATTTAGACATAAGTTTTCCGATTTGTGTCGAAACAATTTGGAAACAAAAAGTGTCGTGCCCAAGTTCGGGCACAAATTGCTGCTTGGGGTTCCTTTATAATCGAGAACTCCTTGTATTTGATATGGACCCATTTGGATTACTATATGCTTAAAGCCATACCAAAGCCTAAAACATATGGATATCTAAACTCAAACGCCAATTTAACTGCTGATAGTAAGTTTAGTATATATTTTTGAAATTATGTTTATTTTATTTTATTTTTTTTTAGCCACTTTAGCATCAGCCTCAGAAGCCACATGGAAGGTGTCAACTGATGTTATAAGCGATCTAAAGCAAGGCTTAGTTTCGCTTTTTAACGATAGTTTTAGTAAGCAACTTCTGGAGACTGCCCAGGTAATATATAAAATCTTTTTTGATAAACACTATAGCTTATAAGCTTGTTAAATGAATTGTTTTTTTTGTTTTAGGGTCAATCGGAATCAGATGTGGGTCTAATTGAAGCATTACTAAGAAAAATTAAACGTTTAGTACAGTTTGTGCCTGTAAAGTAAAATATATTTTGTATGTTTAGAATTAAGTTGTTAAAATACATGATTTTTATATAAGAATTGATTGTTTTATTTAAAATTCTTCTCAAATGAGCACTTTTATAAAACCCATATTGATCCAGATAAGGAAACTAATATGGATTCTATATGTCCTATATGGAACTACCTGGTTTACACTTTGGAATCTATAGGGTCTAATATGGAATTTCATTTTAAAATGTACAACTTAGGGATTTTTATATGGATTTATCTGGTTTCTGTTTTATGTGTTTCCATATAGGTTTCCCTATATGGTTGAATATGAAATTCCATTTTAAAATGTATATATATTTAAATAAAAATTGCATATTAAACCATATAGATTTTTTTATACCCAAACTATATTGGCCAGATAGAGCTCCATTATGGTTCAATCTGAACCTATTTAGCAATCCATATAGAAATCACTTTTCAATATGGTTTTCCATATACTTTTTCTATGGTTTTCCATGTATGGAATTCTATCTGGTTCAATAGTGCAACGCGCCTGTTTCGAATTCCTATATTGAACCAGATAGAACCATATAGATTTTTATTTTGTGTTTCTATATATATATATATGGCATTTTTAATAAGTAGAACATATAGAACAATATAAATTTATGGATTAATCCATATTAATTTCCTTATCTGGATCAATTGATATTAATATGGGTTCTATAGGGCATTTTTAATAGGGAAGTGAGTAGGGTTTTAAAATTTCCGGAAAAATTGAACCGGCAGAAAAAAATCGTTTTTTGGGAAAAATTGACTGTCATTTTTTAAATTTTATTCAAAGGGTACTTAACCCTTATGCAGGCGCACCTCTTTATGCAACGTAGTAGGTCGCGCGGGGTGTCAGAGACACCCCTGATGGCAAAGCGTCCCTGAGTGTTATTTACATTTTTTTTGTTTTTTTTTTAAGGTTATCAAGTTAAGATGAGCTGAGAGACAATGAGAACATATTTCGTTGCGTTCAAATTTGATAAAAGATGACAAAAAAAAAAGAAAATGTCAAAAGACGACAATTTTAATCAAATAAAGCATTTATTTAAAAAAAAAAACAAATTTTAAGTCATAATAATAATAAAAACAAAAATAACACTAAGCACTTAAGATAAGGTTTACTTTTACAAGTAATTATGATTTGGTAAAAAAAAGTCAATAGGGAGGCGAAACCCAGCCTGCTCACGGGGTGTCCACATCACCCAGAGCCTGTTTAAAACAAAATACCAGACAACCTATTACATTAACTTCAAAATCGGCAATGTAATATGACTGAGAATACTTTGACAGGAAGGTACTGAAAGTAAGCGCCATTTATTCGAATCGAAGTGAGACCGGTAGCTATATTTAGGAAGCTGGGGTGTTTTGTACACCCCGCGTGCCTGCTTAAGGGTTAATACAAAAAAATGCAATTTTTCTGAAAATTTCCAAATGTTTACGGAAATTATCCGTACACTAATATCTAAAAAAAAGTCCGACTTTGATTATAATCATAATATTTTGATTATGATAATTATTCCTTGTATTTTAATTCAGTAAGAATATTGTACCAGGCCACAAAAAAACATATTTGGTACATGTATTAACATAATTATATTAAGTTAACTTTTATTTATAACATTATAATATTGTTATTTTTAATGGACTCCTTTTTGCATAAAAATCCAACTGGCAGTATATTAATATAACGGGAAATTTCCCGTTTACGTTTATTTTCTTAAATTAATTCAATGTTTAGTTTTATTTTTCTTGTAATAAAGGGTTTTTTTAAATTAAAATAATGTTAAGTTGTTGATTGCTACTTTTTTCAATGTGTCTATATAGAAAAAATATTTTTCAAAAAAGAAATTTAATTTTTCCAAAAAAAAAGACAATTTTTCCAAGTCCTGAGAAAAAATGTTTTTTTCCGCAGTTTTTACGTTTTTTTTTCGACACTTTAAAACTATAAGTGAGCTAATTAATTAGCCTATTAATCCTAATTAGGACAAGTCCTGAAAAGGTTTTTTCTAAATATTTTAATTAAAACGTTTTAATTAAAATATTTAGAAAAAACCTCAAGTACTTGAGGAGGTGAAAGAGTAAAAATGGAAATACCTACCTAACATTTTATGCCGCGGCACTTCCTGTAAATCAAATAAAGTTTTAATTTTGATCAAAGCCATTCCAAACAGGGTGGGACTTGGACAAATGTTCCCCTTCTGAGCATAAAAGTGTACTTTTTTGTGTATACACAATTGTGTATATTAATATACTCCATTAGGAGTCATTTCTCGCACTATGTTTATATAACATATTATATTAAGAAGTTCTACCATGGTAGGTGCACCTCCTAAAATATTTACCATTTCTGAATTACCCTGTATAAATATAGAGATGATCTATAGAAGAAAGCATAGACATACGTTCATAAAAGAAAGTGTTACAAAAGAACTACTACAGAACATTTAATTTTATTGGGTTGGCAACACAAAACAACATGGCATAAACATAAATTCCAACCTATAAATTCGATAAAAAGTTTAATTTATTTGTATGTTTTTACTTTAAAAGGCATAATATATGTTAAAAAATGCCTAAATCGAAGGGAAACAATCCGTTCGAGAATAAGTGCAGGATATGCTTGACGGAGAGCTCTGTAATGGTGCCTTTGGATTTTCATTTCAAAGACAATTCACCTTTAACGTTATTAAATGCTTTAGAGGAAGTTATGAGTACAACGGTACCTTTTTTTTTTAAATTAAGTTTGTATGGATAATATGTAATGCATTTTAGGGAGCAATACAACCTTTGTTGTTAATATGCAGAATTTGTAAGGGGTTATTGGTGATTGCATACGATTTAAAAATGCAGTACATTGAAAGTACAAAAACACTGGATGAATATTTTGGAGAAACAACAGAAAACAATAACAATGTACCCAAAGTTGAAACCCCATCTAAAAAAGCAAGTGTGGAGATATTAATTGGGGATAATAAATATGATATTAAAGATCTTGTAATAGTTGAAGATGAGGATAAAAATGAGAGTAGTTATGAAGGTTTTTTAAGGAATTTGGGTGATACAGTGTCAGCTAAAATTGTAAGTAAAGATTACACATATAAACCTGTTGAACCTGAATCAGAGATAATTATCGTTGAAAAAGAAACACCAGGGACCATTATCATAGAGGAAATATTGTTGGACGATGAGGATGATATGGAGGTTGATAAATATATAATAAGAACCACTGGAACTGATGTAAAACAAGACGAATTATTACAAAATCTCAACATAGATCAATTAATTTTAACCAATACAATTGAAGGGAACTTTTTGGAACCCAACGATTTTATAAGTAATCTGGAAGCTTTAAAGGTAACCCCAGCTGAGATATTTAAGTGTGATTATTGTCAGAAGGAGTACAAACACAAAGGCAGTTTCCTACATCACCTAAAAACGTGTTCGTGTTTGCACGCTCTACACGGATCAGGTAGTACGATGAGTATATGTCCCGAGTGTAGAACCCCATGCACAAGTAAGGAAGTTTTGATAGAACACATAAAAACCACCCACAACTCAAAAAATCTACACATTTGTAATGTCTGCAACCACGTTGCTCACTCCAATAGAACCTTGTCATATCACATGTTAAAGCATGAAAACAAAGTGTACCAATGTGAGATATGCGGAAAGAGTTTTAACAGAAAAAACCTGCTAAGTATTCATAAAAAAATGCACAGTCAGCAGAACAGTACCCAGGTTTTGTGTCCCATATGTGGGAAAAGTTTTCACTACAAGAGCGGTATGGTTTACCACATGAAAATGCACAACCAAACTAGAGATTATGTGTGTAATATATGCGATAAACGGTTTTATATGAAAGCAGTTTTAAATAGACACGTGCGGTGTCATACAGGGGACAGACCGTATGCATGTCAGTACTGTGAGAAGAAGTTTTACTCGAAAAGTGAGATGCTGAAACATGAAATGTTACACACAGGAGTTAGGCCGCATAAGTGCCAATTTTGCGATAAAGGGTTCACGCAGAAATTCAATTTGGAATTACACATGATGTCGCATTCTGGCCCGCAATTTTGCGAGTTTTGTAGTAAGACTTTTATTGACGCTAAATATCTGCAGCGACATGTCAAAACTAAGCATAAGTTTTTGGTGCAACAGGCACAAGAATAAAAAGTTTTTAAGAATTTTTGATTTGTTTTAATTTTATTAATATTACGGTCATATCTGGGTGAATATATTGAGATGTCCCGCAAGTAAAACTGATTATTTTTTATTTTTGGTTGTTTCACTGTTAGTATAAAATGTGGTTTTTGGTTCTGCACTAATGCAAGAATTTTAAGAAATCATACATTTTGAATATTAGAGCTTCACGGAAGATAGCTTCACGGAGGTTAGGATTTTGCATGTTTTTTAACATCCCGTTGAATATTTGAAATAAGTTATTGGATCTTTTAACACCTTAATATTTTTAAAAAATACAATTGTACATACATAAAATATTTATAAAAAAAATCTACTTACTTAGATATTACACTTCACGGTGGATAGGTTTTTAAATAGCAAATATATGAACTTAAACTTTTGAATTATAAAACAGCAACACTCTCATCTGCATATAAATTCTAACTTACCTTCAGGAATCACATGCATCTATAATGTCGTAAACAGAGGTTTTTGCGTATTTAAAAAGATTGAAGCGCCATCCGTTGCATAAAATTTAAAGCAAAAAAAAAATTATTTCTTTTAATTTTTAATAATATTTTATATTCGATTCGATTGCTTTTTATGTGTTTAATTTATTTAGTGAACTGATATTTTTAGTATGATTTTACTACCTCAGATATTTTAAAACATATAGGTTAACCTAGAAAGAGTAACAGTCACGGAGGATAGGATTTAGACTTTTAAAACATTGTAAAAAATAATTAATTGCGGTTAAAAATCTGGAACCTGAATTATGAAAGATCAAAACACAATAAAAGTGTAGGTTAAACTCCTTTAGTTTTATTAAACATCACGGGGTAATACCATCGGGGGACATTTCGTGATTCACACATCTGTACCATAGATATTATTGAACAAACATGATCTTTTATCAGTGTTACCAAATATAAAAATCTAAGTAGATAATTTGTACCCCTACTTCCACTCTGTACATTCGACCTACTGTCAATAAACGTCAAAATTTCAGGTTATGTAACTTAACAAATTGTAAACATCAATGAAAATACCGAATTTACTGAAAAGCATTCTACTAGGAATACCAGTGGGTATTACTTTGGTCGACGTGTGCGGATATGTAGCCCGCGTCGATGGTATATCGATGCAACCCGCTCTAAACCCGGACAAAAACCAAACTGATTACGTGTTTTTGAATCGATGGGCTGTTAAAACGTACGACGTTAAAAGAGGCGACATAATTTCGCTGATATCGCCGAAAGACCCCGGACAGAAGATAATCAAGAGAGTGGTGGGGGTGCAAGGTGACGTGATTGCCACTTTGGGTTACAAGAAGGACGTGGTTAGGGTTCCTGAGGGTCACTGCTGGATAGAGGGAGACCATACGGGTCATTCCATGGACTCTAACAACTTCGGGCCGGTTTCATTGGGTTTGATTACCGCTAAAGCGTCGTGCATTGTGTGGCCCCCAAATCGCTGGCAGTTTATTGAGCCTCTATTGCCTGAAACTAGGGAACCTTTGAACTTGTCAGTTAATAGTTATATGAATGTTTTTTAGTAAGGTTTTTTTAGTTAAATTTACTTAGTTAAAATGAGGGCCATATCTTTAGTGAATAGGATTGAGTTTGAGTTTACTGGTAATGTTGTCAGAAATGCTTTGTGTTTGGGGGATATTGATAACGATGGCTGCATTGAGTTAATCATTGGGAATGAAACAGGGGATATTGCTATATTTAAGGTAAATTAATTTAAAAGATTTGCTTTACATCAGAAAATTAAATTGCATTTACTGTTTTACAATATTTTTATATTATTTTTGCTCTTAGGGAAAGGATAAAGTTCAAGTCATATCAAAACATACTCTCATATGTTGTGTAGCTGTCGGAGACATTTTAAACCAAAACAAAAACAGTTTGGTGGTTATAACAGCTGATGGTTGGTGTTATATTTATGAAGTTCCTACTAAAGACCTAAGTGAATCTAATAATGAAGATTTTGATGAGGTAATGTATGAACTAAGTATTAAAAATTTGGCAACACAGTAAACTATTAGCTTAGAGCTGTTTTTTGTTAATACACTGCCCATCAAAATTAACTCATAATAAGTAAAAAAATTCTAACTCTAAAACGCCTTTACCAATCTTTATGAAATTTTGTATAAAAATACTTCAACTTATATCTCAGTTTACGTGTTCGAGGGTTTTTCGAGAAAATATTAATAACTAAGTAAATAAAAAATATGCTGTTAAAGACCGTATTTTTGTTAGTATACCCTGAAAATTTTGTACAAATCAAACGAACAGTAACGAAGATACATCGCTTTAAAGTCGGTAAAAATGACCCCTTTTTGATTATTTTGCTGAAAAGTGGTCATTTTTGACGACTTTGATGCGCTGTATTTTTGTTACTGTTTGTTTGAATTGTACAAAATTTTCAGGGTATACTAACAAAAATACGGTCTTTCACAGCATATTTTTTATTTACTAAAAAAAATTCCCCATAAAAGTTTTTTTTGAGCGTTTTTTATTATTAAATAAAAGGGCTTTAAGGATATTTTTCGAAAAACCCTTGAAGTATTTTTATCCAAAATTTAATAAAGATTGGTAAAGGCGTTTTAGAGTTGGATTTTTTTAATTTGTTATGCGTTAATTTTGACATATAGATGACACTGCTGGTTTATCCAGTGTTGCCAGATATTACAATGGAGGCAAAAAGTGAGTTCATTAATATATAAAACTTAAGGTTGATGGTCAAATGCACTCCAGCAGCAACACTGACGCCCCAGCGAGCAGTAGCGAAAGCACCAACACCCAAAAATCCACCAAAAATGTGGAATCCCCCGATAAAATGCAAGTTGTTTGTATTCACGTTCAAAGAATACCGGCAAACGTAAAAAACATTTTGCTGGGCGACATCGACGGCGATGGTGCGGTCGAAATGGTGCTCGGCCTCACCGACAGGGTTGTCAGATCGTACAAGTGGATGGGAAACACTCACAAGCCCGCCAACCTGACGGAAGCTAATTTGCCTATCGAGCCAACTGACAAGCTTTTGGGTAAGTTTAAAGTAAAATTGGTCGCCATTTTTTTTGTCAATGATAAAATTCTAAAGCTGGGTTCTAACAGAGAAATAACGTAAAATAATTTAATTTAGATTAGTACGAAATAACCTTGAAATAACTTAATTAAATTTAAAATTGTCCAACTATTAAATTAAGTCTTAAATTACATCACTGAACGTTAACTTTTAAGTTAAATTAAATTACATCATAAATTAAATTACTTTTCTGTTAGAACCAGGCTTTATTATTTGAAAAACTTAAAAATAATGAAAATTCAATATAAAAATATTGAAAATTTACTATAAAATAGTAAAAATTACTCGTTAAATTTGCACTGCCTTTTTTATAGTGAGTTCTTACAGAAGGCAGTCCATTAATTGTTGCCACATTCTAAATTTAATGTATTCAAAACAAAAATAAAATATAGTGTGTTGAATTAATGAAATATTTCATTATGTATTACATAATATTGAAAATATTTATAATAAAAAAATATTTATAGTGCAACGTTTTAATATTTTAAAATGTAAATTTAAAAATATAAAATTTGCCTTGAGCGTTTTTATATTAAGCTAAACTTATTAATTTCTAAAAAATTGGAAAATTTTCTTTTTTAATTTTTTTTAATGTAAGTCAATATTTCTGAAAATTTTCAAATTTTTACCGATAATATCGAGAAAAAAATGAATTTCCGACGCTGATTATAATGATAATATTATGATTATAAAAAATATTTCTTTTATTTTAATTAAGTAAGAATGTTCTACCGGGCCGTCAAAAGAACATATTTTATTTGAAACTTCAATTTATAAAATTGTAGTTTTGTAATTTAACTCTATAAATCATTCATTCATTATGTAGTTGGATATTTTAATTGACTCTTTTTTGCAAGAAAGACCCAACCGACAGTTTATTTAATGTTTACGTGTATTTTCTTAAATGAATTTAATTTAATTCAATGTTTAGTTACATTTTATTGTAATAATAGTATATTAGCCCAGACAGCACATATATCCATTGGACGTCCAGCGGACGACCATTGTACATCCAAACGTCCAATGTAAGTCCATTTGACGTCCAATGGACATCTTGTTCTGTATGGGAGTATACTATTATTACAATAAATTAAAGAACTAATGTCATAAGACGTCATTTTGTAAGTTTTGTAATGGACGAGTGCGACAAAAGGTCTTATGACCTGAGTTCTTTTGCTATTTTATCTATTTTGCAAAATTTCTATAAAAAAAATTAATTTTATACATTAAATTTAATTTGGTCGAATTTTACTTTAAGTAGTTGGTATCACAGTCACAGTTTGACAGTTAATGTCAAAATCGATTCGCCATGCCGTCCTTATTTACTTATTTACAATAAGCGGCTGTTATTGTTAAAGAAAAAAAATGATTTTCTTTGGTGTTAAACAAAATTTATTGCCAGAAAAGTCTCGTAAGTACTAGAAAAATCATAAAAATATTATAACCAATATGCAAAATATTATGCTGTTTAAAGTATAGCCAACCTATAAGTCCGCCTGAGCTACTTAATAAGATTACTTTAAAATAAAAAGGTTTGGACAAATTAAAAGTTTAAAAACTATAATTTACATTTCGAAATAATACAATGTCACACTAATAATTTTGTTCTTCCATAAATAAATAGACATTACTTTAACACGCTATATTTTGTTTTTGTTATGTAAACATTAAATTAAAAGTGTGGCAGCAATGAACTGCGGTTTATCTGTTATTGTTTTGTTTTTATGTGATGCGCAAGCGTATAACATAAAGAAATGACAGTTTTATCCACAGACTGTGGTTTTATCATTAAAACAACTTTCCAATCAACGCTATAGTTAGGGAGCTGGTGGCAGAAATATTTAAGTCATTTGCTCGCATGGCAGAAGTTGAAAATAATGAAGTTTGGATTATAAAAGTCACTAATGACAATTTCTGCCAAACCATTATTGCTGCATTATTAATTAGTAGGTAATTAAATATGTAAAAAATAAAAATGTCCTTAAGTCATTTGCTCGCGTCTGGCATTTTTTTTAACTTAAAGTCCCTAACATGGCTTTCAGATAAATATCATCGCCAGACGTGTATGTCTCTGCATTAATGAGTATTTAATTTTTTTTTTTTAATTATGATAGGTATATAAAAATTTAAATGATTTGCTCGTCAATAAAATTTAATTGGGTCATAAAAAAGCAAAAAATAAAAGTCTGCCATTTAATGTTTACTGCGATAATGAACGAAGAATTTTCAAAATTGTAAAAAAAAAATTAATATTAAGTTATTTGCTCGTGTCTGGCTCTTGGTTAAATTATTCTTTTGTATGTTAGAACTGTGAATATAACTATGCCAGACATGAGTATTGCTGATTTTTTATAGCCAGAACGCTTTTAGGATAGGGTAGGTATTTTGAGAAAAGGCTATTACAAGCGGTTTTTTTTTACTTATAACGTTAAAATTTGTAAGGTCATAAAATCATGTAATCTTTCGATTCCCCAAGTTTGGTGACCCTCAGTTACACTTCCGTATGGGGTCAGAGGTCAAACATATTTTTTTTATTACTTATTATTATTTTATTTTTTTTACCTATTATGGGCAATTACATAAAGGCATTTTTTAAAATATAACCTTGAAATTTGAAATGAGGTCATAGGGTCATATGATCTTTTAACCCCCCAAGTTTGGTAACCCCCGTACATGTTATTTTTATATTATGTTAATTGAAATTAAAAAAAAAATTAATTGTTAAAAGGTCTAATAAAGTGCGAAAGTTTTCAAATTTTAAGATAACATTGGAGAAGATATAAGAATGGTAAATCCGGTTTTGCACCCTTTTCCGTTGACCCATGGGTTAACTTAGTAAAAATTATTAATACTTAAAAGAAAAATGCAGCGACCTGTAGGTCTGGAAAATGTTTTTTTAGTATCTATGTTAATTAAAGGGGACAAAAATGGACAATTTAAAATATTTTTCTGCAAAAAGCATACATACCTACAAGACTGGCATAATTTTTTTCTTATTTATGGGACAAAAATTAACAATTAAAAAATAAGACATATATATCATTTAATAGAACATTTGTTTTTTACAAATTAACAATTGAAGACTACAAGGAAAAAACGTGCAAAGTCAATTTGGATATTTTTTGGTATGGTAGCTAAAAAAGCAAAGATAATGGTATTATTTTTTTTTAGACTTAACATTACTGTTTACCATAATGTTGTTTTAATAGATTTCCTAAAAGCAGTTAGTTTGTTAAAAGGACCCAGAGATTACACAGTATTCAAGTTTAAAATTGCTCTTCTAAAAATAAAATTTTTTTTGACTTTGCACGTTTTTTCCTATACTCCTCAAAATGTTTTTTTAGTATCTATATTGTTATTATTTATTTGCTGCAAAACTCAGAGACATACATATCTGGCATTATTTTTTTTTATTTAGGGGACACAAATGAACAATTAAAAAAATAAGATAAAGACGAGCAAATCACTTAATAGAGCATTTGTTTTTTACATATTTAAAATTATTTAAAAAAAAACGCAGCGTCCTACACGTCTGGCAAATGTTATTTTAGTATCAATATGGTCAATATAATATAAAACCTAAATGCCAGACACGAGCAAATGGTTAGGTTAGGTTAGGTTTTATTTTTTACAATTTTAAAAATTACTTAAAAAAAAGCAGCGATACCTGAGCCTGCCACCTTATTTACTCAGTTCACAAGCATCAAAACTCTATAACATATCATTCCCAACGACGAGCAAATCATATACCGAAATTGCCACCAGCTCCCTAACTATATGATCGTTAACGGAAAAAATATATATTTTGTATTTTTTATGCAATAGTATACTATACTTATAAGATAATCTTGTTCTTATTAAAGGAAAATTTGTGGCAATGAACAAATGGGAATGCGCAAACCAAATAGGTTCCATAACGCTACACCACACCTGGGATGGCTTACCTTCGCTTTTGATAGCGCAACCTGGCGGAACTTTTATGCGAATCAAATGTTTTACCGACGATATTTCGGCTCAGCCTTCGGTTAACTCCGATCTTAGCAACTCTAACAGGTAGGGTCTTTACAAGATCACCCATACTCCTATGTACCTTGGCCACAGATTTTTAGAATAAACAAAAAATTGTATTCTTTTTGCCATCCCTAGACACTGACTTATTAAAATGTAAACCCAAGAAAATTGTGCTCAAGGTAACTATGAGAGGAAATGTTGTTCCAAAATATTTTTTTTAGTTCTCAAGGTGAATCAGGCATACCTGGATCAGTTGATTATCAATTCTTGGGTTTGACTCGAATGAGAAATCAAAATATTTCGACGGAAATTTTAGGCGACTTCAAAAATTCTCATCGCAAAGACTCTGGTAATTGTATTAGTATTATATGAGTGTAATAACCAGCGGCGTAACTAGAAAAAGTGCCGCCCGGGGCAGCAGTGGCTGTCGCCCTCATATTTTTTTTTTGGGGGGGGAAGAGAGGTTAGGTTAGGAGTCAGTTTTGAAGACCGTACGCAAAATTAAAAATATTTAATTATATATAAACATATATATATAACATTAAATTGTAATATTTTAAGAATTAAAAACAAACAAAAATTCTTAGACCTAGGTAAAGAAAAACAACTATTTTTTGCTAGCTTTATTTGATTTGGAATATTTTGGGAGTAATTGTATAAATCTGAAATCTATTGGAATTTGAATTATATTATTTTGAAAGAGAATATTTAATTATCAAATATTTTTTTATTTTTATATTCTGTCTTCCAGTTTTTTTCGCATTTTCTCTCAGGATTTTTGCCGCCCTAAGAAGTGCCGCCCGGGGCGGACCGCCCCCCACGCCCCCCCTAGTTACGCTACTGGTAATAACCCTATTAAAAATGCCATATAGAAACACAAAATAAAAATCTATATGGTTCTCTCTGGTTCAATATAGGAATTTGAAACAGGCATTGCACTATTGAACCAGATAGAATTCCATACCTGGAAAACCATATAGAAAAGTGATTTCTATATGGATTGCCATATAGGTTCATATTGCTCTATCTGGCCCAATATGGTTTGGGTGTGAAAAAATTATTACCATATAGATCCATATTTAACCATATAGGGGAATCTATATGGTTTAATATGCAATTTTCGTTTAAATATATATACATTTTAAAATGGAATTCCATATTCAACCATATAGGGAAACCTATATGGAAAGACACATAAAACAGAAACCAGATAAATCCATATAAAAATCCCTAAGTTGTACATTTTAAAATGAAATTCCATATTAAACCCTATAGATTCCAAAGTGTAAACCAGGTCGTTCCATATAGGACATATAGAACCATATAAATCCATATTAGTTTCCTTATCTGGATCAATATGGGTTCTATAGGGCATTTTTAATAGGGAACATTAAAATTAAACAAAACACTATGTTTTCCTGTCTACTAAAATCAATTAAAGTCGTTTCTATGGGAAATTTTTGTTTTCCCACTAAAAGACACTATTCCGTCCCTAGGTAAAGGAAAACCATACGCTGTTGCCACATTGGACGGCACCATAATGCTCGTACAAGACGAAGTGATCCTCTGGGCGTTCGCGGTAGATCACCAAATTTTCGCCCTGACGAAACTTGACATCACCGGAAACGGCTCCGACGACATTGTTGCCTGTTGTTGGGACGGTCAGACCTACATTTTGGATCAGGACAAAAACGTCATAAGTTTTCCTCTGGACGAGCCTGTGCAGGCTTTTGAGAGTGGGTATTATCATTTGAAGGGCAATGATGAGCCTGTAACGTGTTTTGTTTACGTCACCTTCAAGAATACTGTAAGATGTTTTGATAAAAACTATTAAAAATGTATAAAGTTAATTTTTTTATCTGGACTGCGGCAACGTTGCAAATTTAGGCTTTTGGTTGGTAAATACAGTTGTCAAGTTGGTCGCATTGATTAAAACAAACTAAGCTAGTTATAAATCTAATTGTGGTTATGTATAAATTATTGTAGGTTACATTGTGCAGTTGTCAAGTCGAGTTGTCGAAATTCGTAGTTAAAAATGCAATTAATTTGGCTTTGGTGGTGCTTGGATGAGTAAAATCATATAAAAAAAGTAGTTAAATATAGGTTGCTTTACGGCCCAGAAGAGAAAGTATTCCTAGCGGATAATAATCTTCGCTTTGAAAAGAAATTAAAATTTTTTGTGAACGTAAATGTTGTCCAATGGTGAATAATGTGAAAATAATGTGTGATGTAATATTTATAAAACCAAATTCGTTACTTTTTTACTCCAAAAATGCCCATAAGGCGATGTACTTTTTCATCCATTGTGGCATTTGCCATATTTTTATCAAAATGAAGTTTTGCCCTCAAAAGGGCTTTTACATTTAATTCGTTGCTATTATTTTTGGCATAATTATCTTTTTATTTATAATTGACAAATGAATTATTAATAATAAATATTATTGTCAATTTGACAGTGTAAAATTATTTAATCAAATTCTTTAGCAGAAGTACCATTTTTAAATACTAAAAATACTAATTAGTCAAATTAATTAAGTCAAACTGGCATAAGCCACCAACCTAACAAAAAAACACAAAACAACCAGATAAAAAAAATGAACTGTACTTAGGCATATTTTTTCCTATAAACAAAAAAATTAACGTTTTTAATAATTTTTTCTATATTATTACTACATGGTAAAATATTTTTTTTAGATAATATTATATTATGACATACCAATAAAGGACATAATGTGCAAAAAGTTTGAGCCAAATGTGGAAAAACTCAGTGAACTTTTTATTGAGGAAAAAGGTTCAAAAGAAAATGCAGAGGAACATATAAAATCTTTGGACAAAAAAACTAGAAAAGAACTTGTTGAATATTTGTTATATAATGTTAAGTCTTAAACAAATTTATACAGTAACGTTTTTATTTGAATTTTTTGGGATTGTATACAAAACAAATAAATTGTTTTACATAAAACATGGATCCTAGTTTTTTATTTTATTTTAATTTTTAGGCCTTAAAATAACATTACTAACGATCACTGAACAATTTAAAAATATTTAGCCCACACCAGGTAATTATTTTTATTTATACCTAAAAGATATGCACAATGAAAAATATTTAATAAAAATTATAAGGTTTTCTTTTCGATGACTTACATAAAAATTGGCACAAGATTTTGACTAGCATTTTCGTTATTTTATTCTTAAATTCGTTATTTATTGTTTTGGTCGAAAACTGTACAATTTCATTTAAATAGTTGAACTAATATTTACATTTTTGATATGACTTCTTCAAAAATATGTCTGAAAATTATTTTCTTATTTTTGGACAAAGCATAAATAAATTACTTAGATACATATGTACAATAATGTTGAATCTATTTTTTTTCTAATTTTACTGGGTCTCATTTTCGTTCCCAACTTGAGTTATAAAACCAAGACTCATCTCTGGACTTCCCCCAACTCGATTCAATACCATTTTCCTAAAAAAAACAAATTATATCACAGCCACCCACTAAAATAAAACACTTACCACGAATTGTCCATGTCCGACAGTCGAAGAGCTCAAATAATCCATATTCGAATAGTACGGATAATTATTGTAACAATTAGTCGATGAATTCGTAGTGCTTAAAACAGAAGACTGCGTCGACGCGCACCAAGATCTATGTTGGTCCAAGGAAAAACTGTCTATGGACGCCGGAGACCAAATACTAGTATTCCCTGGATTCGTATAAGTCGAAGAAACGATCTAAAAAATAAATAATCAGGTTAAAACAAGTTCGGTGTTATCTGGGTTGCCTACCGTTGTGGGGCTAGTGCTGCTCGTGGTGGTCAAAAGTTGAGGCTTCACGTAGTTCGGACTGTCTCTAAGGTGTGGCGCTGTGTGTACCGATGGCGAGCTTGCCGAAGAACTTGTGAAAAATACAGCGATTTAAATAATTTTTATTTTAATTAATAATTCGCTTTGATTACCTTGTACTTGTGTTATTATTGCTCGAAACTGGCGTTGGAGATGATTTCGTTATTACTGCCGCCGATTTCGTTTTGATTCTCGTTGTTTTATCTGCGTTTTGCTGCTGGTTGTGTTGTTTTTGCTGTTGTCTGCATTTTGCTCGGCGGTTTTTAAACCAAACCTAAATTAAAATTTTGTTTTAATTTTATAAAAAAAACATTAAATTTTCATTGATTAATATTTCCCAAAAATACTAAAAACGAGATTTTAGTAGGCCTTGCGTACATTTTTAAGAGTTGGTATTTCTGAAAACAATTGCAGCTGTCATTTAATAAGATTAATTTTGTTATTGTTATCAACCTTCTTTATCTCTGATTGTTATTTTTTTATTGTGAAAAGAGTGTTTTTAACCACAATCCATGAAAAAGATGATAAGTTTAGGTAAGAACAATAATTTTATATAATATTTTACAGGTTTTTGCTTGTTTTTATTGTGAAAAACTTTGTATCTAAAATAGCGTTTTGGATTTCAATAATCTTGCAAAAATAATTTTTGAAGTGTTATTTTATTGCAATAATTTAATACAAAAATATGATTTAATAAGGTAAGAACATTCTTAAATCAAAATTAAGTATTTTTTACTTGTTTTTATTGCAATTTAAAAACGATAATATTTGCGTACCTACATTTTTAGGAGTTGGTATTTCTAAAAACAATTGCAGCTGTCATTTATTAAGATAAATTTTGTTATTGTTATTTTTTATTGTGAAAAGAGTGTAAATAAGTGTTTTTAACCACAATCCATGAAAAAGATGATAAGTTTAGGTAAGAACAATAATTTTATATAATATTTCACAGGTTTTTGCTTGTTTTTATTGTGAAAAACTTTGTATCTAAAATAGCGTTTTGGATTTCAATAATCTTGCAAAAATAACTTTTGGAGTGTTATTTTATTCCAATAATTTAATACAAAAATATGATTTACCTAATAAGGTAAGAACAATCTTATATGAAAATTAAGTAATTCTTACTTGTTTTTATTGCAATTTAGAAACGATAATATTTGCGTACATTTTTAAGAGTTGGTATTTCTGAAAACAATTGCAGCTGTCATTTAGGTAATAAGATTAATTTTGTTATTATTTTTTTATTGTGAAAAGAGTGTAAATAAGTGTTTTTAACCACAATCCATGAAAAAGATGATAAGTTTAGGTAAGAACAATAATTTTATATAATATTTTACAGGTTTTTGCTGGTTTTTATTGTGAAAATCTTTGTATCTAAAATAGCGTTTTGGATTTCAATAATCTTGCAAAAATAACTTTTGGAGTGTTATTTTATTGCAAGAATGTGATACAAAAATATGATTTAATAAGGTAAGAACATTCTTATATCAAAATTAAGTAATTTTTACTTGTTTTTATTGCAATTTAAAAACCTAATATTTTGCCATGAATAAATTAAAGTAAAAGTATTTAGGTAGATTGTGTAACTATAGGAATTGAAGAAGGTCTAGTTTCACAGTATTTTTAAGGTTTCTTTTGTAACAGTGCCAAAGAAATTCTAGTTTTTCATTGATTTTATCCACGCAATTAATCGATATACAGTTTCAAATTACTTATTCTACGTTACGTAAAATGAAATTTACATTTCACGTCTGCCAACTTTACAATCTAGAAACAACTGCGTTTCCGCGGTAAATATAAAAAACCGAAACGTGTTTTGACAATAATGAAATTGTCGGGGGTGAAAAAAAGGAAGGCAAGAACAATCGAAGTGACAATAAATCACTTAAAAAGCTCCACATTAGAAACCGATCTGTTTGACGTATGAATGAAAGTGTTCGTTATTTAGGTCCATTAGGCCGTATTTTTCATGCCCAAGCACGTTCCACCCACTCACTACTGTACGCAACGAAAATCAAACCACCCCTGCTGCAAGCGCTTTGATGGGGCGATGCGATGCGATTTGATTTTATTAATTATTTAGGCCAATTTGATGGCGTTAAAATACAAAGTCATTGTTAATGGATAGCTGGAATAATGGTTCTGGACAAAACTAAGAACAAAAAAGTTTCTAGTGTCTAGTTTTCCACTTACTTGGACTCTGGATTCAGGTAGATTTATCTTCAGGGCCACCTCCTCTCTCATAAAAATATCAGGGTATCTGGTTTTTCCGAAAAGGGCTTCTAGGATGTCCAATTGGGCTCTGGTGAATGTGGTCCTTTCTCTCCTCTGCTTTCTTTGATTACCTAGTGACAAAATATAAAATTTACATACATGTTTGAAAATAAGGCAATATTTTTCTTTTTTATAATTCATGTGAAATTCTCGTCACACAAATTCTGTCAAAATTCGACCTCTTAATATTAATTTTAAAAGGTCCATCATCGAATTTAAAGTTTTCCCATTGATTTAACATGGAAAAATAGCCTGCATGCTATGTAGAACTCTTTTTTTTTGATAAACAATCACTGGTCCTTTTTTAGCATTAAATTATCTAAAAAAAATCTTACAGAGTCCAGCCTGTAATATTAATTTTAAAAGGTCCATCATATGATCATCAAATTTAAAATTTTCCCATTGATTTAACAGGAAAAATAGGTTTTTAGGATTTATTTCGCCTGCCGAACTTTTTTTTTGATAAAAAATCACTAGTTCTTTTTTAGCATTAAATTATCTACAAAAAATTTTTCAGAGTCCAGTTTGTAGATTCTACTCTTTTTTATGAATGTTTAAGCGTATAAATTCTAAATGAAATTGATATTTTTACATTTAGCGGCTAAAGTACTAATCGTAGAAGAAAAAGTTAATTAGCAATTTTGAAGATCTTTTAATGCTCTACAAATTTGATTTAAACAATTTTTTGGAGCTGGAGCTCAAATTTTGACAGAAGTTTTTCTTTAGCATATGTGACGAGAATTTCACATGAATTTGAAAAAAGAAAAATATTGCCTTATTTTGAAACACATTAATATATATATGTTAAGTTAAGAAGTAAAGTTTTAGAAGGCGTAGAAAGGTTTTAACTTAAAACTAAAGTATTCTTTCTTCTCCCACCTTTAAAATGTCCATTACCTATCGTACATGTTTCCATGACACTAAGTGACCTTTTAAATACAAATTGACAAGTTATGGCGCTTTAGTCACGGGCTGAAGCTAGCAACAGTCAAGGGCTAAAGTTAGTTTTACATTAGGCCTTTCTTGTAAAATAATACTAAATGTGAAAATTATTTTATTATCTTAATACAAAAATACAAAAGTATTAAATAGTTTCTTGACGCCAAAAGATTCGCCGTACTAGTGCAGTTAAATAGATTTAACTAATGGCGTTTAAAATTTTGCGTACAGTGCCCCTAAAGCATTCTCTTCTCTTTTACTGTGAAAAACTGCTTCTGTGTCGATTGTTAGTCTATTTTCAAGGGATAAATTTTTATTTACACAGAAAAATTTAAGATTTTAACGCCGGTAGATGTTTATTTGATGGTTACTTTATTTTCGTATAGATTTCGCTTCATACAAATATTTAATTGAAATTATTTTTTAAATAATATTTGTACCTATTTGTCGTAGACAAAGTACCTATAGTATGAAACTCGTTTATAAACTTTTCTAGGCACTCATTTAATTAAGCACTGGCTTGCAAGCTCGCTCGTGCTTAAATTAAATTCGTGACTAAAATGGCGTTTATTAAACTTGATACATAATTAGAGATGTAAAATAGTATATTATGTATCAAGTTTTATAAACGCCATTTTAGTTACGAGTTTAATTAAGAACGAGCTAAGCTTGCGAGCGAGTTTTTAATAAAAACGAGTGTCTAGAGAAGTTTATCAACGAGTTGCATACTATACTTTATCTACGACGAACACAAAATATAATTTAAAGCCAATTTTATTTGTTAAAATTTTGACATCTGTCAACTGTCACCCGAATTTAACCTCACTTTTTCCCAATTTATAATAAATTTATTTATTTATAGTTAGCTTAAGCTAACTTCAGCCCGTGACGTAAAATGTCGAAAAGCCACTGTTGTTAACTTCAGCCCGTCAATAAAACGCCATAAAGTGACAGCTCGTCAATAGTAGATAAAACGGTTTTTTTCAGATGTGAAAAAAACATGAAAAAAAAACTATAAAAAAACGTTTTTTTTTGCATTTTTTTCAAATCCGCTGCAATAAAGCATATTCTCTGAATAAATAACATCAATCTTAAAAAATGGAGTAATTTTTCAAAATGATATTTTGAGTAAAATGTATAGTAATAATAAAGTGAAATGTAGAATATACATTTTTCATTATTGAAAATTTTGACCAAGACTAAAAAATCTGATTTCTTATTATTTGGTAGTTTCCAAAGTTTTTGCGATTTTTCGGATAGCTGTAGGTACATATCTTCGTTAAAAATGGTCGTATTGGAGCCGTAAAAAAAGCAGTTTGAAGCTTGAAGTTTCTAGTTTTGAGATTTTTAGATGAAAAACGTGCCACGCTCAATCCTAACAAAAAGCGTAAAAAAATGGCTTTCTTTTTTGATCCACGGAATGTTCTGACTTAACCACCAATGAACAAATGTTATACAAAAATTTGCTATTGTTTTTTAGAAGAAAAAAAATTCCATAATCTACATGAATTTGAAAAATTATGAAAAAAGTGCTATTGGTAGCTTTTTGGAAAATCAAGCGCTGATCCAAAAATATTATAGGTAGTTACTTTTTTAGGACCAAATCAAAACAAGCGCGGCCCTTATTGGTCAATTCCGTGGTGGTGGCGCGTGAAAAGCGCGAGACTGCAGTAAATACATTTACTAAATGTCATTTAGTGGCTAATTTTAGTCAACGAACTGGACTGGAAACATAAAAAAATAGGCAAATGGGACTAATCTTGAAAAAAAACCCTAAAATATAAAAAAAACATTTGAAAAAAAACAATGAAAAAAACCTGAAAAAAAACAGACCGTTTTTTTTTCAAGTCGCATCTCTAATACAAAATAATACATAATAATATTTTTTAGGCCTCGGTGCCAGTTTTGTAAACTGTTTTGAGGTCATCAATAAATTATTATAAAAAAAAATATAGTGCCGTTATATTATATTATAATATAGTGCCGTTATTAAAGTGATTGGATAATTGAAAACTGCTCTTACATGCATACATTTAAAAAATGGTAGGACAAATCGCAAAATAGCATAAATTCAAAAAATTTACATTTTGAAAATTTCCTAAATTTTTGGAAATTACAAATATTTTAAAGTTTCATAATTTACAAACTTAAAATTTATAATTTTTAAATTATTTAATTTTATTTTTTATTCAAACCTTTATTAGGTATTTTATTAGGAAAATGCATGCGAAATATTTTTTTTCTAGTTATGCCAAAGAAGTGTAACTTTTAACGCATTGTTTTTTTTCAAATTATTTACGACCTTGGGTATGTTGATGTTGCTTTGGTTTGCTTTGTTTCTAAAACAAATAAACTAGAAACAAAACGTAAATGTTGCTAAACTTGGTCACAGGTGTAATAAAAAATAAATCTGACCATAATAAATGCATATATGCATGGCTCATCGAACGTTAAAACAAAATAGGGGCCCATTAAATTATAATAAAATCGCGACTAAATTTACGACTGTCGCCATAAATACCAACTTGATAATAATAAAATTTACGAGCGTGGAACAATGGACGAACAACAAGAACAACGAAAAAAATGGCAGCAATAAATCGCGAAAATCCCGCGACGCGGTCTGGGCACATTTAATTGAAAATATTTGCAACAAAATTTAATCCCGCCATTCTGGGTCAATTAATAAAATTTATCGAAACCGTGAAAACATTAAAATAAAATTATTTATGCATACATGTTATATTTTAGCGATTTTGTTTATTTACACACACATAGCACCCGTGTGCTACTGTATTAAATATTCCATATAATGAAATATATATCGAATTTAGGTAATCCCAGGACCGTTTTGGTTTTGTATTTTATGCGAAGCCATTGTTTATTAACATCGAATGCATGCGTGTTTTTCTTTATTTGCTTTAGGTTGGATGTGTAATGAATTTATACAAAATGAAATAATTTTGTCCATGTAAATAACTCATATTATAATTCCATATTGTCAATAACAATTTGTCATACTGATGAATCTTTTGGCTCTAAAATTTAGAGCTTTAGAAGTAGACACATAACCACACAGAGAAAAAGCTTTCATAATGTGAATGGGTTAAACATTGAGCCAATGGTGTACTGTATTTGCAATACCTGAATTACAGCTATGATGAAATGAATGATTGTCTTACATTTATTTGTGCAAGCCTGCTTAAAATTAGTTCAAACATAAGAAGTCATTGAATTAAATTGTCATTCTATTCAATCCGTATTAAAACTTAGTTAGTTAAAACATAAGAAATTATTGAATTAAATTCTTATTTAATTTAAGTCACAATGAATATTAATGAAAAACTATAGTTGATGATATATCATTGGCATAAATTAAAGTTATGGTTTCTAATGAATGGCTACATTAAATGCAATCAAAGCTCTAATTCCTTTAAATATGTATATTCTAGTTCAAATATTAGTTGTATAATACATTAATATGAACTTTAAATAAAATGAATTCTGGAATCTGCTGCTGGTAGTCTTGTGTACATAGGTTTTTTGATCCATAAAATGAAAGTGTTCTGTTTTCTGTAGGAACTATTAGGAACCCACTAGAAGTGTTGGTGATATTAGGCTCTAAGAAAGTTGCTGACCCATCACTAACAACAGTTACTGCACTGGATGTGCAGGATCTGTCTGCCATGGCACATGGTTATTCTAAAACGAAATAGGAATTTCATATTATGTATTTAGAGGCGAATCCTAAAGATTGCTGAAAGTCCTAAAGCAATATATACTTTCGTGATGCCCTGCAAGGATATCATGATGGCACTGAAAGACTATGAGAAGTTTTTTTATAAATAAATAAAAACTTCGTCCATTCAAGCAAAATAGCCATTTTAAGGCATGACACCGAATAACAAGATAAACTGTGTCCATGGTATATACCTATATGAGTACACATTTACCTTTTTGTTATCATTTAGATATAATTGAGGAATTAAATTACTGGATAATGCATGGCGGACATACAATTAAAAAACATGTACAACTTATCTTGGAAATTCGGGATTAGCGAGTACACCAAGAAATTAGCAAATATAACAAACAACCAAATACTACCTACACCAGAGATAACCCATACACTCACATCAATCGGCGTTACCAGAAATACCGATTAATCAGTTGATCACATTTAACTATACGCACGTACGCGATTGCAGGTTGCCGATGTGAGGTGTGGCAGGGGATACCCTGGCGCGTTTGTCTGAATTTTGGCAATCATTAAATTGAATATAGACCGCATTGAAAAAATGGAAATGATAATGGGCAAATAACAAGTATTTTTCAAAACAGTGAAAAAATTGTACTAACTTACTTTACCTTAGTTTCCATTGATATAAAAATCATAAACATGAAAAGAAACAAAGATTATTCTTATTTCATTTGTTTTTAATTTTTGGTTGAAGCATTATAACTTTTAATATATATAAATTTTAAATAAATATTGTTAATTTTACCTTGATCAGATAAACTTTGAATACAATCATTTCTAAAAAGTACACATTTCCATTAAGTTTAAATATAAAGAGCCATTCACATTATAACAAGTAATTTTAACTTGATAATATTTTGTTATGGGCTGAATATAATATTTATAATAACATCAATCCCTTACCCTCAATTGCTCCAAAATATTTAACTTTTATTGGAGAAATGAAAAAATAATCAATTATAGCATTGTTATTACTATGTTACTATATCAAAGCGTTTTTTCTGTGCATTATGATAATACACTTTTTGTGTAAATTTTAAAGAGGTATTATTAAAAAGTATGGACTTACTTCCTGGATAGCCGGCCATGGAGCTGTGCAAACTGTCAACGCCCGGAAGCGCGTGAAGTCCCAAACCCGGAACCGGATACGGAGCCGATTTTAGGTAGGCCATGCTCGAGGTACTTCCGCCGCAAGTACTTCCAAAACCCGGAAACGACAGTTCGCTGTCTGGGTTGCAACTGAAACAAAAAAGAATGTCGAATGGTTAACGATTATCAAAAACACCCAATAGTTCTATTATTACCTAATCCGAATTGAATGTCATTTTAAAACCACCTGTCAATAAAGCCGTGTTTATAAAAGTGTCTTTGGAAGATAAGAAGGGTAAGGGAACAAGGCTTTCAGTGAGATAAAAAACAAAATTTAAAAAACGTCACCGAAATTTTTGGTGTAAGATTACCTACTAATAACAAAAAAAAGTAGGTATAAAATATTTTCGTATCAGAGAATATTTTAGTTTTGTAACTTTTTAAGCTTACACTGTTATGAAAAAACCGATTTGTTAATATGAGTTTGTAATTTGTTAATTTTATTTGGTAATATTTAAACCTAATTTTTTGTAGATAACCAGGGTTTGTAATTATTTTAACAAAGGCAAATATTTTACCGAAAGTTTTGTACAGATTATTTTGTTAATGTTTAACAAATTATTTCGTTGAAAAAGTGATTTCAGGCAGTCAATCAAAACATTTTCACTGACAATACGAATCAACAAATTCAACTGACTTCAGCGTCTGCAACTTATGCTTCTGCTTACTTTATTCTAATTCGTAATGTGTTCGTAACAACTGTCCAGAGTGTTTATAATTATTATCAGAAATCTGTTATTATTGTTATTATTCCTATTTAAAGAGTGTGCTAAGTGAGAAGAATCCGAAAAAAGATGCCATCAAACTGAAATTAGGGGATACAGTGAAGTGGGTTGAAGTTACGAAATACATCAGTAAGTGTTGTAGTACTACTAATAATATATATTGTACCAAATTTCTTTATAATTTGATGATTTCAGAAAGGTGTGTTGATTTGTGTGTATGTTATTTTTTTGTTTATTTATGTAGGTATGTGTTAATTTCTTTGTTTAGGAAATTGATTAATAAAGCAACATTTCTTATCAAAATCCTTTTCATTTAAGTTTCCCAATTTCCAACAAATACTTTTGTTACTGGGTCTACAAAAAAAGTATGTCATAATTACAAATTACACAGTAAAAAATTTATATGTATATTTAACATATTTCTTGTGTACCAGAAAGTTCACTCAAATTTTTTAGTTTTTTTGTTTTTTATTTCTTATGTTAATTTTTAACACAATAGAATGTGTAAAAGAAAATTAATACCTACGATATCGATACCTCGTATATGTTGCAAAGTTAATTTATCTATTCGTAAATTTTATTTTTTTAAATGGTTATTTTAACCTAAACTAATAATTAATATGATGTAAAATCTGAATAACTTTAACATAATTAAATATGTTAAATTTATTTATATTTTATTTATTTTACACAAAAAAGTGTTACTTTAACAAATAACTTTCTATTGATTTTACACAAATAGTATGTATCCATTTAATTATTTTATTATTATTATATATATACATATTATATATATTGTATATATTATATTATATATTTATTTATTATTTTATCAATTTTGTAATTAATTTTTACATTATCAATTGTATATTTTTATTTATTTTATTAAATATTTAAATTAATATAAGAATATTGGTTTTTGGGCAAAAAATGTAAGTATGTAATAATAATGATTTATTATACTACACATGAATTATTATAATGCATTATAATAATTCTAATCATTCTTATTTGTGTAGGAACTTTAAACACATGACTGTTTGTTAAATCTTTTGAAATTTTAAGATTCTATTATTATAATTTTTGAATTAATTAACATATATCATTTATGTTATAAACAATAGGAAGTTTATGTAAATTTTTACATATTTTATTTAACAAAATTTAATACATTTTTAACTGTGTACTTATTCAATTAGTTAACAGATTACAGTTGGTTGCACACAATTTTGTTATTATTTGGTAAAATAAACAAATATTTTTTTACTGTGTTTAAAATCAATAACGTACTTTTTAAATTATTCGTCAAACAAAGAACATATAAAAAGACCAGTTAAACATTGCTGAAAATGACAAACAAAGAAACAGTAACATTGAAGAGTAAAAGGTCCTCGAAGTACCGGTCACAATAAAAAATCCTTGGACTAAACAAAGGCCAAATCCTCAATCGTCGAGTTTGATATGGCTGAAGTGGCTCGGTGGTTATCGTGGAAAAAGGGGTTTGATTATATTGTGTCATTCCCACCGATAGGAATCGTATAAACCGATCATGCGACAATAATGAAATGTAGATATGAAAAAAAGAACGTAGAAAGGCAGAAGCAAGCAAGCCAGCGTTTGTCTCAAGAAGAACACTACACCCTGCGCATTAGCTGTTTAAAATGTATTATAATCCTCGTTAATCTGACAGATTTCTTTTGTTGGCGAGGATTAGACTGCCAGGCGACACTTCGTGGGGCAGTCGAAACTCGATCTCGGGAATTTCTTTTTTTTTTTACCACGATACGATATCAACTCTCTTGCTTCTACCGTTTAAAACCAAAATAAGTGATTTTAAAACACTATAGGTACGGCTCAATTTCAAAACAACTGCCGAAAAATAAGTAGGTAAAATTTAATGGTAAAGTGAAAAAGTTAATAAAAAATAATAACATTATTTTTGATATCCTATCAAATAAACAAACATTGATCTACTAATGTTTTCCGTTGCGTCATTAATTTTAAATGTCAAAAACCGGTTTGTCGAAATACGTCCGGCATAGATCCCACATACGCCGCGGCGACTATAAAAAGAAAACACCTAATTGTAATGTCTGTGCTTGGTTCATAATTCTACATTTATATATACAAACACTTATACATGTATATATACAAACACTTATAAGTGCATCCAAGAAAGAAAAATCATCGATTTCTTATTGTCATGTTGTAAGATACCTATGCGTTAATTAAATACATCTCCTATACATCCTATACATCTTTTTAATTAATGCATATCTTCTAAGGTAACATTGAAAAATTAATGAAATTGATAAAGTGTTTACTTTTTTAACTCTGATTTTTGTTAACATTTTGACGTCATCGCTGGAAAAGTTCCGCGGTTTAGTAATAATATATATTATTACCCATATGTATAAAAGTTTGACCAAATTTGTAGGAAATTAAGGATTTAATAAAGGGAAAGTATACTTTCCCTTTATTATTTATTAACTATAGTTAAAAGAGTAGAAACATAAAGTGCTTCGTTTAAGTAGGTATAATAGTATATTATGTATCAAGTTTGATAAAGGTCATTTTATACACGAATTTAATTTAGGCACGAGCGAGCTTGCGAGCGAGTGCTTAAGTTAATGAGTGTATAGAAAAGTTTATAAACGAGGTGCATACTATACTTTTTCTACGACAAATACTTATTATTATCTTAAAATGATTTAAATCAAAAATTTGTATAGAGCGCCATCTATGAAACAACAGGGGAAACTGTCACATGTCACATTTTTACAATTTATAAACACAATTATAGAGTTTATAAATCGAAATGTATCTTGAAAATTGACAGTTTTTAACAGTGAAAGTAAAGGAAATGTTTTTTGAGGACTTTACAGTAGAGTCCGTGCCCGAATTTAAGTTATAGTTTACTGCCGGCGAAATTAAAAGGTCAGTACAATGTTCATATAAACTTTTCAAATATTGGCGTTGAGAAACTATTTAATATTTTTGTATTTTTGTATTGAGATAATAAAATAATTTTCACATTTAGTATTATTTTACAAGAAAGGCACTTTATTTTAACGATTGTATGACATTTGGCAACTGTTAACTAACTTAAAACTAACTTCAGCCCGTGACTAAAGCGCCATAAAGCCACAACTTGTCAATGTGTATTTAAAAGGTCACTTAGTGTCATGGAAACATGTACAGGTACGATAAAGGGCGTTTTAAAGGTGGGAGTAGAAAAAAGCTTATATCTTCACGCGTTCTATAATTTAATATTAGCAAAGCTAACTACCAAGTATTTGATTATCTCCTAGGCTGTAAAAATAATTTAAAGTAATCAGGAGAAGTTGTTTACATCCTAGTATAAAAACTTTGATAACTGCTAAACATTTTGAAGCTATCTAACTTTACTGTGTACCTATTTTTAATAATAATTATTGTTATTTTAATTAAAGACATTACCTATACCAATATATTGTTTTACAAATATAACTGTGCCTTAAAGATAAAATGTTTTATGCCATTCAACTGAGACGTTTCCTTTTGTGCTTTGCTTAATTCGTAGGCAATTATTCATAAACTACTTTAATAGTATAGGTACATACTAATTGATAATACCACATTAACACATGCTTTCGAGTACTCCAAAATACTTATTTATTTTGGTCAAAATAGAGTTTTCTAACCTTAAAATTACAAAATTAGATGATATTTTTTGTTATAATATATTAAGCCATTACATGTTAATTGTAAACTTAAAAAAAAATAACACATACCTACATAAATAAACACAAAAATAACATACAAACAATTAAATAACTCACCATTCTAAAATCATCAGATTATAAAAAAAAATTGGTACAATATAATGATCAGTACTACTACAACACTTACTGATGTATTTCGTAACTTTAACCCACTTCACTGTATGTATCCGAAAAAAGATGCCATCACTGTATACAGTGATGGCATCTTTTTTCGGATACTACGCACTTCGCAGTTGTTACGAACACGTTACGTATTAGCAGGGCCGGATTAAGAGTTTTAGGGCCCTGGGGCCGACATTTGGTGGGGGCCCTCAATATTTCTAAAAATTTTGACACTTGGGAAATTAAAACTCATGGTAAAAGCTAGAGGAACTTTACGTGATTTTTTATTATCCTTGAATCATTTAGCGTTTTTAAGCTATAAATAAAAAACTCATTTTTTTTAAACGAAACACCCTGTATCTCGATAATGAAGCATTTTCGGACACGTGTTTATAAGAACCTTTTTTCATATTTTGATGAGAGGAATTTCTCCTGGGCTTTTGTCACCACAAGTCTAAATCACCCTGTATATTTGGAATAATACGAACATAACCTTATA